CCACAAAAAAAAGAAAGAGAAAAAAAAAAAAAAATAAACAACTAACCCAATGAATTATCCAGGATCCTTTCTTTTTTTGGGGAAAAAAAAAGAAATCCAAAAAAAAAGAGAAAGATAAGAAGATCCAAAAATTGAAATCCTCGAGAGTTCTACCACCGTTGCAATCTTTTCAAAAATGAGAGCAGCTAAGGTGGATAAGGACCAAGAGTGCTTTGGGAAAAGGAAAACTCCCTTCTCCCCCCCCAAAAAAGAAAAAAAAAGGGAGGAATTAAACCGTAGACGGAAAAAGTGGAATAGGTTCAGCTACCCACGGTTGAGGGGGCGAATGGCGATCCGAATGCCCAGTGAACTTCTGGGTTTCTGATGTTTCTCGTTGGTCCAGAGGAGAAACGGCGAACCGCTAGTCCGCTAGTCCGCGTCTGTTTCGTTATGATCATAAAAAAACCCACAAGGTTGGCGCCGGCTATGCAGGTGATCAGACCCGGTTTTCTTGTCCACCGTAAATGTGTTGGTCTAAACGCCAGGTGGACTCGGGCCCTGGTCCGGCGTCTAAGCAATCCAGTCAAAAGTGGAGATATGCACGATCAAGCCGCATCGCCTATGGGGATTGTTGTGTCTCCACACTCGATCTCGATCCTGTGATGATTAGCTTAGTTGAATCAGTATCAAAATAGCACCTTGTGAAGTTCAAGAACTTTTCAACGGCGGATAAAGCTGTCGCTTGTCAACGAAGGTCCCAACCATGGTTGGGTAACTTCCTTATGTCATCCCGAACCAAAGAATGCCTTCTGGCCCTAGACCTCTCACATTCACTTGGGCCTCAAACCCCCAAAAAAGGATGGAAGAGAGAATACCTTTATTCTTGATTCCTTGAATGCTCCTTGCTATGAAAAATCCAAATCTTGAAAATGGCGCGTGAATTCCGCAATTGCAGGGATGCGAGTACCCCCCTCGACGTGACTGTCGGAGCCCCAAGGACCCAGCGCACGCGCGGTCGAAGACCTAGGTCCGGCACAATCTCAGACAGGATGGTCGAGATAGCGGATCTCTAAAGACACGATCGCATGCAATGGCACGTCGGAAAGCCCCAAATCGCTGTTATTCCGATCCGAGACGAACCGATACATGCCGGGTCATGATGCGACAGTGGGAAGCGAAAGATGAGAAAAAGCGTTCCACTTGAAGAAAAAACGAGAAAGAAAACCCACGAGCTAGCGCAGATATGAGACTTGGACAGGGCGTTTTAAGGGGGGTGTGCAAGCATGAACAACGCACCACTGCACGCCGTTCTTTCTCCGTGACGCATCACATTTCCTGGAAGACATGCAGCCCAAGATCTCATGCAAGCTACTGTGTGTTGACTGCAGTCGGGGATCAGTGTCTCAACACTGGTTGGTTCCATCCATCGGAAACCCCTCGATCAAGCTATGGGGCCGGCGCAGCATGCATCAGCCAGCGAAAAGAAAAAAAAGAAAAAAAACACATCAATGCCGGAGACCGATTTGTGGCAGTCCTGCAACTTGCAGGTCGGGCGTTCGTTATGATAAAAACCGGTACTTTCTAGTATGGACACTACGGGGGCTGCTTTGCGTCATACTCGCTGACCCTCGATTTGCGGCTGAGGATGTACGGTACTTTTCCTCCCCTCCTATTCAATCACCTTCCAGATGGGTATGGCTGCATCGACAGTGCAGAGGTGAAGCCCCGCATTCAAGGCATTGGTTGCGTCCTGTCGAAGAACCTGCATCCCACGCTCTTTGGGCATGGAGGCCACTTGTCCTCTTCGTTGTCAGTTCCTTGTCTTCGGCAGGATTCACAAAAACAAACACATCCCAAATCCTAGCTTGTATGCAGATATTCTGGGGTCTTGGTTGCGAGTGGCACAATGGCGATGGTTATCGCTCGCCAACATGTGATACGGAGGGCTGCAGGTGCAGTTGACTATGACAAGCATTCCCGTCACAGTCCACAACCTATCTCCCCATCATAGGAGCTTGGATAGCAGGGATTATGTTCGATTAGAAGGCGCCGATCAGCTTGACGGAAGTCCGGCCCCAATGTTGAATCCTGCAGCGAGGGTGATGCTATCACCATTGGCAAGTGACCGGAGCGGATGGGATCCGCCAAGTTCGGGATTTCCGGCGCCAGTGAGCTTCCAGAGAACAGCGTCTGCGATTCGCTAAACTGACCTCGGAAGAAGTGCAAGCTGACAAAAATGGGGGGAGGGGGGTCGAGTAAGGAATGGAAAAAAAGTAAATTGAGGGGTGGAAAGCGGGAGAACACATCCAGGGAACGGGTATTGTTTGACGGTCTGGCTGGGTCTGAGCTGCAGTTCTTATCCATTGCAGTGTGCCCGGGCGACAAGTTTCTGAGAAAACAGTTGATAGGCCCAAAAAACCCTCACAGCCCTGGATGCACATCATGATGCGAAAAGCACGCACCAGCGCTGGGAGCACGACCTGTCACTTCTATTTGACTTCCGGGATTCGGCCCCGGCGTCAGGACAGAAGTCCCAAAGTCTTGAACCTATTCATGGCGGAGAATGCCACTATTGCCTCTGTTGGAGAGTCATGATTTGGCTGTGGAAACTAGCATGACTCGTCCTGATGCTGGACGGAATAATCGGATGAAGGGTGGGTGTGATACAAGTGCTAACAAGTAGGGACAAGGAGAAAGAAAAGAAGAAAAGAAAGTTCGAGTGCGAAAAGCGAAAAATTAAAAGTGACCGCCAAAAAGGAAGCGAATTTTTCAAAATTTTTTCCCAATTTAAAAGTACAGCGCACAGCCTGGCCAAAATCCACTGCGGCCCCGATTGGAACAACTGGACACTTGTTAGTGTCGGGGATGGTATACTGGCTACAGCTGTAATAGGAAGGAAGCTGAAATGGGACCCGTGGAGAACAATCCGAAAAAAAAGGCCAAGTCTTTCGAACGAACCCCTGTTCGACACTTCAACACACGAAGTGGCCGAGGGAAAAAGAAGAAGAAGAGGGGCTGATGGAGAATTACTGAAGACGGTCACTGGACGGGGGCGGGAGGAATAGGGAAATTTCTAGACTTACGGAGGACCCGTGAAGAATTTATCATTGGGGGGGATCAAGGTGAATTTGCGCCAGTCATAGCCAAAATCAATCCAGGGCGCATATCTGACAGCGGCAATATCCATCCAGAGCCAGTAGACAGGAGTTGCTAGGTGGGCGCTACTATTTTTATGCTTAAATATTGGCCCTGTGATGGTTCCATGGTGGTTTGGACCCGTTCCATGGTTGTGTTCCCTCCCATGACAGTCGGTCCGTGTTGGCGCCGTGGCCGCCGATCTTTTGTCGATCGGTGTCTATATCATCATTGCATTATTCCGTAAGAGGTATGATCTTGTATTCTTTCTGATCTGTGTGATCCTTCAATCAGCTAATTGGTTTTACTCGTACTTTGCATTGGGAGGCTGATGCTGACGTCCACGGGTATTCCAATGCAAATCTCCCCGCTGTGAGATACCCGATAGGTTCATGCATGGTTCTGAATGTTATGTTTTTTTGCTCGGTATTTCCGTGTATTTTCGGTCAGTTAAGCCCATTAGAAATCTACTGCAAGGATTATACGAAGTCGTTCACACTTACAACATACGCTGGATGTATAGCGAGGGCCCCTGGTGGAACACATCAGATAGCCGCAGATCAGCCACAGCTGTCGATATCTAGTATGGCGCTTAGTCCCTCGTAGACAGAAAGCTACTAGGACTACAATTGGCCATTAGCCCAAGCCCCCAAAAAATAGTTTAGTTGATCTTCTTTTCCAGTTTTGGCATTTTTTTTGCAAGTTGTAACAGGTTTCTCCCAAAATGACGTTTTCAAGCATGTCCTGCGCGACATGACACTTGTTCTTGGATGTATTGCACGCAAGACGCAGATCTACTCCAAAGAAATACACTAGAGCAAAGAGCAACCCAGTAATTGATACATTGACATAAGACATCCTAATCACACACTGTACTCATTCGTCGCAACTAGATAGAAAGAGAAAAGAAACACCCAAGCAAAACCCCCCCCCCCCCCCCCACGACACCCCCATCCCTGCTCCGTGCTGGATGAAATCCCTAAAAAAAAAGACTAGCAGAAAATGGACCAAAGAGGATCGATTAGTGCCATATGACACCCTTGTCACCCCTGGACACCCATTTAGCGTGATATAGCCTTCGAATAAGAAATGAAATGGAAAAAAGGAATTAAACCAAACGGCGGGACAATGCGGTTCCCGGAGACATGTGAAAGAAGAGAGAAGGTAGATATAAAGGAATCAGAAATTTCGTTAGAACAAACGCCTTGTCCACATGCGTAAATCGCTTTGCAGGCAAAAAAAAAAGACCACGAATCATGCATGAGCTTCACGATTATCATGTCTGCATCACAACATCCCCATCCACTTCGTACTCGGCGTCAACCTCTGCATCCGCGTCTGCGTCTGCATCTGAGTCTGCATCGGTGCCATTGGTATTGACCACGGCCTTTGGGTCCTCAGCTTTGCCCATTGACTTGGAAGCAGATCCTGGCTCAGCGGGAATCACAACGTGAACTTTCTCGACCAAAGTCTTCCGGTTGACTGATCGCGGTGTCTTGGGGTTGTCGTTGAATCGACGGGGGACTGTTGTTCCAGGTGATCGCGAGATGGAGTTGGTCTTTTTCTCGGGAGTCCTGGGTGCTTCCGTTTGCTTGGCCTCGGACGACTCGGGCTCGGCGGCATCAATTCCATTGGTCTTGACAGGTTCTTTGGCAGCAACGTATCCATTGACACGCTCTGAATCCTTTTCGCTCACTTCTGCAGCTTCCCTGGGTGCAGGAGCCATGTTCTCGACATCCTCATCAACAGCAGTTTCTTCGCCAACAACTTTGCTCTGCTCCAGTTTGGAACCGTTGGCCTGGCTAGGTGTTGGTTCCGTTGCGGGCGAGTTCGTGAGGATAGAGCTTCTACCGCGACGAATACTGCCTCCAGGGGTGACCATTGCCAGCCCGGAGGGTCGTCGAGGTGTGTTACGACCATTATTACGGGGAGCCATGGGTGTCGTTGACATGGTATTGAGTTTTGTGCTACCGGATGGACGACCAGGTTTGCGTTTTGGGGGTGCTGCGGGAGGCACAGGAGGCCAAAGTTCAAACCGGGAGGGTGGGATTCCAGCGGCAGGGTTGGGGATTGCAGGTGGTTCAGACTTGCCCACTGTAGAATGATGGGAGCCATTAGGCCTCAGGGTCAACGTGGAAGGCGGTCCCGCGGAGGCTGCGAGAGTGTCTCGATCCGACCCATTCACCATTCTGATAGCGCCCTCATAGTCGGTCGCTCTTGTCTCGGTCTCATCTTCGTCTTCATCCGGGTCCTCTCGGGGGGCAACGGCATGCATGGGAGCACGATCGAAATGAGATTGGTTACTACGACCCATTATGTAAGGTGTCCAAAGCAGCGCATCTGGATTGAGCTGAACGTAGCCCTTGCTTTCCCAGCCACTAATAACCTCGTTGTAATATTTATGATCGAGGCGGATGGCGTACGTCTTGGTAATAGGATCCCGCACGAGAGCTCGAAGTCCTTCCAGAGCAGATACAATGTCATCTGCCGTCATTCCGGTGCGATCAGATAGATCTGCAATGCTCACAGGTGTCTTCAAATCACGAAGTTGGTATGATAAAATCAATCGCCAGTAGTTCCTGTACGACACCAGACCCATATCAGAGAGCGGCTTCTCGGGCGATCCATTTTTGCCTTCGATGCGGGTAAGGAGATATGAAAAGTCGATGAGGAGGTTTCCGTAGCCTTTGCGTTGATGGATGGGTAGAGTAAGAATGCAGGAAACGTTGTTCGCTGAGCTTGGACGTTTTTCTTTACTGAAGTAGCCAACAAAATGGCAGCCCAGATCGTCAAACTCAGTCATCACATAGAATAAGAATGGCTCAACGTCGTAGTAGAGAGTCTTGGAGCCTAGGAAGAGTTTTGCGAGAAGGCAAAGATTTTGACAGTACACTGGATTCTTGCGCCCGTCAACTTCGAAGATTGAGATTGATCGATCTCGATAGATCTCGTCACCGGGGGGGTGCTTCGCAGGACACTTTAGTTTATGGCGCCAGGCGACAAAGTCCGAGTTCATGTACTTGAGACAGAACTCGCAAATATACAGAACACGGTTGCGGCTGTATTCCTCCGGGTAAGGCGCTGCATACCAGGTTTCGATCTCGTAGCCACCGAAGTTGATAGATTTGATCTTTGAAGGAGGACCAGAAACCTTTTGTGATGCATGCGCAGTGGCTTCGCCATTGAGTTCTGCTTCCTTCACTTTCTGTTGCCATTCATCTTCAGCTTTCAGGCGTGCCTGTTCGAATCGGTCGCGATCGAATTGTGTGGGAAGCGTCCTGGATGTATCTTGTTCGACTTCGGACAAAATGCCTCCATATGGTTTTGATTTGGCGTCGTCGGTCTCACGGTCGAAGAATGTCATGGAGTTGTAGGATATGGGGGGGAGGGGAACAAAATGTGCCTGGGGTTCAGGGGCTACAGGTGGCGGCTTTGGTGCTTTCTTCTTCTTGCGTTGTGGTCGGATTTGAGAACCTGTAATTTTAGATATTTTGGTCTCGTCCAGTCGGAACCCAATGATCAATTTCCCAAACTGCCTAGCTACGACGCGGCAGTGCTCTCGATCCACCGCGCGAGTGCGTCGCACGCGGACGGAGCGTGTCCGAGCAGGAGAGTGGACATCACCATCAGCAGTGGCATCACCACCGTCCAGAGCCGCATCGTTCGACAGTGGGCGATCGGAACGGAAAGATGTTTGTCGAAGTCGTTTGCGAAGAACGGGTGTGTGTTCTTCGGCCTCGATTGACGAGGCCTTTCGCTTGCGTAGCGATCGCGAGCTATTGAGCATCTCGTCGTCAACGCTTGTGTTGAAGATAGAATGAAATCCCTCGTCGTGTGTGCCAGCGTGCGCAGGAAGAAGCTCTTTGGGGAGGGCTGAGGCTCCAAGTCCGGTTTCTGTCGCTGAATTTGTTATCGTGTCGGGCTCTAGATTGTTATGGATACAGCTAGGACACCTCCATGGGTCTGAGTGTTGCGATGTTAGCGGGTGTAATACATCAAATAGGCGAGAGATTATGAGACAGAAGTCAATGACCACGTGGTTGCGTACCTTCCGTTTCATCATATGCCTCTTGTTCGCGAGCGCATTGCCGATGGGCTATTGGGGTGTCAAGTCAGCGATAGTTCGACACATATCAGTATAAAGCAAACGGAGCGACACATACAGTGATCACCACACACAACACAAGTGAGCCATTCCTCAAAATCTTCACTTGGGTCGTGTTCTTCGTCTTGGCTGCAAACCCTATTTGTCCGTTGTTAGCATCTAAGCGTCCGAGTTCTGCGCCCAGTGCTGCATCGAGCCCTTCCACTTACAAGCAATTTGAGCCACTACGGATATCAGTTTCGACATCCTCTCCACCATTGCTCTCAGCTTCCCAATCCTCAGCTTCTGAATCGTGGTCACTTGATTCGGGTTCTGATGCGTCACGGTCATTTGCCTCAAACCCGGGGTCGGCATCCGCGTCCGCTGTCTCAGACTCCGCATAGTCTTCTTCAGAGCCCGCATCATCGTCAGGTAGCTTGACAGCTCCGACAGGTTCGGCCTCGTCATTGTCATCATCGTCTTCTCCGTTCAAATTGACGCTTGAGTTGTTTCCATCTGCAGCTTCCTCCGGCCCATCCTCATCATCTTCTCTAGTGTACGCTCGATGAACGGCATCTTGAAGCTGTTGATCCATTTCATACAAGTCGGTTTCTTCTTCGCCCTCGGCATCTAGGTCGCTGTCGGCCGGGTCGACGGGCGGGTTGAGTTTGCCCGGTTCATCGTTTGCTGGCGGCACCGTCGCCGCCATAGTGAAAGTTACCGCCACCGCCAGATTGAGCACAGCAGTGCTTATTGTATGCGCTCAGGCGGATTGAGGAGTGATTTTTTTGTGAAACAAGCTTAAACCGATCCGGTTACAGAAGCACCCCGCTGACGTCGGTGCTGATCCGGGGGTGCATCTGGATCAAAAATCTGGTTTCGGAGCTGGTTGGAATAGTGCCGAAAATTCTATCGAGCCAAAGTACCGTTCTGGATTGACGTTCAAAGTCTCCAGGCGCAATGTAAAAGCTAAACAAACAAGAGGTGTCAGTCCGCCGCTGGAGTGGCTAGGCATCGCAAGCGCGTCGCAAAACAGAGGAAACTCACCCCAGGAGAAATCGGTGCGGTCTTCGATTTAAAAGCGTACCAGACGCGTCGAAGGACAGTCCACACACCGAGGCCTGTCTCTCTTACAATCGAATGCGATCTGCAACGACCTTCACGCCCCTTGTCCTGTAAGTGTCGTTGTTGCAGCACGCTGAGTCAGCATGAGCTAAACCACTTTGGGTGGAGGAGACCTCAAGCCCGTCGCTGTAGGAAGAGACACTCCCCTCCGCACTCTCCGCGATCTATCCACTCTCCTCAGTCCGTGAAAGGCTTTGCGGCTCTTGATTCTACTTTGAAACCTCTTCCCAATCATCTCCATACTCATACAACCGCACGCCATGGGTGTCCCTTTTGAGGCCCTGATTCCCTACGGGATTATCATGACCGTACGTCCCATTGGTCAATGCCTTCTGGGACTATAGCTCACCATTTGGTACAGATGTTCGGTGTGACTGGCTACGGTATTCACTATGCCAAGCGCTTTGTCAACGATGGTAAGAAGGCACGCTGGAACAGCGACCTGTGGGATAGAGTAAGTTGTTCCCTTCTTGTCGGCTGCGGTCGGAACTTGCATAAAGCACTTTGGCTAACAATTTCACAGCAAAGTGAGTGACTACTGGCTGTTCGGCCGACTAAAAGCACGTAGGAAGCCTGATATGGTACTAACCACACTCAATAATAGTGATGGAGAGAGATCTGCGCATCACAGGCTCACTCCGGGGGCAGTCCAGCAACCACAAAGCTCCCACCGGATTCGAAGTCAGCAACCCATGGAAGGTACGAATAACAGATTCCGTGTCCCTGCGATCTCTGGTTATGTGCAGAAACGCTGATCCAAAAAATTAGATCGAGAATCGGATCTACTAGTTTCAAAAATTGCAACCTCTTTTCCTTTACGTTCAATGTCTGCGCCTTCCTCACTACGTGACCATACATATCCACTGCAATTTCTCTAGAAACGTTGTACCATCTCATTTACTCGGATTTCCTTAGTAGTCCACTCAGTCATGTCTACTTGAGCTCCGAGGTCATTCCCCGAATCCCTTGGATTTCAGTCTCACGAAGATGCATATCAAAATACTTGGCCAGGGCCTGGATGCGGTCCTCCTCAGTCTCCAGAACTTGCAAAATTGCCGTTTGCCCGCGCAGTCTCTCCTTGACTTCTTTGCCCGACACGACGCACTGGCCAATGATCTCCGTGCCAGTTTGATCCATAATCATTCGCATGCAAACAAAAGTCTGGGTGAACCAGCTAGTTCGGCTCTGGCTGACGGAGAAGTTCATGATCCCAAAATCCTGCGGTAGGAATTCCACGTCGGAAAAACAGATCTGTGGCAGCCACTTACTCTCAGAGTTGTATCTTGTTTGGTAGACCCAGACCTTCTGCCTTGGATCCGTGAACTCGGCAATGCTTTCTCTAACAATGCGCATCTCCGATGGCTCAATCGCCGTAGCAGTAGCACCTTCTTGAAGTAACAGTGGAGCAGTGGCACAATTGTTTCCAAAGCCGACATCAACCTGTATCCGTTAGTGTGGTCCATGCGGTAGCTGCGGTAGATCTTCTTGCCCTACCATGTACTTCTCTTCTCCGATGATCACAATCAAAACCATGTGTCCACTTTGCGGGGTCAATCATGTCAACTCAGCTTGCAAGGGCAAAATGCTAGTCTGTCGGAGAACCCACAATGGCAAATATAATCCATTATCCACTCCCTTCGACGCAGCATGACTGACTCTACCTCCAGTGGCGTACACAAGATACCCCAGGGATCGCAACACAATCAAAAAGATTCCCGAATTCTCCATGCAATATCCATCTAGCTGCCGCTCCACCATCTTCTCGAAGAGACTCTGCGGGTTCAGAGAGATCGTATGATGTTGCGAGTAGTGCAGCCCTGAGTTGCCCCATGGAATGGTAGTAAGATGCCGCCTTTGCAGATCACACAGCGCAGCAAGTGCATCATTCTCGATATCTTGGCGGAGATGGTGAAGAAGATTGCCCTCGACTTGAGCGGGGTGGGAGTACCCAATGCGGCTCAGGTACCACTCCAGTTGTTGATCGGTATATATGGGATTTTGTGCCATGATTGGGGTTCGGTGTACAAAGGATGTAGGAATTGCCTACATTCGGCTACCACGGTGATAGGTGATAGGATCGGAATTATTCCATCTGTCTGTCCATCTTGGGAAGTTCCGTGCACAATTTCCACGTTGTAGATAGCTTGCTCGGAGTTGTGTATTCGTGGATTAGTTGTTTGCAGTACTATCTAATGAATAGTTTATTCCTTGTTTTTTTTTTTTTCAAAGGAATTTCCCAAAGAATGACGAGGTACCCCACATTTCCTGCAAGCTGTGCGTGCGGCAGGTTATGATGGTCCATCACCTCGGCTATGACTGTCCCTTGCGAAGAACGAAGCTATCGAAAGATCATTGAGAAATCGTATACAATTGTAGTAGATGTAGAATTTCACTATAGACAATCTCCTCAATATCTCAAAACTATACACTCACCTGGTGAACCGTGTAAATGCTCCGAGTATACATCTCCGATGATGCGTTCATCCGATATCCGGACCTACGGACATCTTGCTTCGACTGATCCGCGAATGGACCTTTCATCATTTTTCTCTATTGCTTCTTGTCTCAACTTTGCTTTGTACAGTCCAGCCGTCTAGACAGATTCAACAGCAAACCATTCCCGACCGGAACCCCGCATCTGAACAAAATGGCGACGCTAAACGAACAACTTGTGACATTGACCGCGAACTACTCGCCCTGCGATGTATGGCAGAGTAGCGTTGTTTCCCAACAAGCTATCGGATAGTGCATCTAACATATAATGGTCCAGGTATCAGACGCCCTCCTCAAGTTACAAAAGATGCCCGAGGGCAGCACCGCAAGAGCAGGCTACCTGGCAGATCTAGGTCAGGCATGAATACAAAGGCTCACCAAAGCCTCTCTTTATAGCTCTACTAATCCCACTCACACCCATTTATCCACCAGTGCCCTTTTCTCCCACGACAGGTCGAAATGAAACAATCCCCAAGATTGCGGCGCCGGCAACGACATTCAAATTTCTAGCCAAAGATGTCAGTCCACCATCAATCGCAATGGAAAATTCTCAGAAGCACGGTTTCTCACCCGGTAAGCACTGGGTAGATCACGTCGGTGAATTCCAAGCATCAGATCCTTCCGGCGCCGGATCCATTGTCGTTATTGAGCAGCCCGAGAACCAGTACTGTGCTGTGACGGGTGGGATCATGGCGACCCGGATGAAAGCCCTTGGGATCAAAGCCACGGTTGTGGGTGGTCGTGTCAGGGACTTGAAGGAATTGCAAGCTACTGGGCTTCCGGTTTGTTGTGGTCTCTCATGGTCTTGTCGGTGGCGCATTACTAATTGCTCTTTTGCATGATAATAGATCTGGGCTCGTGCTACTTCTACTGTTGGCTCCAATGCCGAGGCTAAAGCTGGTGCTCGTGACGTGCCAGTCTCAATAGGTGGTGTTCCTGTTTCGCCTGTAAGTTCTCGCTCCTGCATTATTTGCTGACTGCTTGATGGTAGAGGTCATGGTCTAATTATTGTAACGCATTCTAGGGAGACATTATCTTTTGTGATCCTTTGGAAGGAGTAGTGGCTATTCCTCGCGAGCTGCTTGACCAAGTACTTGAGCTCATGCCTAAACTGACTCGAATGGATGAGCAGGCTAAAGAGGCCGTTGCACTGGGAATGAGTGTCACTGATGCTTTTAAGAAATTCCGCTGATGGCTCGCTCCAAGACACATTCATCTACGCACTACCAGATTGTGTTTATAGTAGGTGATGAAATGAAACTACCTGGATCAGAGGAACGCATACATCTATTCAAGACTAACGATCTGATACGGTTAGTCCATGATGTTAGGGATGTTGTATGTAAGAAAATTCCGATGCGCTTCTAGAAGTCTTGAAGTCGTTTCAGATGTGTATTCGATAGACGATTAACATCTTCACGCACCTTCCTCATGTTGTTCGCTGCCTTTTCTGATTCTTCTTTCTCTCTTCTTTCCTCTCTTCTATCATTTTCTCGTTGTTTTCTGAATTCTCTCATTCGTCTTCATTTGATCTCATGAAGCCCACCGGAGAACTCATGGAGCCTACTATGGATCCCCATGACAGCCCTCTCAGCAACCTCGATTTATGGTGCGACTGGACTGGCGATCCAGAAGAACCAGTTTCTATTACAATAGCCATGGAGGTAAAACTGAAAAACTAGGCTTCGAGTCTTCTCTGTGGACCTCAGCACTGACCATCGTCTGAATTAAGCTACAAACCTACGGTCATTCCAACCGCAACTTACCAATCCTCAATGTTCAGTCGCCAAACATCGTGAAAAGCCCGTCTTGGGTCATCCGGTTGAAACCTGACTCTGTTCACTATGATGCCGACATTCCGCCGGGGAAAGAGGCTCGGCATCCTGGCCACGAATGTAGCGAAGAGACCGAAAAATACCCTGCCAACAATGGCTCTGTGCCTGACTCTGGGAGTGTTGTTGTTCATGATGGGTTGCACGATGATGACCCTCAAGATGTCTCTCGTCCTACGGTGAACATCTCGGGGATGTACACTCAGGTTGATAGCTCAGATAGCTCAACCTCTTCTGACCCTCGCAAGAACCAGGTCAACAGCTTGGGTGGCCCGAACTCTTTCAAATCTCGTAAGAGATCCGCCAAGGCTGCTTCTCTACCTGACTCAATCCCCCCTGACGATGATTACCAAGGCACCCGACACAAACTTATGATGACCAAGATCGACCCGCCGGCGCAACTGGAGCCAGCGTCCGAGAACACTCACACTATCGAGACCATCGGCAGTTCCATTCCCATTGACAGTCGTTCTGGCAGTTTAATCGAAATCAGTGTGACGCCTGAGAAAATCCCGTTGCCTCAAGACTCGGTTCCGGGTCTCGTACCAGTTTCCCCGAGCGTTACATCTGAAGATCTTTCGCTAAACTGCAAAAGAGTGACAGTTGATAGTGAGACTGAACTCAATGAGACCCCTCTCAGCAAGATTGATTTGAGCGGCACCGAACCGCTCACCGAAGCGAACTTGCTCCATCGGAATTATGATGCACTTTCTACTCGTGGTTGCAATGGAAGCCTTTCTGACACCGAAGACAGCGACAAGGAAAAGGAGGACCCGATTTTTTCTCTTGAATCCATCGGATCGCAATCGTTTTTCTCCTGCATTGGGTTTCATGCACCCCCTCTGCCCCGGGCGTCCGCAGATATGGTCGAAAATCACAACAAGCCCAAGCTCATCTTGGACAATGACATTCTTTACGTACAAATCCCTCACAACGTCTACTCCGCTACCTACCAAATTGCGATTGCGCTCAAGGTTAGGCCGCAGAAAGGAAAATCGAGGGATTGGTGGGAGTTATTTGTGAATGGACTGCCTCGACTTGCCCAATTCGAGTCTGGTTATCTCTATTTTCGAACACCCCCGGGGCAGGGAATGGAATTCATGACTTCGTCCTTTAAACGACATACCCTCGTGGAAAGCTGCTTGATGGCGCAGTTCCATGGTGGAAAAAGCCTCGTGGTCCCGTTCCGTAAGTGCAACGCAGAATACTACGGACAACTCAAAGACTACAAAGTCAACACAGTCATGCGGGCAGAGATTACAGAGCCGCTAGGCGATCCATCGTCCTATGTGATCAAATACAAAGCGGTTTGCTCCATTGATCTCATCAATCACAGCTTTTGGGCCGAGAGATGCAAATTCGACCTCAGTGTGTATGGTGGCCCAGAGGGCGAGTTCAACGCCATTTTCGCAGCTAAAAAACCGGTTATAAACTCGATTCGGTTGCAACCGGGGCAAGATGGCATTGGAATGTCGCGCATACATATCATCAGCATCCCTCAAGCTCTGGAGATGTTCACGGTGTCGTGGGAAGTTAAGCAGCCGCGAGGCATGGCTGTCACCTGGCTGCCCCGGGTTAAAACCACGGTCAGCCACAATAATGCCGAAGCTCTTCTTCAAGAAGACTACGCCATCTTTGGCCTCAAGCACGAAGTAGTCCCTTCGAGGCACCGGAATGAGGTTAATCCTAAGATCCCGTTTTCACGTCTTGCCCATTTGAAGCCGCCAGTCATGGAAACTCCAGCTCCATCTCTCCAACGTGAAGTTCTTCTGGGTCACAAGCCTAAAGCGGATCTCGCTTCCAACTCTACAAGTACACAGACTGTTGCGGTAACTCCAGTCGCTGAATGGAAGAACCTCCGCCATGCCCTCGGATTATGGACCCTCATCAAGATTTTCGTTCAACTGCTTGGTTTCTTGGGGTCTATATATAACATTTTCTGCTCATACTTGCTGCTACGTGACTGTGGGTTCCGCGAAGTGTATGTCTATGACCTAGTGGACTGCGTGGGGAATTTGACGAGCATCAACGTGGAGAAAGGAACGAGTACTGTCCTGGCGGAGTATGATCTTCAGTCTGAGCTGATACAATCCGAAATTCAGCAGTTTGTCAAAATTACACCTGCCGATATCACTCCAATGCCCCTGAGGGACCGTATCGACTACCTTCTCGGATGGCGAGGACCAATTGCGCGGGAGTAAATTTTTGACGATGGGGATGGTTAAGTATCGCTATGGAGGGACAAACTGGGAGAAACCACAGAATCAGACGCAGCCATAGCTGCAGTTAGCAGATGGTAAACATAAAGATGACAATCTCTTGATTAATCCTTTATCTTACTTGTACTCCTTGCCAACTTCGCAGGTAACCGACGGCAAAAATTAGACACAAGACATATTTAGCCAATGTACAAGTCTGGTATACTTCGACCGTTTAGGCTATAGATACACTACTTTACTATACTATTCCTACGTCCTATCCAAATAATGTCCCAGAATCAACTCAACAGCCCACCGCAACACAACATCCATCCCCGCGCTACCGCATCCCGGTGCAACCTCAACCCCAACGTCAGTCCTAGCCCTAGTCCCATCCCCAATCCTCCGGACAATATCAGCCTCCGCTAGGGCCTGACTCCCACCCTTTTTCTTTTCATGTCCACCCCCATCCTCGGCAATCAACAACCAAGCATGATCCGTCACATACCGCGGCCAAACAATGTCATCCACGTATCCAGGCGGATCGACCCAGAAGTTCTGTGGCGGCCGATCATCCTCGGCATCAAGATCAATATCCGTTGTCTTTCCATCTCCACTGTCCGACCCATCCGTAGAAGCCTGCACTGGCGGTTCCGGCGCCGGTCCAACAGTCACATACCCACTCCTCCCCTCGCGTCTCGACTTCACAAGCTCATACGCCGCAGGCAGAAAGAGAGGAAGATGTATAGCGTCATGGACGGAACGGAGGACGTGCTGTTCTTGCTCGGGCGGCGCAAATAGCAAAAATCCCTCTAGGAATGCCATCGTCGGGTTCTCGGTGTCTTGACCGGATGCTTCGTCCCGCAGTCGAGAACTAACAACATCCCTCAGCTCCTGTACGATCTCGTCCGATACGCCGGACTCTGTCTGGTCGTTTTGGTCTTCCTTGCTTCGTAGTCGCGGCGGGAGTGTCCCGTTCTCGCGCACGTATTGCAGTGCTTGTGAGAGGAAGGGGATGTCGATTGCGGAGGCTGTGTCCCAGTCTTGGATTGTTTTGCCGGAGGCGGTTGTTGTGTACGGGATTCTGGGAGGTGTGTTAGTGTTGGAGGGGGGGGGGAAGGGCATGAGTCTAGGTTTGGTGTTGGGGTTCTGGGAGGATGGGGCTTCCACTTGAGACGGCTTATATGGATGTATGGAGCTGAAGTAGAGGTATACACACTTATCGTCTGGGAAATAGAAATCATCTTCGTGGATTATGAACGTGTTGAGACGTTTGTCTTTGGGGAGATTCACCCCGCAGAAAACACGCTGCAGGAGCCGCGCGAGGGTTGTCTTGCCGCTGCTCGAAGGCCCGGAGATCCCTATTATCACGGCTTTTTCGTGGACCGGTTTGTTCATTTTCCTTTCTTCGGTAAGCTGGGAGAAATTGGTGAATTGAAGCTTCCAAGCGCGGGGTGGAGGGGGGGGGGGGGGGGGCGAATGTTAAGAAAAATGTTATCTTATCGTTGACCTTGGTAGATCGAAGACGACAACCGAACACAATTCGGTGTGTTTCTGTCAAATTATAGAGTCTTACCTCGTTCAGGACAAGGGTCGCAATACTACATTTGTATTCCTGTCGAACCCAACGCTCAACTCTTTTCTTTCACAATTTCTTCTTTCAAAGCTACCCCATCTTGCTCATCGTGACCGGAAGATGGCAGAACCCAGGCGGCTGGGGAGCAATACACATAGACGACACTGCTCCATTCATCTTATGGGACGACATTAACCACAAGTGTCGCAAATCCAGTTCAATAGGCAGACCCGCGGAGGGCATTGGAAGGGAAAGATATTAAAGGCATGGTCATAGGTCGAGGCTGATAGCGTGAGTTCAGACTTAGTGAGCTTTGATCTCAAATGGCAAGTTATTTCAAAAGTCCAGTGGACACTCTAAAATTCCTTTTGAATGGTGGTGGTCATATAATCTCCAGGCATGCCAGAGGTTTATGAATGATACTATCTCTGACAGGATCTGCAAGGCACAAATTATAGCTGTTAAACGGCGGAGTCATCGGTCTCTTCCATTTCTTTGATGGGATAAATTGTCTCGGTGCTCATCGAGATGATCTGGTAGCTAAGGGATGACAAGTTGTTTAAATGGCTAATCCACTCACATCACAGTCTTGTAATTTCTTGTGTAAATTTTACACACAGTGGCTAGAGCGAATACACATATGATGAGCTGTAGGTAGAGAGCTACATAGCTTCAATGAGAGACTTTTACCACATTTCAAAACCAAAACATGCCGCTAGAATATAGTGTAGAAATACATCATCACTGGAAAGGCCCGAACAACGATGGCGTCATTATACCGTCTCTAGGTAAGTCTCCAGTAACCGTCCCATGCGCTGCCAAGCCAGTCTGCGAAGGCCCAGAAACAGGGCCCCCAGCTCCGGAAGAAGAATTCAACCCGGGCACAGTCTGCAGCGGCGCAGGAACTGCATCCAAAGCACCCTCCCCCATGACCTGATCTCGCCCCGCAAAGCCAACCCGTGACCGCTTGGCCGGGGGCCCCGTAGCTCTAGTCGAATCAGTGTCGGCATCTGACTCCAAATTCCGCCGCTGTTTCTGGGATTGCAGGCCCGGTTTCCGCCCGCGCGCATGGACCACCTCGTGATCGGGAATCGGCAATTTATGTTGGTCAAATAGCCCAAGTGGATGTGTAAGTGGAGCCATGCCGGCCGAAGCCTCGTCGGGCATGGGCAGGAAGGGCTCGTTCTTTATGATGTCGCTCATGGTACTATCGTTCAGTGGGTTATCTCCTGCGTGCGTCGTCTCCTCGGCGGTCATGTTTTTGCTGCGGTTGAGCATGCGGTATTCGAGGGTGTTGCCTAGGACGAGGGTTTCGACGAAGACTGGTCTTTTCTGCCCAATTCTGTGGGCTCGTTTGATGGCTTGGCTTTCCACGTTGCGTTCCCAGATTGGATTGACGATGTACATCCGTGAGGCTTCGGGGATGTGGAGGCCATGCGAGGCTTGCTTGACGCTCATCAGCAGAACACGGACCTCGTCGGTTTCGCGGAAGTCGCGGAGATGCTTGGTTTTGAAATTGGAGCCCATGCTCGCGGTGCTGGCGTAGGTGCGGAATTTGACTGCTATTAACTCCAGGCCTTGCTCGACCCAGGAAGCGACGTTGTCATGTTCATAGAAGATGATGATTTTTTCGGTCTTCTGGAATTTCAGCACTTGATCCAACAAGTACCGAAGCTTCGCGGATGCTACTCCTTCCAGCTTCGTTTGGGCTAAGGGTGAAGTCTCTGGAAGACTGCGAAAGATCTTTTGTTTAAAAGTTTGATGTTTCCTGCTCCCTTTCGATGTCGATTTGCTAACTGGACGGTTAGCATTCACCGACTCGGGGGAACCGTTGTGAGCATTTGTAGCTGTCTGGCTTTGTTGAACTAGCTCCCGACGAACTTTGATACCCTCTCCTGCGAGACCTTCGGCGGGATCAGGCGTCATGAGATGGTTCATCACAAATTGCTGCGCGTGACGAGCCTGGGTGATGCCCATGAGCAGGGGCTCCTGGCCGGCCTCTGTGGGATCAAGGGCCCACATGTTGCGAGCATGTTCTGGGAATCGCCGAACAAAGACTCCAAGCTCATGCATCTTTTTGAATCCATTCCAGCCTGGAGAATTTATTGCCTTTCGTGCGATCTGGATCCCAGACTTTAATTGGTTCAAATCTGCCACTGTCATCTTCTCTTGGTTTTCCTCCAGATATTCCAAAGCAATGTCGACAGTACTTTGGACATTGTCATCACCAGCCCACCAAAACCCAGCCAGACGTAAGTTTTGTATCAACTCAGTGAGTTTAGTTTTGTTGATTTTCTTGTCTTTTTCGTCACTCTCATCAAACATGTAGTCGGGACCTTCTCGTTCAGATGTAATTGCGTTGACTGCGAGTGTAAAGAGGAACAAGTTGATATACAGCCGGTCGTAGAAGGTCGGCTCAAGGTAGACCACCTTATTATACAACGGTGGAAGAGTGATCTCTGTTTTGACCGTTTCATACCGGTGTCGCACCACAAGGCTCTGGAGCGTCGCACGTAGAGATGGAGATTTTCGACTGATTCCATCTTCGCCCACTATTTTCGTATAACGGGGCCATTCTTTAGTATTGTTAGCCCAAGGCTTGAGATTGAAGAAATCATGAACCATGTCGCCCAATTTATCCAAATTTTTGATTTCATAATTGAAGGAACTGCCGGCCTTTTTGCTCTTTTGCAAGATGGCAGTTTCGTGACTGTCAGACGATTGAGTATCGTCTGTGCCCATTTCTCGTGAAGCAATGCTAAGTTCCACTCCATACATTTCTGAGAGAGGGGTTCCTGAAATCATCCAGCGGCGCTCAATTTTCAGATTCCTCAGCAAGTTGACCATTCCCGTTTGTTTGCCGGCAAGGTTGTGCCCTTCATCGACGATAACTCGCAACCAGTGAAGATTGAGCATAGGGGCATCCGGCCTCTGTCCACTTTTATCGTATTTTGAATTCTCTTTGCTACATCGGGTTTTGGAGAACAGCACAATGTCAAATTTCAGAAGTTCGTCCGTTGATGGCGTTTCGTCCTGGGTTTTCAGAACTAGGAATTTCAGATCGCTAATGTGAGTAGCTATTTCACGTTCCCAGTGGTCCACCAAGTTATCCGGGACAATAACGAGTGTACCAGAGCAGAGACGAATATGCTTGGCCGACTCGGCGAAATTTGATTTAGCCCTTTGGTAGTCGCTTTTCGCCGGTATATTGTAGGAACCACTCTGAGCCACACAGGCATTCTCACAATTGATGTGGTATTTTCCCCTGGCTTTCTTCCGGTCAAAGTAACCCTTCCAGGGTAGAGAAAAGCGACCAGCAGCAGCAGCAGCCATTTCCATTAAGCTTCCAGTCGAGTTCCTGATGGGGTTCAGGAGGGTTTGATACTCCACCGGGATTTTGGGGAAATGCCCCTGCGTAGCCAATATCACCGCAAGACTGATGAGGGTTTTCCCGCATCCCATGGATTCTGCCAAAATCCCTACTGAAAGTCAACATGGTTCACTAAGAGATTGACAGCTGAACAATAATTGAGAAAATCAGCACCACAAATTTGAGTACATACCTCCACAGGCCTCGGGGTACAATATCTTGTCCCTCAAAATGTTCCCAGATACCTTGTCATAATAGAACTCCAATCCTGTTGGACCCCGCCAAGGCTGGATTCTCGGATCAAGCGTTAGCGCCGGCTGTACCTCCCTCTGAACCATCACAGCAGCGGATTCGCACTGAAACGGATGCAGCTGTGTTTTGAGACCTCGGATCGAATTTTTCAACAATCTATCCATGGCACGCCGAGAGTGTAAATCTGTAATTTGGTCGAAGTTTGGTTTGGGCTCTTGCAACGTATTGTAAATATAATATAAGGATTCTTCTTCTTCATTATAGGACTGAGTGTTGGTAAGTAGACCAGCATGGGCATCAATCAAGCCGTTCCACGCTTCAGAGGAGCTATCAATCATGGAAATGACGAGTTTGAGACCGGTTAGAAGACTTTTTTCTGTTTCACCAGGTTTTTTTTTAAAGGGTTTCTTTCGCTGTGCGTTCGGTAATACAAAAACCTGTACATTATTGCTGTCGCTAAGACAGCGTGTGCGAATCCATTCGTGTTTTTCTAGCCGCGCTATCTGGGAGTCAGGGTAGCGAGGCTTGGATGAAAATTTGCCCAAAACGCCGGCTGGGATATATTGATCAAGAGGCGTATGTGTTGCCTGTGGGGGTTTGGTACCAAGTGGCTCATCTATCATCTCTGAGTCAAGAGGTATGTCTGGCACCTCTAGGTCGAGAGGCTCGTCTTTCACTGCTATGTTGAGGAGCCCATCTGTCACATCTGGGCCGAGAGGCGCATCCATCACCTCCTGATCTTCCGATTTCATAAAGGGTTCAGGACTGGACGGGGCAACGAAAATATGAGGGAGCCCCGAAATTTCATAGTTTATTGGTAATGATCTAATCGAGGGGCCTGGTGCCCATTGCGCTGGTTCTGACATGGCGAATAGTTGCAAGAAAGACAATTTCCCATGGAATCTGGAGAGATATTGGCAGAATAATGACCGCCTTCGATAGGATCTGCCCTGTCGGGTAGTGGGTCAAGGAGGGTCCGAGCTTCCCACGTTGGCTTCTTGAGACAACGTCCTTCGTTTCTCGATGCACTTTACATCGCCCAGATTCTTAATTCTTATGTTTATCTCATTCGCATTTTGTTTCCACTATTAATATTACTCATTAAAAGCACGATGAGCCATCAAAAATTACCAAGATCTAATCTATCACGCGCCCCAACCAGTGACTCCGTGAATCCTTGAACAATGCACCATACATTCTATGGCCCAGCCAGCAAGCAGGCCTGAGCCTGAGCTTTATTTTACTGAGTCAAAAAGTCCTCAATCTCAAAACCCATCCGCTTAAGCGCCTTCTCCTCCAAATCCCTTCCAACAACCTTCCTCAGCACAACTGTACGCGCATCCTGCAATCGCACCTCGACAGGATTCCCACCCATGCGATCCAACTCCTCCTTACCGCACTCGCGAATGTAAACTGTGATATCAGGTCCCACGCACGCGCGCCACAGCGACGCCATCCACTGCCAGTGATCGAGCGGCGCGTAGGAGTCGCCGATGGGCGTGGAGCAGGCGAATGCATCAGCCGTGGTAAGCTGGTATCGCGGGACGAGCGCAATAGGTACGCCATAGTGACTGCCTGCCGTGATGGCGCTAGTTTCGGAGCCGTTCTCGCTTGACTGGGCTGGGGAGTGGATGTGCATGTTTGCGGTCTTGGGTATGAGGGTGCGGGGGGAGACGTTTGGTACGAGGGGTTCCTCGTCTGTTACTATGGAGCGGGCATCGACGGAGCCAGCTCTTGAGGTGGATTTTACGAAGCCGATGATTTCGTCGGAGATCCGGTGCCAGGCTGAGATGGTGTTGAGGTAGTCGACTGTGGCATCACCCATCTGGCCTGCTTCTGCGGAGGTGGGTCGGGGTGCTTTGATTTCTGGTCCGTCGAAGACTCGTACGTGATACTTTGTCTCCTTTTGTAGGAGGTTGTTGAGGTATTCGACCGCTGTTTGTACGAGCTCAGGATCTTGGCCGTCCACAGCGATGACGGGGCCGCGGGCTGGTGGGATGCCGTCCCGGAATGAGGGGAGGAGGGGCGGGGAGATCTTAGCGAGGACTTTGATCTTGTTGAGGAAGGGGATTGTCATGACCGTTGCTTCGACACTGGACCCTTCTTGCGGAAAGGGTGTTATGGGTGTCATCACCGGTGTCGTAGTCTGGAGTGGTGGTAGCTTCAGACTGGGATCAGGGTGTGGCTGCCCCGGGACACTTTGATATGGCCGTTGCGGTTGAAGCATGGGGAGGTGGCGTGGTGGCATATCGGGGCGAGCACTCCAAGGGGTCATAGGGTGCGGTGATTCGGGGATGCCATTTCCGGGACTGTGGTCCCGGTAGGAGGGATGTAAAGTTGGCTTGAATGAGCTGTGGGATACTCGGCGGCGTTTATTGTCAGGAGAGCGACCACCGGGTCCCTCCCAGTGTCTGTGGCGAGAATGGGGGTCGTGGTCCATCTTTGCCGACTTCGGTACTGGATTGGGGTCCTTTTCGTGGCCTTGGACACTTTTTGGCGGCACATTATTTGGGTGTGGTGATGATACTGAGAAGTTTGATGGTGGTCGATATCCAAGCCCACTGCTGGGTGTGAACGGGGTCATGGGGGACGCGGGTGCATTCATCAATCGACCACCACATCTGTTACAGTGTGATGAACCAGATGGGTTGTGCCCAATCCCTGAGGCCGAACTCCGGGAGCCTCCATCCCGACCATACCGCCGAGGCTGGTAGCGGTAGTCAGGGTATTGCTGCTGATGCCGAGCTTTTTCCTCCTGGTGTACTTGTCAGTGTTTGAGATCACATTGCCAGAGATGCCTTACTTACCTCTGCAAGTGCCTTCCATTTACTCTTATCATCTTCCGAGAGAGATCGCCACTGTTCTCCAATGATCTTGGAGATCTCGGGATTGGCCAAGCCCGGATTATGAGCGACCACCATGGCCTGATAATGCTGACGATATAGAATAAACGCTAGACGTTTGCACCATATTAGCTACATTCTATGTATTCGAAAGATCAGATCTGGCTAATGACGACCAAAAAAGAAACAATCGAAAAGCACTTGCCAAGCTGTAATGACGGTGCGGACAGCAGCGACTCACCATTACGAGGCCGGGGAATTTTCGGATCTGGTTGACAGAGGCAAAACTGCATGACACTCTCTTTCTGCGATTTTATTGGACTGGCACTGCTGGCTGAAGAGGAGGATGATCGATCTGATCTGTCTCGCAGGGGCAACTCCTTGGTCGAGATCATGGGTCCGACAGGCTTGAGGGAGCCATTGGAGGACATCTTGTGTGTCTCGTTGGATGCATTTAGGGATAAGTATTGATGTGTCTGATGTACCCCCGTTGATCGAGGATCGGAGTATCTGACTGAAGGTCCCACTGAACCGTCGGTAGGGTGTCTCATGGTCATGGCAGACAATTCTTCGTTCATGATTTGGTGGTCGAGTAGCTTGCTTGGTCTAGGCAGAGTGACTTGGGCAGACTCATTGCGTAGAGCAACAGGGTTGGGGAGAACTCGATCGTAAGACATTTATTTAATACTTTTCTCTCTCCATGAAAGGGCTCGAAGGCGAAGTTTGAATCAAAGGACTATCACAAGGGACAGGTATTTTTTTTTAAAAAAAAAGCACAAGCCTTGAAAGGGAAGGCAGAAGTGAATAGGTTTGGAGGCGACTGGGCCCCAAGAAATAACAAGAAAGAGAGCGAGGGTAGAGGTGAGAAAACAAAGAAAATGAATCAAAAATGAATCAGAATCAGGAGAAATGGGAAAGAATCCCAATAAGAAATGATTGAAAGACCGGGGAATACCAGGGATTAGGACAAAGCGAAGTATATGGGCGTTTGGACCAAAAAAGCCCTAAAAAGTGTTCTCTTTGTCTTGGGTTGGGTTTACCCCCGGAATCCCTGTCTAGTAGCTGGTTCTTTCACAATAGCTCTAGATTGCCCTTGATATTCTGACCGAGCCAACCGAGATGAAAAAGAAATGAACGAAAAAAAGTACGAAAAAAAAAAGAAAAACCATAGAAGGGATTTTCTTTGTTATACATTAGTCTACATTAGTCTTATTCTGGAAACTACCTAGGTATCGACTTGGAAAATCTCGTTCTACTTCTTACTGACACGGTACCCTCCAGATGATTCTAAAGAAAATGACCAAAAAAAAAAACGAGGTGTCAACTTAAAAAAAAAAATTCGAACCCAAATCCCCCTAATTTCCTAATTTCAAGGGCCAAGGTACTAGAGTCATTGTTTTCTTTGTCTCCGGATGCGGCGACCCGCTTGCTCGAGCTGGTCCACGAGGCTCCACCCTACTTGTAATGGCCGTTGATTGGCTGGGATATTTCCTAAATCGGTTCCCCATCAAATCAAACAAGAAATCTGCAAAAATCAAAGTTGAACAAGTTGCACGAAATGATTTCCTTAGGGGTTTTTTTTTTAGACTTTAGATTTGATTGTCTGGCATTGTACCTGGACCGATCTTCTTTCCTGTTCATTCATATATTTATCTGTTCACATAATCACATATTCATCTTCAAATACCACATCTTAAATCCTCGCCTATGCCCAGAGAATGATCTCATTGCCGATCTCTCGATCCACCATGCGTTACAGTCACTTGAATTGACTCTTCGAACAATACCACCCTTTCTCCCTATTCTCCTATGTCTCGGGTAATGAATATCTGGGTTCCAAGTAGGTTCCAGTCTATAATTTGACCGGTACTACCGTGCCTCATCTGGCTCAGAGGCAAAAGGGTTGAGATCCACCCTTTGATTGTCCGGGAACCTGCCCAGCTGGCCATTGCTGGCCATTGCTCAGTCGCATCAGGTATAGTCGGGGCCTAGCGCGTTTGATTTTCGGGTACCGACATCATTGCGATTTGCTATAGACCCTCCCCGGGCACTTGCGAGACGTCAGATTTGTCACCATTCTGAAAAAAAAAAATCTTTAATTTTTTTTGCTTCTCGTTGATGAGTTGTTTGAAGAAAAGCTACTCATTGATCTAGACAATGTCTAAGCTGCAAACCCCCGTCGGTTGTGGCGCTTCCCTGACGCACCCTTCGGGTTCAGAAATCAATCCCATGGTAGATGTCCACAGCCATAAGCCGGTGAGCTAAAGCACCCAAATGCATCTCATCTCGTTCCTGAAATCAACAATGTTACAGTCAGCCAAAAAAAACTGACATTTTGACCTGTCGATCCTTTTGCCCCACGTGTCTTGTAGAAATCTTAACGAATGATGAAAAAAAAGAAACTCACTATCAACACAAGGCTCCATGGGGGTTTTTTTCCCACCCAGGGTCCAAGTTCTTCTCTTGTTATGGAATTAAGCTGGTTGTGGTAAAGATGATCTTATTACTATAGAATTGTTGCGTAGGACAAGTACGCTGCTTAATAATACGTATGTCATCATCCATCCCTCACATCTCTAGACCACTATCCTCTGCTAGACCCGCCGCAGAAAGCTACCAGTCACGAATGCGGTCTATACTGAAAGCATTGATATCAAAAAGATTGAAAGGACCACAACTCCACTCCCTGCCACCTTGCGGAACTTCAATTCCACGCTTCCAGGATCCGGTGCGGATCCTGGCACTGATCCCCACGGATTTAAACCCAGGCAGGAAGGTCACGTCAGCTATCTGTGTCAGAATGAGATTCAGCCCCATTGTACCCAATCGCACGGACAGAGTGTCAAGCTGATCCATAACAATTGCAATGCGTGGCTCAACTTATTTGCTTGTTGCATGATAGTCCTTCGTAACTAGGCTTCAGAGATCCCATACGAACGAAACAACGGAGAGAGCGCGATCCAGGCGGGACCAGACCGCTTCCTAAAGAGGTCCCTCGTCGCGCCTGACTCGGTATATAGCCAGTGCTGGAGCTGGGACTCGAAGTCTGCGAGATGGATCTGGGACAGTCGGTCTAGTAGATCGATTTCTTTGTTGTCGACTACGGCGCCGATGGTTCTGTCTTGAGGAGATAGGTCCTCTTGATGGCAAGAGAACTAGTCGCGTTTCAGGTTGTTCCAGTCAGATACCATGCTCGTTTCTCCGCGGTTAGACTTTTCCCAGTGTGTTATCTTACGAACTAAACAAAGCCAGCCCGTGAATCTCTTGCTCTGTGACTCGTCGGATTGTCTATCGTTCCGTGGGTCCCTGAAATTCGACTGATCGCCGGTCAGATTTGCTGACTACAGGGAGCAGGTGTGATGCCGAAGGGGCGATATCAGAGAACATGTGCTGTGCGTTACGTCAAAAACCATGTTGACATTCTTCCAAAAAGCGTGTAGCAACGATTAAGCAGGCGCGCCATGACGACTGAATGGCTAAGTGCTAAAATAGGCCCGATTGAGTTGTGTCAATCTTGGATCTCACATCTTCTTGTCTCGGACGTAAAAAAAAAATGTCGCTACAAGTGCTCCGATGGCAAATTGTAAGTAGAGCCACGCTCCTAGGCAGCAGTACCAATGCGACACATTGTAATCAGAAAGAATGTCTCCCATATTCTGTGGGGAACCAAAAGACTATCCGGCATTGCAAAGCTTTGGAGATTGGGAGAAAATCTTCACCCGGACAGGAAGCATCGGCAATGTCTCCAAAAACGCTACGGGAAAACGGAAAGAAGTTTGAAACAGGATATACTTGTTCAATGTGTTATCCAGAAATTTAGTAGACAAGAAAAATCACTGTAAAACTAGAAGTTCTTTTTTAAACGGGAATTTGGTACATCTGTAGATTGGCTACATGGCTCGGACAGAACCAAGTAGACCAACGTCCGGCTGGGCATATCAGAGTCGCCGATTCATCTTTTTGATTGCGGAGTAGACTGGGCCACAATTCCTTGATCTGGTATTTTGGTCCGTATCCAAGCCTCTTGGTGATATTTGGGTTCTCCTGTTCTATCACATTTCGAGTCCTGAATAATGGATCGGTCTAGATTTACTTGCATCTCGTTAAAAGCCCATCGCGCAAGGCCACGTCCAATGCCGTTCCGTTTCGCATTGTCTTAAGAATTTGACATTCCTTTGGCCTACTGGCCCTCTGATACGAAATTGTATGTTGTTAAAATGGGCGCGCCAAAACAGTGTATGCTGCGGATCTATGATACTACCCAATGTTTCTGCTAGGAAATAGACGGACAAGGGATAGAAAATGATTGAGGAAAGATGTGACGCCTTTTGACGGACTGATAAGTTTCAAATTTTCTGGTTTTAAACCTTAGAAGAGGCAAGACATCCACAAATTAATGCTAAAAATTCTTCTTGGTAGTCAGATCTGATATTTGACGTTGGCGTCCCCAATGAGCCAAAGAGATCGGATTTCTCAAGCTCTACATTGTCAAAGACATAGGTCACATAACCGGCCGACTGTGTCTTACAGATCCAGGGGTTGTCTGCTCAACGATCCGTGCGCTGACGTTTGCAAGGTCTGACATGCTAGTGATTCACACGAAAGGTCGAATATAGAGTCAAATATGGTTAGTGGAGGCTGTGAATTTGCAATTCTCGTACAGGACTCGTGGTGGCTGTCAATAAGTGAGTCGCTTTGTGAGACCACGCTCAATATTGACATATAAAAGTTGGAGTTCGGCCGGTCGAGACTGAATCAAGACCCGAAACAGACATTCATCATTCAGTTGGTGATTCAAGGTCAGTTGTATTCGAAAGTCGCCCTGGGACGTCTCACGCCTGAATGAAAGAGCACCGTTGATTCAAGGCGGAAAGAAAGCTATAGTGGCTGGCGGTCCTGGATACGTGTTGTCTCTGGGATGAATAGTTGGCGGGAACAAGTTGCAGATGCACACTTGAAAGAACAGTGATTCTGGAGTTTTGGGCGCTCTGCAGACACCCACACCATAGTACTTTTTGAGCACAACTTGATTTGCTAAACGAGGAAAAGAAATTACCGGGGGTGTTGTAACCAGGTCACATGACACCCTGATTGCACTAAGCCCTGTTGGGAGACCACAAGCCCTACTTCCCACACGTGGCACGTGACTTGCACCTCGCTAAGCCGGCGAACTAAAAAAATCCACAATACAGACTCCTTCGACGACAATCTCACAAATCGACAACACCCGCGCTACCGTCTTGACCGCGCCGCCTCCGTCAAGATGAAGCTCAACGTCTCCTACCCGGCCAATGGGTCCCAGAAAATTATCGAGATCGACGATGAGCGCAAGCTCCGTCCCTTCATGGAGAAGCGCATGGGCGCCGAAGTCAGCACTCCCTCAACCTCCTTCCCCGATTGCCCGACACCACATCGATGAACAACATACACACATACGCACACGAATATGGAGAACGACTGGCTAATTGGGATTTTTGATTAGGTTGTCGGCGATGCTCTCGGTGATGAGTTCAAGGGTTACGTCTTCAAGATTACTGGTGGTAACGACAAGCAGGGTACGCATACAATTCCTCTACATTTCCAGTATCAGTGCAACAAACTTGATGCAAAAAAACTACTTTTCAACGCACAACACGAGAAACACTCTGCTGACGATTTTAATTTCCAGGTTTCCCCATGAAGCAGGGTGGTACGTACAAGCCGCACAACAACCTGGGGAATGATCAAAAAAATTATATCCAACCCCATGGATACAACCACCCAACCGCAGGATGCTCATCGAATTATTTTTACAGTTCTCCTCCCCACCCGTACCCGTCTCCTCCTCGCCGACGGCCACAGCTGCTACCGCCCCCGCCGCACCGGTGAGCGCAAGCGCAAGTCCGTCCGTGGTGCCATCACCGGTCTGGACCTTGCCGTCCTTGCTCTGTCCATCGTCAAGCAGGGCGAGGGTGAGCTCCCCGGTCTCACCGACACCGTTGTCCCCAAGCGTCTCGGCCCCAAGCGTGCCACCAAGATCCGCCGCTTCTTCGGTCTCGACAAGAAGGACGACGTTCGCAAGTTCGTCATCCGCCGTACCGTCACCAAGGAGGGAAAGCAGGACTACACCAAGGCCCCCAAGATCCAGCGTCTGGTTACTCCCCAGCGTCTCCAGCGCAAGCGCCAACGCGTTGCTATCAAGCGCCGCCGTGCTGAGACTGCCCGCGATGCTGCGTAAGACTCACTCTTCTTCTGTGCTCTCACCGATTATCTACGGGTGCATTGGTTTGATTTTAGGAAACACCTGAACTGACGTTTAAATAGTAACGACTACGCCAAGCTCCTTGCCGGCCGTGTCCACGAGGAGAAGGCCAAGCGTGATGAGCTCCGCAAGCGGAGGGCTTCCTCCATGCGGAAGTAAACTTCCAGACCCGCGGTTTTATGATTTCGTTCTGCGGCGATGGGGTTTAATGAAGGAGCTTCACGTCTCTGGGATGATTTGAGGGGAATTCACAAAAAAATGAATCACTCAGAGGCGCGGAGGATACATGTCTGATAAAAAGAAAAGGGAACAAGAGAAGAGACGGGAAACAGGTTTCAAAACGTACAAAGCAGGCTGAGTGGTTGATACTCCCTTGTGTTTGGCTACAGTGATTTCGGGCCTTGGGAGTCGCATGCATACCTGTGTTGAACCTACCTTTTTTTGATGACCCTTTTTTTTGAATGGAGTGCATGCAAATTTCAATACTCAGTTCTGTTAATTGCTTGAGGCTTTTTCGCTAGGCGTAGATGTACTGAGTACGGAGTGGTCTATTGTATATCTCCTCGATTTATCTCTCCCTCTCTTTGTGGACTCCTAGTCTACTCCACACAGACGAAGTCACTTTAATACACTAGTTTAATAATGCCATTACCTTAAATCCCCCCCGCTTCCAGACATGTTCCATTTTCCTAAGGGTTTAGTAGAGACACGGGTCACGTGCCATATAGGGTCTAAAGACAGGCAGGGCAAGACGTTCAGAATCATGTTTTTCAAGGGGTTGACTACATTTGGAGGTCGATTTATGGTATTCTTGTAGCGGGATTGTTACAAGGACGTCTCTGGTGGATGTGTTTCCACTCCATCCCGGCTAGTTGTGCCCAGGTCGCATGTGTACTTCTACAAATCTACAAACGTTGTGATACCATGGCAATATATCAAGATTTAAACAGCCAATTCAACACACCCATCGCAGCACTACTATTAAAACACGTCTCTAATTTTGAATGTTGTAAAACGGCCCCCAGGCCTTGCAATCATTTAAACCAAATATCAAGTACTCTGCAGATGAAGAGCACACACATGAACGATGCAACCGAACCAAGGATAACCAACTTCCGTCAGGGGGAACTGCGCGAAGACAACATTCAAAAGTCGGTCTCCCTCTTACCAAAAAAAAAAACATAGAAAAAAAAGGTAAAAACACCCGGGGACTAACATCCTCGTCCGGCTAATAAAAAGGGTCATAAGAATCGTATTTTTTTGTTTCCCGCTCAGTCCACGGTTTGCGCCACACTTGTGGTTAATCACTAGGACAACCCGTAGATCGGATCCTCTGTCTTGATGTAATAATTCATTCCTGTCTCTGATTTACCCCACGGTGTGCGAGAACAAGAAGCTAACCGACTCGCCGTTGTGCGTACGACGGCATGCCTCTGCCAATGTCGGGCTGATATCGATCGTATGGATCTTGTCGCACTGCTCTTGCTTGTCGCCCAATGGGACAGTGTTGCTGACGATAATGCTGCAAGAAGAGAGTTAGTCAAAAGTGACTCGAGAAGGCTGAATAATCCAAGATTCCAATGACTTGTTCTTGTATTCGGGCGTGTACATACCGCTTGAGGCAGCTGCCGTTCAGGTTCTCGATCGCCTTGCCGGACAGAATGCCGTGTACAACGATGGCGTTGACTTCGGTGGCACCGTGCTGCATGACCGTTTCGGCCGCCTTGGCGAGCGTGCCGCAGGTATCGGCCATATCGTCAACGATGATAGCGACCTTATCCTTGACGTTACCGACAAGGACCATACGTGAGACCTCATTGGGGCGGGCACGTTCCTTGTGAATAAGCGCGAATTGCAAGTCCAAACGATCGGCAATAGCAGTAGCACTAACAGCAATCCCAATTAGCCTTTGAACTACCCCCGGTATACAGATCATGTGTAGTATCGAGATAGGCATAACTTACCGCTTGGCACCGCCAGCATCTGGACTGACGATGACGCAGTTGCTGACATCGAGGTTCTCACGGATATACTTGAGCATGCTGGGCTCGGCGTACAGGTTATCGACGGGGACATTGAAGAAGCCCTGGATCTGACTGGCGTGCAGGTCCATAGTGATAACGTGGTTGCAGCCGGCGGTCTGAAGCATGTTCGCCATCAACTTGGCGGTGATAGGAGCACGGCTCTTGTCCTTCTTATCTTGGCGGGCATAAGGGAAGTTGGGGATGACGGCTGTGATGCGGCGGGCCGAGGCAGTCTTGCAAGCGTTGATCATAATCAGGAGCTCCATGAGTCCATCGTTGATGTCATTGGGTTTTGTCGATTGGAGAATGAAGACTGCGCAACAAGTCAGATACATGGGTGGGGGTTCTTAGCATCACGATTAAGGTGGGGATGCCAGTACCATCTTCGTCCCGGACGCTCTCTCCGATTGTGACACTGGTTTCTTGGTTGGAGTATTGCAAGACCATGATCTTGGTCAACTCAATGCCGAGCCTGATTCACAGCGCTAGAATTAGTCGCTGACCCAGTCTTAACCTAGTCGGTTACACATACCGATCAGCAACTAGGTTGGCAAGCTCTGGGTGACTGTTACCAGTCAAGAGCTTAATGGAGTTGGCCGACATGATAAAGAGCCTTTCAAAACTATAAGAAGAGATAGATTCAATTCAAAGATGCACAAAACACACTGTTCTCCAAGATGACCGTGTTCGGCTCAAAAAAAAATCGAATTTCCTCCGCGGCCCCGCACGGCTTTTTTTTCTATGCAGTCCCGTGATAGCCTCACCGCCCGGTGACATAAGCCTATTGCCAAGCCCTTGCCCTGGAGGTCTGTAGGACGTGCATGTGAATTTTTATTCATGACTAGCAAAGAAAACCGCAGCGGATTTGAAGTGAAAAAAAAACAAATGCAGCAATCTAAGTACATGGAGAGAGTTCTGGAAAGAACACGGTTGACCTGCACTTCAACCGAATCCCTTACCAGGTGTGTCTCAGTTTTCATCTTCTCATTAAAGAAACTTCTCCTCGCTGGACAATGCCGGCTTTCATACCCTCTGCTCATTCGTCACCAGTAAAAGAAAACCTCGTAAGAATTGAGAGAAACGCCATACAATGCTTTGGCTTGAAACCATTCCCATGCCATATGATAGGATAATGGCCTAGGCAAACCCAAAGTACTCACTGCCAGCCGTCACGGCTGTGTAAAGACGCTGGCGGAGATCTTCGTAACTTTCATACTCAGGAAGATCAAGCTCTGTTAAAAATTAGCAAAATTCGGTAAGGAATCCGGAGAAAAACTTACGATTAAAGCACGTATGCGAGCTGGGAAGGCGATCCTTGTGGCCATAGTCGCGATGGATGTTAAATTTGCTCACACCATTCATACCCTCCAGTTCCTTGAAGCCATTGAGAGGAACTTTACTGGTTCCAGTGACGAACTGCAAGAGCTTAGCACGTTCTTCTTTGTCGAATGAGCGGACGGCACGCCAGAACCACTGGATCTGCGAGGAGGACGCGGAGTAGTTGTGATACTCGGTGTGGTTCTTCCACTCGTCTACATCAATCTCAGGAAGACCAGAAATCAATAGTTCCAGCTCTTGCTCGTTGAAAATGGAGATCAACTCGGGAGGAATGATCTCGTGGAAGCCCTTGAGGAAGTTGTCCAGCTGCTCACGAACCGATCCGACGAGGCGATATTCAACAACGCGCTGGACGTACTCCTCCTTGTTTTCTTGTGTAACGGGAATATCGTGACCACCGGGCTTCAGGTCGATGACCTGCTTCTCGCCAAAGTCATCGGTTTCAATGGAAAATGTCTCCGTAATAATATCGGTAATGTCATTCTCGAGCATCCACAAAAGTGATTTGTAGTAGTCCAGGTCGAGCGTTTCCATGTCCTTGATAGACACAGATCGTCCGAGGATGTTTTTATAGACTGCTCGGCTGAAGTGGCAGTCGAGGACACGGCCTTCATACAAGGCCTTACCAATGATCCGCCCGATGAATTTGAAGAACATGAGATGCTCTGAGTTGACGCCACTCAGGCGATTGGGGTGGAAGGTAGTCCGATCGGCGGCGACAGGAATGAACAAAGCGTAGTTGGGGTTGAACATGCCACGGGCAAGAACTTGGAACCATTCTCTGGTGACACCACCAGCATCGACACCCTCCTCGCCATGGAATCGTACATTCAGTTTGCCATACTTCAGCTCATCTGCGCTCTTGAAGTACAGGGACTTGAAAGAGTCAAGGAAGACCTCAGCTCTGCGCACAGAAAGCTGAAGAGGGGGATGAGGGTGGCGAGGCTCGGCACCGCGGGAGTGGACACGCCGAGTAAAGTAATTGCGCTTGTTGTCGAATTCTAGGACTTTAGGGTTCTTGACTAACAGGGAGAATGTGCCGCTCATCAGGCGAGGGTTCTGGCGGACGAGCTCATTGAGAATCTTGCGATGTTCTTCGGTAAACCTGAAGAAGATGTTCTCCATGCTGAGACCAGCATCAGCTGTGGCGGTGCTGTTAACTGACAATTCACGGCTGCCACGAGAAAGCGGCTGGTCCTTCAGCGTGGTGTTCTTGCAAACAACCATCAGTGCCTCAATAAGAGGGAGAAGAATAGTAGCTACGTTCAGCATATTTTCTTTCTGCCGAATAACAGTCAAGCAGTCGCTCAGCTTGCTCCAAAGCGGGCCGAAAGTGGCGCTTTCATAGAGTTTCTTGAGCACATCCTCCTTGGGAGCGGATCCAGGCTCTAAATCCCTGGACTTGTCCGCCCGTGCATGATCAAACAGATAATCAAGTGCAGTCAGGATACGTAGCAATTTCGCCTGGTCTGAGCTAGCGGGAGAGAACTTGGCCAGGGCAAGGCCTTGCATGTCGGTACCAGTCTTGGCCTGGTGGATATGAGGGAGAAGATCCTCCAAATCTCCCAGGATGGTATCACTAAGGGCCTGGGCTTGAGCAACCAATTCGTTGCCGATCACGTCTCTAGCTCCAGGAATGGCGGAAAGATTGTTAATGGTAGAAAGCGTATCGCGGAATGTCTTGCCATTGCACTCACGAGCCGCAAGGATGTGGACAACCAGTCGCAAGTTGTGATCCGGAATGACAGGAGGCTCGATGGTTCGCTTCTTGCGCTTCTCGTCCTCAGCGGGCTCCTTGAAATCTTCAGATTTCTTGGCTTCGGCTGAGGTAGCCTCTTCACTCTCTACGGTCTCTTGACCAGGGGCTCCAGGGATTTCCACAGTAGGAAGCAGAGCATCAGTCATGGATGTGTCCATACTGGAATCGGCAGCTTCAGCAAGTTGATCGGTAGATGCTTCGATTTCAGGTCTCTCGGGCTTCTTGCCCTTGCTCTCTTCCTGCCGCTCCTTCTCACGACGAAGAAGAACGGTCAAGGGCTGTGTGATACTGCTAAGGAGGCTGGACAGTTGCTCCATACAGTTGGGGCTTTCCATTATCAACTTGCGGTCAAGGAGAGAAAGCAGTGCATTCAGAGCGAACTTGTTAGCTCGGTTTTCTTTCCCCTTGCCTTTACGCAAGGACTTGAGTTTGCCAGCTGACGCAGAGTCATGCTCCGTCAAGAAGAACCAAGCAATGTGAGGGTTGAACTGCGAAAGGAAAGACAGTGCGGCGATACATTGTTGGATAACCATAATTGGAGTCACTTCACTGCTGACGCTCGAAGCAGTCTGGATAGCGAGAGTTCGCTTTGACTGCGGAGTCTTCTGCGTCCCTGGTGCCTTTGCACGCAGAGAAAGATGAGAAAAGCTGCGTTCAATCGCAGTGGAATCAATACTGCCATCCTGCAAGATCGAAAGTAGAACACTGATCACCTCACTCCGGTTCTGGCGGTTCTCACAAACGTTGTGAAGAATATCATTCAATTGATGGCGAGCGTTGCCCTGCAGAGGCATGAACATCAGGCGTAAGAGGGTTGCAACCCCAGCCTTGTCGAGCATTTGAACAATTTGACGCCTTTGCTCTTTCTTCGGCTCCTGGCCTGCAGCAGGCTCAATTCTCTGCCGGTGATCAACTGCACTCATGTCACCAAACTGAGCCATGCGTCGACCGCTACCGCCCATACCACGGGCCTCGGTCATGTACTCTGGGCCCAAGGTTGCAAGAACATCCTCGGGCTGATCGGCCAGAACAGCTTGGCGCAAAGAGGGATCGAGAGTAGCAAGGAAGCTGACAGCATCCATTTCTTCCGCTGGTTGAGTGCTGGAAGCTGTAGCGCCAGCACCAGCACCAGCAGCCGCCTGTCTTCGCGCCGTCTCACGTTCTCGCCGGCGTCGATCGGCCGCTTCTTGTTGCAGCAATTCTTCGCGGATCTCGGCAGGCAAGGCCTCAAGGAATTCTTGGTTTATCTCAGTATCCTCTTCACCCGCAGCGGCAGCCTGAGATCGATGTTCAGCAAGCTGTTGCATGATGACTTCCTCCCGGAGTTCCTCAGGCAGAGCCTCCAGATACTCCGAATCAATCTCAAGACCGGTGATATCAACTTGGCGGCCTCTGATGTTCGTGTAGACTCGACGAGAAGGTTCAGTGGGCTGGGCTTCAGGTTGAGTAGATGGGCCAGCGGTTTCAACCGCAGTATCGGTTTCCGGGACATCTTCCATGGGCTCATCGACCCCAGCAGCCTGGCGCTCGGCTTCACGTTGGTCTTTCTCTGCCTGTAATCGGGCGTTTTCTTCCTCCTCCTTTTGCTTAAGCTCACGCTGTTTTTCTTCAGCGGCAATGCGATCTTGGCGTTCCTTTTCAGCTCTTTCGGCTTGAAGACGTTTGCGTTCCTCTTCTGCAAGCTTCTGGCGCTGCTTCTCCTCCTCAATGGCAGGGGGAACCAAGAGCCTGAGAATAGAGTTGATGATGCGTATGGTCCGCTCAACATGCTGGTTGCCGAAAATTATGCGGGCCTCTTCTTGCCAGCGGTTTCTGGTGGTACCAAGACCAAACTTGACGGCAGTGTGAGGGTCGTCGCCGCGTGTGCGGGTTGGAGGACCTGCTCCTCGGGGAATTCCAAGCATATCCTGGATACGACCAGGCAAGACTGCTCGTCGGTCGACATGTACATGAATACCATCAGGGCGAGTGACTACGCCGAAACCTGACGCGGCCTGTCCGCCGATGGCTTGCATAATTGCATTCATGAAGCTAATGGGGCTATCCATAGCAATAACCCGGCCAGCTGCAGTGTCCATAGATTGGCCCCAATCGGCGAAAGGATCAGCAGCGGTCCGAGGTTGGACGGCGGCATCTGGGCGGTCAGTCCGGACAAGAAGAGGATTAATGCCATCGTCGTTGCCGCGGGATGGGATTTGGGTTCGGTGAACACGGTGGTAAGGCTGGATGGGAACAAGACCGGATTGGCGACCCGGCATGATTTCAGTAACGGTAGCCCAGGCTGGTGACGGGCCTCCGCGGAAGCGGGATTGAGGATGTCCTCGGGCCACTGGAGGTTCATCGCCTTCCCATCCCCATGGCTCAAGAAGATCATCGTCTTCTGGGCGAGTCAACAACGATGTGAGAAAATCATTGACAGAGTCGGACTCACCTTCCATATCCCCATAAGATCCTTGTTCTTCGTCGAAATCATCCATGTCCTCGTCAAGTTCATCCATTTCGTCTTCGTCTTCAACTGGAGCAGATGTCAGTAAGGCTGGCTGTGGCAGGGGCGCTGGGAGCTGCCTCAGCAGTCTAAGGAAATACAAACCATCTTCATCGAGGTCATCAAGAATTTCTTCGTGAATGTCACCACCTAGGGCATCTCCATGGATATCATCAACACCAGAACCATTGAGAGCACGGAATAGGTCGCCAAGATGCTGGTCTTCACCTTGTTGTCTGTTGGATTGTCTGATATCGGCCATTTCATCTTCGAATTGGTTCATCATTTCGACCTCCTCTTCGTCTTCAGTCATTTCTTCGCTTTCCCATTCGTCCTCTTCGTCATCTTCGAGGCTTTCGTTGTCTCGGTCACCGCCAATTTCTCCGTCATACATATCATCATGCATGTCCGAGTGGTCGTGATCTTCATCGTCATCGTCCTCGTCTTCGTCATCATCTTCGTCGAGGATGACTTCGACTGCATCTCCGGAAAGACCTTCGATTGGACCCATGCCATCGTCGTCTTCGTCGCTGACGACTTCACCATCATCTTCAGCGACATCCTCGTCGTAGTCCATTTCTTCGTCGTACTCATCATCATACATCTCATCGTCCTCACCCTCCGATTCTTCGGTGCTGCTCTCTTCCTCGTCATGACGAGGCTCTAGCATACCAAGGGTAGAGTGGCGGAAGAGGTCAGGTGTTTCTTCACGTTCATCTTCCATGTCAGAAACGGAAGTTGCGGACGAGATCTCATCATCCTCATTATCACCTTGGATGGGGATGTCCGAGTTCTCGCTGAGAAGCACGGCAGTCTGGGTAAGTTTATTCAATGGACGAAGAATATACTTAATGACACGCCTGGAGGACGGGAAATTCAAGTCGACATCAGCGACTGAAGAAGTGAGGGCGGGGATGAAGTTCTTTTCGAACATGGTCTTCGCGAGCTGCCTGGTTGAAGTTGGGAAGCCCGCGTCGTTGGTGAAGGAATAGCCGCTGAGCATTTTGTCGAAGAGATCAGCAAGCGACATGAGCTTGGAATACTTGACATCTAGGGGTTCGATAGAGGCCATAGCATCTTTGTAGGACCGGAGAGCATGCTCCAGCACGAAACGACGGACAAAGGCAAGCTCAGGCTCATCATCCTCATATTTTGGCTCAGTGCGACGTCTACCAACACCACCAAACTCGCCGGTCTTAGTGCAAAGTGCAACAAGCACTTGCATGGTCCATGTGGAGGTGATACTGCGTTTTTTGAACGCCAAAGACTCGTCATGATCCATAGTACCAAGGGGAACAAGCACATTCAACAAATAGTTCAAGACGCCAGAGCGCGGTTTGGAGGGAGTGGTGGCCAGAGGATCAGCCTTGCGGGAAAAGTTGATGAACTCGACCTTGGTCCGGTTGTAAGAGGAAAGAAGTTCCGTCAAGCACTGAAGGAGCAAGCAGCGATAGATGTAAATCGGATGGTCATCTGCCTTGAATTGGGGCTTCTCTGCCTTCTTGGAGCCGCGAGATGCATGTGCTTCGGTAGTACTCGATATTGAAGGTGTTGGCTCATCCGCGGTCATCTCAACATCAGTTTGAGTATCGGATTGGTCAGTTGACTGCTCTGGGAATTCAGGACCGGCTTCTTTGTCGTCCACATCTTTGTAGGACAGAAGCTCCGAAAGGAGATAATGAATAACGCCATCCGGGTTCTCCACAATTGGGGCTTTGAGCTCGGCCCCCTTGGTTTGAGTCTTGCCCTTGTCCTCCTTGCTCTTGTCCGTGTCTTCGAGGGCAGACGCTTCGCCTGCTGCAGACGATTCTGGCTTGTGCTCTTCGAGGAAAATACTGGGCCTTCCTCGCTTTTGTTGCCGATCTTTGTCGGCCTTCAATCCAAGAACTTGTGGACGTTGATTATCATATCGGAGCAACCGCAGCTTTTCATTTGTGACCTCCACAAAGATATCAGGAGCTCTTAGCACGAGGTGATACAAATGTCGTACATAGCCGTTTGTGTCAATCTGACGGGTGGTCTTGGACTCAAAGTTAGCAACGATTTCACTCCTCATGATCTGCCGAATAGTGGATTCGTCCTCGACGATGTGACGAAGTATCAGCATGAAGGCGCTTTGGAGTTTCTCATTTGTAGCACTGGAAAGTTGCTTAACCATAACAAACAAACGCTGAAGATTTCGCTTTTCTCCAAAGCGGGCGGCAATGCTGCGCTCGCGGGTGAGAATGACAAGAACACGGCACATGGAGAGGGCCAGTGTATCGTCCTTGCCCACTCGCGGTAGTATCTCGACAAGAGCTTCAAATAGCCTGGTTTTCTCTTCGAGTGAGATAAGGGGATCTTCAAGACGGGCTGGCTCATCGCCGCTGGGATTTGGATCATCAAGACTTGGCATGGTCCAGGCAATCTTGGGAGGCTGACAATCATCAGACAGCAGCTTCTCGAGAATAAGCAGGACATGTCCAACCCAGGGGAAGGTCTCTTGGTCGGCCTTTTCAGGTGTTGGGAGCTTGATAAATCCAAGGAAAGTCGAGAAGCAATCTTTGAGCTCCTCAAGAGTGGCGAGGTACATGTCATGATCTTGGAGGGTCAGCGCAAGAATGTGTGCATAAGCCGCGATTTTTTTGCCAGCTGTCTGGAAGTTCTCCATCTGCAGAGATACTAGCGATTGAACAAGGGTCTCTCCAATGTCTCGACGGAAGTTGACAGGCTCGCTATGCTTCTTGATGGCCGAGGTGATCAAGTCAGATAGCTCGAAAGAGACGTCATGGTGTTCGTTTAGGATGTCAAGGGCCCGGTCGATCAGGTTTGACCGAATGTTTTGCCTCTCTGCATCCAGGTCCTCAATTGTGACCATATGGCGACGTTTGACTGATTCTCCCTGAGAGGCTCCGGTAAGTTCAGAAGAGCTTGCCCCGGGATTACGACTCTCGAGCCGACGCTGATTCGATAATTCGCCCCGGTCATCGCTATCCATGTCATCATTGTCGTTGAGAACGTTCTCTAGAGCTCTACCCAACCCGTCGTGCATGTCGTAATCAATATCGCCTCCGGGGAAAGGAGAGCGGCGCATTGCGTCAGCTACGGGTCGTCCAGCTGCTCGAGCCAGAAGCATTTGGAGTGCTGCAGAGCGGTCCAACGGATTGGCGCTATTGAAAGGTTGAACCTCTCCAAGACCGGCATCCTCGAGGGATTCGATGCCAGAAGCAGACTCGGGTAGTCCAGTTTTGATATCGCCGGGAGCCGGGGGTACTCTGGGGGGGGGCTCGTAGCCACTGCTGCGCCTTGCAGTATTCTTCGGCCGCCATTAAAATATTGTTGCAACGATAGAGGGCTTCTTTGTTGAGATCGACATCCATGTACCCTTTCTCGAGCAAAGCAGTTGCTCGTTCCGTGTGGACAACGAATGGCTTTTTAGGCATCTCAACCAAGATGGGCGGGGTATCTACTTTGCGAGCCGCGCCAGTCTCGTATTCGCCATCCAGTGAGCACCGCATAATGTCAATCAACAACCGGACAATTGGACTCGATGACTGAGTCGCAAAGTCTGAGTTCCACATGTCTTTAGCCAGGGGCAAAATCTCCATACGAAGATCCACCAAAAGTTGACCTGGCTGGAAGTAATCGGGACGGTCTCGATCCCGTTCAGGGTGAGAGGTCAAGGCTTGTGTCTGGCTAGAGTCCACAATGAATTTCCCAGCAGTGAGGTCTGCGAATAACCCAAGAATGATCTTAATTCCACCATACCCGGATGCAAGCCGGTCGGCAAGCTCTTTGTCCTGGTCTGGAATGGACTCCGCGGATGGAAGGGACTTAATGTCGCCTAAGAAGACGTCACAGATATCCTTCAACACTCTGAGACCGTTGATTTTATTGAATGAAACGAGAACTGAAGTCAAGTAGTTCGGACTGGGACGGTCTGCTGAGACTTCATAGAGAAGGTGCGAGAAGTGGGAAAGAATGACTATGAGATATGCAAACCGGTGCTTGGTGCTGTTACTCGAATTGGCAGGGTTGAACTGCAGTTGGCGAAGAATGCCTTCAGCAATGGCGTCTGAGACCAAGATAGCATTCGCCTTCTGTTTCTGGAGGGGATCTGTGCGTCTCTTGCCGATCATACCGAGTCCGAGGTTGTGCAAGAAACCCGTAATTGATGTTGGTAGAGCGCTTAGAAGGTAGCGGAGAGTACGCGCATTCTTGAAAGCAGAGCACTGTTCATCAACTTCAGCGTCGTCTTCTGTCGGGCCAAGGCCCGACTGAGCCGGAGCAGTCTCTAGTGCACCAGTGCTCTCCTGTTGAGATTCGGCGCCAGGAGTCGCTGAAGGCTCCTGTGTGTTCCCGGTAACCGCGACAACCTTTGACTTTCCAGAGCCATGCTTTTCAGCAGAGGCCTGTGTCGCTTTCAGCCACTTGTCAGGGATGTTCTTCTCCAGCAAAATTCCTTCCCACACGCAAGAGGCAAGAAGGTTGCTCAGTGAGGAGATTAGGGAACAGTAATGGTCAGCAAGATTAGCTTGGCCGAAGATGGAGGTAGATTGACCGGGTCGAGTTTGGTACTGTGGCGATGCGAAAACCTCGCGAAGGACGTCGGTGAGGAGTAGAACGGCATTCAAGTGCCTCACGAAGAATGTGCCAGATTTAGCAGCCGCCGTAGTCTCAGGAGCTGGTTTTTTCGAGTCTGCAGGCTTAATCAATTCGGTAAAGAATCCCGATCCGGTGGGCGCAGTCCAAAATGCCGAAAGATTATCCACTGCTGCCTGTGCGCGTCGAACGAGAGAAGGGACCACAAGGTGAGGTTTCGTTTCCGCGAGCATGTGAACAAGTACAGTGATCTCTTGGTTGGCATTAGTGCTGTGGAAATCAAACGCCAAGCTCTGGAGTGTTGCAAGATCCAACAAGAACTCTGTGCCGCCGGCCAGGATGAAGGATGTGCAATTCGTCTGGTTGTCGAAGAAAGCGCTCAGGAATCGCAAAGCTGGGAACAGGTAGTCCGTAGCGGAAAGACCGTGGGAATCTTTATCTTTAGGCTCGAAGTCGGGGCCTGGAGAAGGAAGAACATGATCCAGATCCCCAACAACAAGCTTGGCGCCGTTAGGAAGAGTGTTCGCGTTAAGCTTGGGGGCACCAAACGAAGCAGGGTCGTCTGTGGGTGCATCAATGGCTGTGCCGATCTCTCGGAACAATGAAAAGACATCTCCTAAAAGGGTTGTCTTACCGTCGGCATCTTGAGTCCACATCCTTGTGCCCATACCAAGCTCCCATGCCTTGACTCGCCCCAGGATGTTGACACGAGCAGCCATCACAAGAACAGCAGACATGATCGAGGTTTTCAATGCCGGGTGGTGTCGGACCAGCTCATCAAAGGTGGTGCCTAACGAACGAACCAGATCCGAGTCATCCTTCAGACACTTGACATGCTCAGGGTTCTCGAAGATCTCGAAGAAGCTTTCCAGCGCATCGGAGGACTGGAAGAGATCCAAACCGGAAGAGTTCAAGCAGATGGCCCCAAATGCACCAGGGATACAAGCAAGAGCATCAGCTGCGGGCATTATGCCAGATGCGAGAGGGGTGTTCTGGGGTCTAACGATAGCGTACTCGCGACCTTTTTGCTTTTCCTCGGACTGGGTGGCAGCTTCGGCGCTGGGGGGTTGAGTAGCGGCAGGTTCGGCCTCGATCTCAATCTCAGTCTCCCGGTCTTCAAGTTCCACGGCCGGCGGCTTCTCCAACACCTTCAGTTCACGCCCCATGACTGCAGCAAGAAGACTCTTGCTGAGGCCAGCCTCAGCGATAACAGCATAGCTAGTAGGTTCGTTGTGAATGAAGCTGCTGAGAATGTTGACAGCATTGCTCCACACATGTGAACCGAACACGCGAGCATTCTCGAACACAAGGCGAAGAGAAGTTAACAGCTGAGGCGAATCTATCAAGTTTCTCAAAACACGATCGAATCCTCCGCCATTGTGCTGCATGATATGATTGACAAAACGGAACATCCAACGCAGTGTCTGCTGCTGAAAGTAAGGGATTTGATAGTCAATTGAAGGGTTCTTGTATTGAGCGGGGAATCCATCCCCTCGGTTGACCTTCTCAAATGCGGTCTTCGTCTCGTGATCAATCAAATCAGACATGGCGTCAAATCCCTTCGCTGTTGTCAGTGTACCTAGTGCATCCCGGACCGCATGCACAAATGTGTCAAGGAACTCCATGATGCGGGAGTAGACTCGGCGGGATTTTTCAGTCCGCAGTTTCAAAATATCAACAAACATGGGAATCAGACCCGCTGCAACCAAGGTCTCTGGTGTACGTGTGCTCGAGCTTGGGAGAGTGCGTAGGAGTGCAAGCAAAGCATCTCGCCATTCATCGTAGTAGGCATCATCCGGATCGTTGTTCTCAGGGCCTAGTTCATTGACCATTTTACGGGTCAAAAACATGAGAATTCCGTGGTTGACGTTGACGCTCAAAGCTGCACAGACGTCAACAGCACGAGCCTTGTGCTTAGCCAACGCATCCAGTGCCTGGATCGCCAAGGTTTGGACAGACCGGGAGACCTCGAGATCACCACTGGCACCGAGATGAACCACTTCAGCAAGCTGGTAAGCAAGCTGAAGACGCTTCGGTTGTTCCAGATCAGATTGAAGAACCTTTGACTGAAAAGTACTCTCCGGCTGGACATGAGCCAGGTTGGTCACTGCCAGTGCCTTGATGGAAAGGATCTGTTCTCGCGTGGCACGCGACGCTGTCAACGCCTTGGCAACTCGGAGTTTTTGAAGCAGCTCATATTTTGATTCGAGGGGCAGATGAGGCAAGTTGGCTGCAAGAAGATCTTCCACTTTTGCAGTTGAAACTTTTGAGTAGGGGAGCTCTAGGACTTTGCCCGCTCGCGTGGCCTCCTCTGCCTTCCCACCAGTGACAGCTGGTGATTCATCGCCATTTGAGCCCTGGTTAGAATGAGGAGCGGGGTGTGTCGCACTGCGTCGCAATGGGGTTGGCGTAGTTGGAATATGGAAGCCCTGCTCTGTTTGGCCGAATTCAGAGGTTGTTCTAGTCTGTTCGGAGCCCGAGGGATAGTAGAGAACTCGGACATCTCCCCATTCCTCCCAGCCATCGCCATCACGCACGAGGGAAACCAGTTCATTGGCGTCGATTTTGGTATGGGCTGTATTTTCCTTCCCCTTGGTTAAACCGGCGGGAGATGCGGCAAACGGTGTTTTACTGGTGATGACTGGGCGCGGGAAAGGTGCTGCAATCTTCTGCAACTTTTCGAGATCAAGAGCATAGTGGGATTGCAATACAGACTGCTGATGGGTGCCACGCTGGCGAGAGTGGTATCGTTGGGCTAAGCAAAGAGACAGTCGCAATGTAGATTGTAGGAGAGAGAGTGAGGTGGTATTCAACAGGTCACCCAGGCGATCGCTGCTGCTGTACAGGCTGCGGTTTCCACATTTCTCGAGCAAAAGACGAGAGAAATCAAGAACTGCTTCCACAAGCTCTCTATCTCCTTCAGGGCCGTACCCCAGAGCGTTTAGTTTAGCATCAACCCCCTCTGCTGGCTTCTTGCTCTCGTCGGCCGAGTATGATTCCTCCAAAACATTTCGGGTGAACAGCTGAGTCTGAGGGCCAGTGTTCAAAAAGTATTTCTCCACGGCTGAGGCCAGAATCTCGTCGAATCGGTCTAGGACGTTGATCCAATGGTAGAGATCGCCGCGTGGGAACGGCCATAGCTTAGGGAATGTGTTGAGAAGCGAAGGGAGCTCTGGAACGGGAAGACTTGTGGCACGCGCTATAAATTCTTGCAAAAAAGGTGACTGCGACAGAAGGAAAATTTTTTAGTTAGGTTGCACATCAGGCCGCCGGGGAGTAACTTACGATTGTAGCCTCATGCTTTTGGCTGGCTACCTTCTTAATTCTCCCCATGATAACGATCAGTTGACCAGTCAAACATGAGGGAGTGAAGAGATTCCAGGAGGGTTGTCTCCTAGAGAGGGTGGAGTGAGCAGGTCGCAAAGACCGGTGTCGCGGAGGAAGCGCGAAGATGCCTTATGACGTTTTTGGTGCTGCTTTACTGCCCCAACGAAAATCGAATCGACTCAACGCGATGAACACCTGGGCGATATTTCACTGTCAATAAAAGGAAGCCAAAGAGATGCTAAATCAAATTTACCATCCAATCGTTAAAGAACTTGAGTAAGAGAGCTCAACTCGAGAGCTGAGATATGAGATATCGGGTAGTCGGTCAAATAAGGGGAAACGGGTGCAGGTCGTTATCCCTTGGTTTTTGACGTAGAGGTAGCAAGATAGGTAAGTCAAAGGGAAAAGATGACAGGAAGAGTGGTTGATAGAAGAGAAGAGGAAAAGGACGAGCAACGTGAAGAGAAGCTGGTCTTGCCGGCAGAAGAGGCAGGGCGGAGCGGCTCTGTGGCTGATTTCCCCCCCTCTGGGCCTCAGGCATCAAATGTCTTTCCAACTTACAATCTTTGGGCACAAACGTGATGCAACCTTAGAATTGTCGGATTTAATGTTACAGAGAAATACAATGAGAACTACTTGGCTATACAGTCTCTCGATAATTTTTAAGGATGTAAGACTTCAAACTCAAAGCCAGCTCCAATTTTTTTGATGCGCGGTGAACCACATGAACTGAGAAAAACGCTTGCACGCTTTACAAGCAACTAGCCTTGAACATCTCTTAAACAAAGTGAACATCCATTGCGATTGCCATATTTGTAGTCTTTACTCCCTCCTGGCAGGCAGGTCTCCGTCCCATTGGATTTTCATAGTCGTTGGGAACGGAGAGAAACTACTATGCTGGGCATCCATGTACATGGCGATTCCTCCCAGCCCATCAAGCCTCTTCAGATGACCTTGGGCTCCGGGGGCACGACGGACATTACCCAGTCGCCCAATTACCTTGAGCATAGTGGAAAGTGCAAGAGGGCACATTTTAACGCCCAGGCATTCATGAGGACCGAAGCCAAAGTGAGTGTACAGGCTCATATCACGGTCAAGACGGACCTTGTCAGGATCGGGGAACGCAACAGGATCGCGGCCTGCGACAACCTAGATTTTGTGTGCTGTTAATATCGGAACACCGCAAGAAAAAGCAAAAAGACACCAAAGAGCCTACCAAGTTGCAAATGATCTCCTGGCCAGCTTTCAAAGTGACCTTCTCGCCGTTATCTTCAACCACCGTTGGCTTAGTGACAAAGCGTGGCAATGCTACCGAGCATCGGAGTCTCGCCCCTTCCATGAAGCTGTATACAGTTAGTATGGCCTCTTAGTTTCTAGGCGAAGTATGAAGAAACTTACTATCGCACAAGAAGCTCATCAGCCTCGGGAGTATCTTCCCTGGCCAAGCGCTGGATCTCAACTAGATGCTTCGCCGCTTCTTCGGAAAGGTAGTAGTCGATACATTGCGAGAAAAGTTGGCCTTGGTTGGCAACCAATGCACCGGCTGCAGGAAGAATATTCGACCATACAACGTCCTTAATCGGCAACTGACTGTCGAGCAAGCGTTGAATCATATGAACGCCATATTCACTCAAAATTTCATGGCGGTGTAGGCGGTTGACCAAGTCGGAAATGAATCCAGTTTTAGCAACGAGTTCAACGTTGGCTAGTGTCAACTCACCCAGCTGCTGTGCAACATTACGAGCAGTCTGACAAAGTTGGAAAGACTTGGACACGTCAACATCATAGAAAATAGAAGCGAAGATCAGGGCCAGAATCTGGTATAACTCCTGCTCACTGAACACGCCTCTTGGGTTTGACTCTGTCTTGAGAGACAGGGAGAAGATGTTGGCACAGAAGTGAACTTGAGCGAGAACAGCAACATCTCGAACGATGTCGACCTGATTTACGCCAGCAACCTTGTATGCGTTTCGCTCGAGGAGTTTCAGAGTAATATCCTCATAGAAGGCTTTCACTTCTGACTCCCACTTGTCACGGCTCAGAGCAGCACCAAGTATCTTTCGAGAAGCTGCATTGGCAGGGACATCACCCGACAAGGCAAAGTCTCGGCCATAAGGACGGCCGCTATTCTCCATCAAAAATTGGATCTTTTCACCCCACACTACCTTGAATCCTTCTTGGTCTTTCAGGATTTTTTCGCAAGCAGAGTGGGAGTTGATGAAGAGGGCCGGGGCTTTGTAAAATGATCGGTCAAAGCTATAGGTTTTAGCCTTACCAAGACTTGTTAGGATCTTCTTGTTCTCATCAGGCACAACCAACGGGAAGTGTGCGTAAACCGAATCACCGCGGAAATGATTGGGGAAAGCCTTCAATACTAGTTTATAGAAGACCTGACCACCGTCAACAGAGACGTCATTGTTGATCTCATTGAAAGCCCAATTTGTGAGATGCTTCGGTGTGAAGTCGACAGTATAAAAGCGATCGCCACGAACCAAAGCAACTGCGTCAGAGAGAATAGCCCTCGAGGTCGTGAAATTGGTACATAGACCGCTGCCCGGGGTCATAGCCTGTTTGGCATCTTCGAGAATGAGGCCAGGGTACAACTCAACAAGGTCGGGATGGTCATAGAAATGCTTGAGCTGATCCGCGACGTACGGGTCTGAGTTGATCTCCTCAAAGGTTTGGTAAGAAGCCAAGCCAAAGTACTGACGGAATTCGTTCAAGGTAGCCAAATTCCAAGAGCGTGCCTGCTTAATACCGAGGACCTCGATGCCTCTAAAGACATCCGGCACATTCAAAGCACCGAAAGCTCCTGCAGGATCTTCAACGCCTTCCTCAAAGATCTTGACCAAATCATTATCGTCGAATTTTCCATCTGCTTGGCGTTGCAATTTGGCGAATGGACGTTCTTGGGGATCTGCTGGGAGCTTCGATTCCCATTGGCGAAGACCCCCTATGAAATCCTGCATACTAAGCTGCTTTGTATTCTTCCCATTAAATAACTCTTTATACAGATCCTCTGACCATTTTTCGTCCCGAGCCGAGACACACGAATGCCAGCGATAAACAAGATTGAACTCTGCAGATACTTGGTTTCCGGTAGCCTGGGCAGGTGACTGGCCAAGCAAACTATCCTTGATCTCGGCACGGGGATCTAAGCTCCACACACTGTCAGTTCGGTTGATGTTGAGAATGGTCCGGACATAGTCCTTCAAAATTATGGTGACATAAAGGCCACAAGTAACCAGTCTTGCGGTCTGGAACAGGTCATTATCCCAGGTCACATAAGCTTGAGCATTCGACTCATCCGGTTTCGTGAAACGGCCACCTTCGTTAATAGCAGCTAATTGAGTGACAACCGAGTTATGGAAACGGTTGAACATGATGAGAAGGACGCCAACGCCCGGAGGGAATCCCAAAACCCGTTTAGTAGAAAAGCAATCGGGTTTCAACTTTCCATCCTTGAATGTTCTGACTGCATCCTGTTCTTTCTGGTTGTTGCCATAAAGCGGAGACAAGTCCAGGTACGACGATGTTAATGACTTTGTTTGGTCCCTGGGATCTGTTTGGAACAAGTCTGAGAACAGTTAGCCTCAGTGGTTCTTCCATCACTAATCGCAGAGATCTCAGCCAACAGACACCAACCTACCGTGGATGATAATAGAGGCAAGATAGAATAGCACGCTAGAAATCTTGTTCGGGTGTTCCTTAAATTCCTTCCGGGCCAAGAGGCTATCGAAAAGAACCTCTGGCTCCGGAAGAGCAGCAGACTGCATAGTCTGCGGCCGAACAGACCGTGCATATGGAGTGTTAGCAGCACCAATCTGAGGCCAAAAAGTGTTCTAGGGCAGTTTAGCAGATGACCTCGGTTTACAAGGGGACTATTCCTACGTTTCCAGATCCATCAGCCTTCCGGTATGCCGCATTGCGTCCAAGAAAGCTACACCACTAGTCAGTCACTAAACATTTCCTACACAAATCAAAGTCACATTGCACGACTCACGAGATAGGCGGGTGCTCCAGATCTCCCCATAATTGAGTAAGAAAGGCATTGGTCAGCTCCTTGCCATTTCGAGACGTAGAAGGCAAACCAGCGGCAAGCTGTAGAAGAGTTAGAGTGAGTACATAGCCAACTGCTCGCCAAAACACAAACCTGAATAACGCGCTCCATGATATAATCTCGGTCATTCACAGCTTCACCTGTAATGGCACCTTTCGCAACCTCCGCCAAAGTTTCGGCATCTTTCAGGTCAAAATGAAGCAGGTCCTTAGCAAGCCCCGTCACAGTTGGCTCTTGTAAATAGCTGCCATCGCCGGTTTGAGCGGGCAAGGGCCGCAATGCTGCAGTCACAACTTGCTCGATCTGAGCAAGTCTGTTGCTGGAGTTGGACTCCTCCGCCATGGTGAATTGAGACGATTTGAGCAAATGGAATGGTACCGAACCTCGAGTGCGAACTGCGATCAACCCGTTAATTCAATTTTTTAGATGCCAGTGGGGTGATTTATTGCAACTATATGTAAGTCGAACAAAACGCAAACAGCTAAATGTCGCGATGAGTCGCTTACCGGTTTAAGTCAAGCACGGTTAAGTAGGGGGAAGTATCGAGGTAATAATCCGGACAGCTCAGGAAGAACTCAGAGTCGTAAGCACTTATATGGGGAACCGGTAGCAAAATAGCAACACAGCAATCACAGGTAGTTAGGAAAAGAAGAGTTGAATTGTCATGCGATCATCTCGGCAGAAATGGGATAGGATTTTATTATTTTAAGCCTCCCATGGGAATCACGGAGTAAGCCGAGAGCCATCAGCCAAGCATAGCGTACGGCTGAATGCACCTCACATTCTAAAGGTCCAGCCTCGCCTCCGTTCGTGGTCATTCTTAGCGCAAAGTGGATATGGGTGAAGAGGAACCCCCTGGCTGCTATGAGCAATCAACATCTCTGATTCGCACATGCTATACTGTCCCCTGTCAAGCCTTGCGGCATTTTGTTTAGCCACTTATTTATTGGCTGGCGGATAAACCGGAATACGACTGCCTAGCTAAAAAGTTAGACACGAGCTTCATTAGCATATTCAATGGTTCAGTTTAGTATTATCTATCACAAGAATATGTGTGTAGCTGGATCGATGATAGCGGCTGAATGGGTCCAAACATCCTCAATGCGCTCAGGCTCTGCAGAAATCATGTTCTCTTGGAGGAAAAATCTGATAAGAATGATAACAATGGCAGGTAGAAATCATCAACAGAGTTCTAAGACTCGGCATTGATTGGCGATGCTGTTCGGCCAGACTAACCGGGCAACATGGAGCTGAGACCTGCGGCGGCGACTGAGCGAAATCATTCAATTCTGATTTGACATTGACACAGTAGCTTGTTTTTCTCAGCTCTCACAAAACCCAGCAGCCCCCATGCCCCGCTATAATCCATTTTGCGTCTTGTTAGCTTCCAGGCACGGGCTGTTTCAGCTGACAGGCTAGATAACTTGGAGACTACGGAGTACAGATGATCTACAACCTTTTGTCCCCGTTAAAAATAGCATTCGAGATTGCCTTCCGAGGAAATTCTGCATTGAACAGAATATGCCATTGGCTAGGCTATTCCCATTTGCAAAAATGAGGAAGGAATCATCCGGAGCAACCAGGCATAGCCATGCGCTGAATTGCCAAGACGCACAAAAGTTGCACCTTTGTTGGAAGACTCTGTACGACATCAGTAAGCTGCCAAGGAATGCCGGAGATTGGCGTGGGAAATCATGTGACATTTGGTTTGCTCCTGTGAGATTCTGTAAGGATCGCATGGTTTCTATTGGATGGTGCTAAACACTAGTTAACGGATTCGGTAAGCGAGCTGGCCACCCCAACCAACTTCTTAATTTAAAAAAGCATTTATCTCAACCAAAACGCCATTAAATTAAATATACTAAAATCATCTATCTAGCTAGGCATCTATTAATCTTATGTCCTATTTCTCCACAACCACTACACTTTGGCGGGGCCCGCGTACGTGGTTGTAAAGCCGGCGAAGGGCTTCTTCGTGGAGGGAGAGGAGGTACTTCAATTGCTTCCACCGGCTTAGTAATCAATTGAGAAGCTTCTTAAACTGAGAGGCCTTCTTCAGCAGGTATCTGCCTCCGGGATCTAGTACGCTTTTGCTTCTGCTTCTCGTTGGTGGCGCGTAAATCCTTGCTTTCTTTGGCGAGTAAGATAGTACCTTGCATTGTAAGACGGAAGCCTTTTACAAGCAGGTTTAATGCACGATCTGACGGGCTAGGTGGGCTTCTGATGAAGCTTGACGACGTAGTTCTTTCTCCGGAAAGGGGGTTGTTGGGGTTAAATTCCGGCTTGATTCACTCCCCCGGCTAGCTAAGGGGGTTAGGGTTCGAAGCCGAATATTAAGCTTTAAAATTACTCGGTCGGGTGTAAATGGCACTAGTATTAGAGATACTAGAGATCTACGATGAATGTAGATGTAACTGGAAATCTCTTGATGCGTTGAGAGAGAGAGAAACTATCGACATGCTAAGACTGAGACTTAGTACTAGGAGCAAACAGTGGTGGTCACGTGACCTTCCAACAACTAAACTAGCTACTCTAAAGCGCTAATCCTCCAGGAGGCCGTTAAACTAGGATTCAATAAAGACTTTGCCTTTAAAAAATCACACACGGAGGAAGCGCCCACCCAGATGTATTCGTATATTCAACCACCGTCACCTATTCACGATTTCTAGGTTATAAAACCGGCCTCCGACCGTAGTATTCACTCCTCGTAATAACCTTCGTAGTTTTAGTCAATCCCATTGCAAAACCGGTCTCATCAAAGTTATAGATACCATTAGGGTCGATTCCAAATTGAAGGAATGTCTTTTAAACCAAATCAAACCACTCCCCAATGATTTTAGGATCTTCGCATTTCGCACGCTCGTAGCTATATCGTTTCGAGAATCGGGAGGATAGGAGAGGATACCGTTTCACGAAGTTATATACCCATTTCTCGCCGACCGAAAGAACCGGGGTAGTTCCACGCTTTTAAAGAAGAAGATCTACCATTTCTTATACCATAGAGGGCCGGGGGGCTGATCCACGAGAATCCATAGAGAGGATCTATTTCTGAAGAGATTCCTCTTTAGTATCGGTCAATTTATGAGAGTTGGCGCGAGAAGTCGCGCGGTGTTATATACTATTTAGGCGGGTAGAAAGGGTAGATCTTGGGACGTTAAAACGGCGCGCCACTTCACGAATTGAAGAGATTTCTTGATTCTTAAAAGCCTGGATAGCTAGTAAGATCCTACCCTCCTGCTCTATTGAATTTCGAGAGGATTGAGTACGAATTGGTGGCATGGTGGGTGGTTGAACTAACTAAGATCTAATTCATGGACGCGTTTTGGTTGGGGTGGCCAGCTCGCTTACCGAATACGTTAGCGGGTTAATTGTCTTTTGTAATCTATCAGCAGTGGCGGCTTGAGGGATTACACTCCTAGAACTTTTAGTCTGGGTAGACCTATAGGTGGATTCTTCTCTTCTGCACGCATTCATGGATTTACCAGAGCTCTCTATCTCATAGATCTTCAGTCTTTGTCTCTCATTTGGATAGAGGTTCTTCGGCCTCAGGTGTCACCACGTGACGTCAATCGAGGCCCACCTTGTAGATCGTTGGAAAATGCACTTTCTTTTGGTCAGTCGCGAAATCAAGCTCTCTTGGTGGCCTTAAATAAGCTCCATCATTCAAGCATTGTATTCGCATGAGCTAGGTCAAAATTATGGCGGCTGATAAAATTACGCTGGTTGTTCAGCCAAGGGGTATGCATAAATAGTTCTTATTTACTCACAACTCTCAGCAAGACCACGAAGAGAATATTCTAAGAGCATCGCTAATTTAAAATACAGGAAAGCCCATCCAGAAGCTTCCCAAGGAAATTGAGATCTCACTCAATGCCTCCAGTGAAGAATTGCACAGTGCGCTCTCCGCAGCATCCGGTTGCTCAATTCACCGGATGAGAATCACCAAGGGCAGCGACCATAGCGTGGTCCCGAACTCGATCAACACGACCATTGAGGACACTGGCATGCGAAACTCAAGCGTGATCTACGTCAAGGATCTCGGTGCGTATCTATATATCTCATGTCATGGACAACAGGAACCCAGCCCTTACGATCTTCGCACTCTTCCCACTGAACCGACAGAAACTAACAGATAGTTCCTCCACAGGACCCCAAATCGCTTGGCGTACCGTCTTCATCATCGAATATCTCGGCCCACTCCTGATCCCTGCGCTCTTCCTTTTCCCACTTCGACCTCTCCTATACTTCACCTTCGACAAGCCCCTCCCCTCGCCCTCCGACCTTCAGCTCCTAGTCTGCTTGCTGCTGAGCGTGCACTTCCTGAAGCGTGAGTTCGAGACAATCTTCGTGCACCGTTTCAGCAGCGCCACCATGCCCGCACGCAACATCGTCAAGAACAGCGCCCACTACTGGGTTCTGGCTGGGTTCAACATCGCCTACTGGGTGTTCCGCCCGGACGCCGCTGCCGCCACCAGCACCCCCAACCTGGTTCTTGTGTACGCTGGACTGGCGCTGTTTGTCTTCGGTGAGCTGGCGAACCTGAATGCGCACTTTATCTTGCGTAATCTTCGCCGGCCTGGTACCACTGAGCGAGGCATTCCTTCTGGTTTCGGTTTCAGTGTCGTTACCTGCCCCAACTACTTCTTTGAGATCCTGGCTTGGTTGGGGATTTTCCTTGTCAGCCAGTTGAACTGGAGTGTGCTGTTCTTCATTTTTGTTGGTGGGTTGCAGATGTGGAGCTGGGGTTGGAAGAAGGAGAAGCGCTACCGCAAGGAATTTGGTGATAAGTACAAGAAGAAGCGCGCTGTCATTCTCCCTGGCCTTGCCTAAAAAGTTGGCGCAATGGTCATGTCCAGGCTTGGCATTTGGCGGTCTACTATGCTCTGTCAATGGGCTGAATGGCTGAGTGAGTGGAAAAGAGGAAGACAACTATAGCGAGTCATCAGATTGCCTTAATTGATGGCGTGAAAATGGACCCAAGCAGCTTGTTGAGCAACCCTAGTTGCCATAATCAACAGTATGCACTAAAAGAAAGATCTCACGTGGCGATGTATTATTTTGGGTAGTGGACATGGTAAAAAATGAATGATCATCGTGTTCCTTTTGCAGCTATGCACGCCAATTGAAAGCAAAAATACGCCCTAAGTTGAGGTCTCCACGACCAAACACCGACCTTGGAACATGGCACCCGTGAACAGGAGAAAGACCATGAGCAAAATGCCATTTCCACCCATGTGAAAAAGTGGGCCCCTAAACGCAAGCGCCACTTCAAGAGCCTTGCCCTAGAGCCTCAGGCTGTCTAATCGCCCTGTGCCTTCTTCTCCCATAGCTTATAATATGGCTCTAGTTCGTGGGCACAATCCCGGCCCTCTGTGTCTTCGCACCCATGGAATTGGATAACAAGATCACCGTCCTTATAGGTACCATCCAAAGAAGCACCCGGCGAGTCATTGCTATAGGAGCTTAGAATGCGCTGAGGAACCAACGCGGTTCGAGCAAGTACAGTTGGGTGCCACTGCATGATGTGATCCTGGCAGAATTTCGGTCAGAATCAAGGCTCTCGGAGCTCTATTTATTTTTAAACATAGAGCAAGAGAGTAAAAGATTTGTCTTACCAGTCCATGGGTCTCCGCCTTTGCAAAGTTGTAGTTGCGGTAAAGCGGGTCAAACCAGGCGTCTAAGAAGAAACGGGCATACTCTCCATTCTTCAAAATGAAGCTCCCGGGGTTCAAATCTTCCCCGTCTTGGGTGATGATAAGGTCCACATCCTTTTCCTTCTGGTGCGCGAATGTCTTGATGATACTATCTGGCGGCACAATGGGGACATTCTTCATCATCAAGTCTTCCAGACGGCCCTTCTCCAGAACGTGAGACTTGAGGGATTTAGTAGGGTTCATGATCAACGCATTAGCCGCGAGATGGAAGATGTATGCCGAGTGAGGATGTGTAGCCATGGCATGGCGGATAGCCGGTGCAACCGCCCAGCTCATTGGGGCATCGCCAACGGCTTCGTCATAGTCCGACGCACTTGCGAAGAAGTTGGTGTAGCCTATTCCCGCGTGAGGGTTAGATCGAGTTCTTTGCGAAGAAAACTCTTCCACAGTTTTCCATAAAGGGAGCTCTTACCATGACGTTTAGCATAGTCCTCCCTGTTTGCAACGATCTTTTTGAGATAGCTCTCGCTGTACCGTTGACGGTCTAGCACTGTGACGATTACCACACCAGTAGTACCCGCCGGAGCCGCGACGGACGTGGAGGCTGAGGAGTGGAGGTAGTAGAGGAGATAAAGAAGGGAAATTGTTGCAAATGCCAGGACAGCGACCGACTTTAATTGTTTCCTGCGATAGGATGACATTCGAGAGGAACGGGAGATGGGTAGAGGATGCGGGCTCCGCCGCGGAGGTAACGCGAACTGCATGAAGGCGTGTACACGTCCCTATTGTGAGATGATACAACAAGGGACAGTGTCTTTGTTGGAATCAAATCATAATAAGAGGGTAATATCAAAAGTCGCGAAGAAAAGAGACTTGAAGATCGACGCGGGTGCGAAGCCAGAGAGATGTGGCGCGGCGTCCGAATGCGGTCCACCTTCTGACACCTTCTGGCCGCATTCCAACGAGCTTCCACTAGACATCCCGCATCCAGCGAGAATTGGTATCTGAGATGTGGTAATAATCAAAGATAGGAGATCTTGTTGTTGACTGTTTCGATGGTATAGTTTTCATTGGACAAAACCACGAGGAAAAAACAGGTTGACTGACATATTTTTATAGATTGGCCTTGACATGGAGGATCAAACGCATCTTCTACGTTGACGATGTCACCACCGTGAGCCGCCCATACTACGCTAAGCAAGCAATTAGACCATATAAAGCTATGCAAAATCATTGGGAACTGCGAGAACTAGTTGCCAGTCGGTTCCTAGATACTCGAATTCTTTAAGATCGAAACGAAATAAACTATGGCTATGTCAAGAGAGCTACAAGAAAGGCATGGCAAGCAAGTCTGATCTGATCACAAATCGCAAAATGAGCGTCCTGATGTCAACAAGGGACCCCTTACAACTGTATGATAGGGTTGCTACACTGAGTCAGATTCATGGCTCCCAGGCCAAGGCTAAATTTGCTCAGGATGCAACCACCACCTCACGGCCAGATGCTGCTAAAGCAACTGCAAAAGGGGCTACCTTCCAACGAACCAGGTCCTCGGCATATTGGCGCTATCGGCAGAGTCATTCAATGCCTATACAAGCCCTGATTCTGGGCCATTGACGATGGAATTAGGGAATGCGATGAGAAATAAGATCATACCAGAGATCAAGAAAACGAATACCAAGGACTTCAGCTAGCAGCAAAGTCTGTAGGATTTGCTAGTGGGGCTCCTTCTAGAGACGACCGGGCTTGGAAAAGTTCAGAACGGCATATCTGTAGTCTGTACGGCGGCCCCATTGACTGGAAAGCGACGAAACAAAAGACTATGACCACGTCCATAACCGAAGCGGAGTCTCTTACTCTTGTGAAGTCCGGAAAGGCAGTTTCAAGGTGGCTCTAAGTGCTCAGTTCATCAGGATTCCAATCAGATCACCCCCGATCCATTATGTGCGACAGTCAGCAAACCGGATGAAGAGAGCGAAGAGAGCGGATTGGAAAGACAGAGATCATTGTCGTCCAAACAGCTATCTGTCATATCACATCATGGCTTTGCTCCCCACTTTATCTATCCCTCGTATCATCTCTCATGTCCATATAGGAAGCCCTGCCCCCGGATGTCTTCCCCATTTCCCAGCCTTGCTTTTATGTGGGACCTAAATACTTCACTTCCTCCATGGGTTAAGCTATCTGTTAAGCAGTATTTCATCGGATTTTGTGCCTCTTGACTTTTTTCACGCAAGCTAATCCTTTGTTGATAGACTGGAGTTACTCCTCTACCGAAACCCTTGACGAGCGACGAGAAAGGCTGGTTGCCGAGTTCCTTGACATGTACTATATTCCTGCTTAATGGATAAAGACTGGGCTAGCCTTTCAGTAGGCATAGAAGAGCCTTCTGCACCTACAACAGGAAAGTGGACACAATTCTCCGACCTTCCCGTAGCAACCATGTTCGATGACCACACTTCCCCCACTTTACTGCGCACACAATATAGCGCCGACCCAGGAGAGAGAGCTAGAAACACCGAGATAATGAGGAAATGGGTTGACCCCTGGGATGCAGAAAAGTGGTGGCAGTTCTCGACAATGGGGATCTCTTTCACTTTGGCTCAGAGTGGCAGCGAATGTACGAGATTCTTCCTGAAATCGCGGGCTCACTTCAACCCGACATCGATGATAGATTAAGGATTCCGCGAGGTCGTAAAGAAAAGGAACTGGAAGGTTTCCGTTCATTTGTCCAACCCTAACTTACCGAAGCGAAAGAGGATGTCCCAGAACGGTTGGCGCGAGGACCGAGATTCGTTTATTGTTGACTGTGCGACAGGATTAAAACCAACGTCACTAGGACATATCTTGTTCTTGCGAACGAAGAGGCCTTCCGATCGGGAAGTCTGTAGGTGAATTCTTGAAATTGAGCTCCGAAACATCGTTGCGCGAAATTGGTATATGTCCTGAGATTTGTAACATTTAACTTCATCGCGACAATGGGTAAATACCATTGCCTTCCTTCACGGCTCTACTGTTGGGGAAGAGTATCGAGCCAATGCAGAGTTAGGGAGAGAACTGTATCCAATTACCGGAAGAGGATCATGCATGTTCTAATCATTTAAACGAAATTTTACTTATCAATCCATTTCCTGAGGACCATGTGTACATAATCACGTATAAAAACGATACCCCCAGCACGGCATCGGTCAGGAAGATATCTACAACTTTGATGGTAGTAGTTTCACGATGGGTTTAACGGCTGACGGCTGCCACAAAGATTGTCAAGGTGAAATAAGTGGACTTAGTGGCTACCGAAGTTATTTAGCACCAATATTCGACGAACTATGTGAAGAAGCGCTATCATGACATTTCTAAAGGGAAGTTATTTCGAGGTTGAAAATTGTTTCTTAGCTTAGGGAACCCGCTAAGATTCAAAACAAGACAAACTGCCAAATTGCCAAATCCGATATAGGCCAGGGAAAGTGGAAAGATGATATTCAGGTAACTAGTAAGCCTAAAAGGGGCTTGGTCACATTAATTACACTCTTCTAGCTCTTTTGACTTTGAGCAGTTTCCCATATTGATGTTCAGGATGAAAGTACATCTTCACTTGTTAGATAAGTCGGCCTTGTGATCTGTTGTTTGTTTGGAGATATTTCCCTCTTTGTTGGATTTAGCCCCAAACAATAGAATCTAGGTGGTGGAAAAGAAGGAAAAGGTATAAAATGGACAGACCGGTTTTTCTACATATAGCACGTGAGGGTTATACCTGACTTATTCCCTAGAACGGAGGAGGGTTCAAGTCCAACCCGTCAACCGTCAACCGGAATTCATCTCTTGAATAGCTCCCCGCAACGTCCATATCAAGTCGACCTCGCTCACAATCCTCCAAGTCGATCTCAGAAATTACAAGCCCATTTCCGGTGCTGGAGCCATCAGCTGCATCATCAGTGGAGACTTCCCAGATAGGTTCAGCTACGACTTCACCCAAAGGTCCGACGATGCAAGAGCCACCCCGGGAAATGTAACGGTCTGGAGCCTCTAAGATGTGATGAGTCATTTGGACACGTTAGTGAATCATGAATCACGTACCTTCAGTAGTTTTGCCCTGCTCAGTGATCCAGGATGGCAGTTCATTGTAGCGCACGCACTGGTTGCAAGAAAGCACGAAAGTGCGACCCTCGCCACCAATAGTGCGCAGAAGAGGCAACCAAGTGTCACGGCTATCAGCTGTGGGTGCGAGGTAGATGTTCACATTTTGCGAATAGAGACTCTGGCGAAGCAGTGGCATAAAGCTTTCCCAGCAGATAGCAGCAGCAATGGTAAGCTTAACTCCATTGAGTTCCGTGGTAATAGCTTTCAGGGTAGAAGGAGAACCCTGTGCCCACACGAGACGTTCTGAGCCGGTCTTATGCAACAATTTCAGATTAGCATTGTTTACAGACATGTCTCAATCCCACCACATTCGACACCAAGTCAAATTGACATCGATTGACAGCAAAAATCAATGACCAAGTACTTACTGGCATGACCTTTCTTCTTTTCCCCAGCACACCCCGCAGTGGATCGACATACAGCGCGGAGCAGTACATGCTTCCCCCGGCCTTTTCAATCAACCCAGTTGCAATAAAGACACCCGTCTCGCGGGATAGCCGCTCAAGAAACTCTCTTGTCCCATCTCCGCGGTGGTCTCGGCCTTGAGCCACGGGCAGCTTGCGCTCCACCCAGTCGTCTCCCGCGCCAGCGGGCGTATCGCCCAGGTCAACGGCAGCACGGAAGTATTCAACAAATTGATCCCGGCCATAGGGAGCACGCGCACCAACAGCAGTTCCAAAGTCACATGTACGAGGATATCCACCCAGATAAGCTTCTGGAAAGAGCAGAAGATGGACACCTTTTGAGGCTGCATACTGGGTGGTACGCTTGAGAGCGGCAAGGGTCAACTCAAGTGTAGACAGAGTGCGGGCTTGCGCCACAGCGACGGTAATTTTCTGAGGCATTATAGCGTGCTCCTCTTTCTCTAGCGAAATTTCTCAAAACGAAGGTTGAAAAGAGTCAAACTAAATTGTTACCCCTCTGAGCATCTTAAGACTCAGTTCGGTCTCTTTTCGGAGGCAGCAGTGTCCGACGGAATTTGACATGCCGATGAGCTTGCATGGCAATGTCACCCATAGCAATCGCTTAAGACTAGCCTTGAATCTAATTGGTCTGCTACCTCTATAAACATTGAACCCACTCAAATGAAGCTAAAGATAAAAACAACGAAGTCGTTTTAGTCTTTCATCCTTTTGGTAATGCTTAGTCACGTGGATCGACGGAATCCAACCGGCACCATCATCGGACATCTGAGTCCGATAAACTCAGTGAGCCACCAAATGCCGAGCCCGAATGGAAAAACACAAAGTGGGACCGTCTAGAAAGAGGCAGAAAGAACTTGCTTGTCGACGCTGCCGATCACGGAAGCAAAAGGTGAGTGTACTTACAGCCTTAAATCGCAGAGAAACCAACCAAAGTCAGTGTACCGGAAGCAGACCGTGTGATAATTGCACAGCCGCGAATAAGGGTAAATATGTAATGAGATAAAAACTAAGACAATCTAGCCTGACGGTGTGTAGAATGCATCTCAAGTGAGCCGGTGGGCCGAAAGGCTCGTGTCAGTGCCGAGTAGGTTGAGTCTACTATGCCATGAGTACTCTGCTAACTGCTTTAATAGATACATTCGAGCTCTAGAAGAAAGAGTCATAGAGCTTGAGTCTCAGATCCCAGATGAGAGGCCAGAGAACCTCTCTGCCAGCCGGCAATCAACTACACTGGAATATTTACATCAGAGAGGAAATGAAACGGACCATGTTTCTCAGGCTTCTATTGCGTCAAAGTCACCATACTCTCGCGGTGTGCCTCGGGACAGGACAGCGGCTGATTCTATTCCTCTGCGGTTATCAGCCCCCTGCCCGTCACTAGCCTTGCCATTCCCCCATGCAGTGGAGAGCTTGCCGGATCCCCATGGCCAATGCGGACATTCCAGCCTGTTGATTGGCATACTAGCTACTCTCACAGGCCCGGAAACCCCTGTTCTCTCTCAAATACAGTCTGAAGGTCCAAATGACCGCAATATTTATGAGTTCACTGACCGGATAGTACAAGCAGATCGTGTCCCGCGGCTTTCAATCGAGGCATCTGATCGCTTGGTTCAAATCTATTTGGAGCGAGTCAACCCACGATATCCCTTTCTGCATCTCGCCACTTTTTTAGGCTGGTATGAATCGTGGAAGGCTCAATCGCAGATGGATAGGGCGAGGCATCAGCAGTCTCTATGGAAGGACTATTTTGTAACCATGGTATGGATCAAACACACTAGTGATTTCGAATTGAGATTAATCTTCGATACATTTCAGGTGCATGCTGTTGCCCTACTTCTCACGCCTCGAGTCTCAGTCGATGACATTACTACTTCTCAAGTATGTGTATATTAAATACTACATCTACCACCGGAGGGAAAGCTAACAGATCAGTCTTTGTACAATACTGCCATGCAATATCTTGCCCACGTTTTCGCGCAACCTGATTCTGTTCTACATGCCCAGGCATATCTTCTTTTGACTCTGCATGCACTTCATTCTCCATCATCACAGATGATTGTCAGCATTGTCTCCGCAATGATGAGATACTGTGTTATGGCCCAACTTCATTTGGCTGAGAGCGAGCCGCAGGTGCCGAATCCCACGTTTTCCTTAGAGATCCAAACCCGCCGTCGAGTATTTTGGTCTGCTTATGCTTTGGATCGATTTATCAGTTGGATTTACCACATTCCTAACAACATCATTGATGAACACATCAGCGTGGAGGTAATTCATTTCTCAATCACCCAACACTAAGACCTCTTCAACGGAAATTCGAGAGACTGACCATGGTAGCTTTTTTCAAACGTCGGAGACGCTGACCTTCACCACGAAGGAGAAGATAGCCGCATGCAAATCGAAACACCATCGCAGAAAACACATGTCTCGCCGGCCCTTCACCTATTCCGATGCAGACGTATACAATCCCGGATCATCAGCACCATGATGCGGTCTGATTTCAAACAAATCGATGCTTCAACAACATGGCGAGAGCACATGTTGGGCGAATTGGACTCTTGGAGGTCTCAACTACGGCTGCTGAGCGATATTGCCTCCAAAAGCTACACGAGTGATCGATGGGTTGGGATGGCTTACAACTACACAATCCTCCTATTGCACCAGCCAACCAAAGAAAACGTCTATACTGGCTTTGGGGATCGATCAGTCCCAGCCTGTGTTCAGATTGCTATGACATTCAGGACTTTCCAGAAAGATCGACAGACAGCACAACTATGGCCTGGGGTATGTGCTCGAATCCCTCTATGATTCTCCCCCGTTGACTGACACAGCCCGGTAATTAGCTCCTGAGCCAAGTAGCAGTGGGTATTACCCTTCTATACTGCTTTTGGGCAACTCCACCTCAATATCAAACTGTAGCATACCGATCACGAGAGGTCCCCGGCGCATTACGCGCCTGCTCGACTGCGCTGGCCATTCTCGCTGAGCGATGGGTTCAGGCTGAACCTTTGCGCGATGTTTTCGATGTTCTAGCCAAGGAAGTTCCGCTCCACGGAACGGCCGAGGAAGACCTGCCACCGAGGCGCATCTCAGCGGAGTCTGCTTCCTACATCCAGGCCCAGATGCCTTTGCTCACATCAATCATCATACATCGGGGTGTCTTGCGCATGATACGCGAGATGGCCACGGAGGACTTTCCTAGGAGTCTAGATGAGGAGTTCCACCACCGACTGCCGGCATCGCATGACCGAACTATGCTTGGGAGTTTGGGTAGTCACATGTGCTCCGACGAGTGTCCGTTTTTCCATGAACCAACTCATCCTGGATCAAAGGCTGGCGTAGGTACCCAGACCTTTTCTCCGCTTGAGAACGAGATTGGCAGTGCTTATGGGGTTGACGACGAGACGCTCATGTATCCACTCTTCTTTGGCTCGGCAGAATTCTGATGTCGGTTTAGTGCTATGTTCTCTTCATGCAAACTGGTTATCGACTTGGTGGGAAAATACAGTTAGATGAAACGTCTTGACAACATTGAAGTGAACATGAAGTAAGATTGGAGTATAATACAGAAGACCCAATATGCAAATGAATAAGAGACCGCACCCAAATTAGAAAGTTGTGGCCATCATTTCCACCACGAAAAACGAGATAGCGTACAAAGATGGCACAAAATCCGTGGTGCCCAAAAAACCGTCCATCGCTCTTCAGGATAGTGATACAAGCGCCTGTTTATTCCTCTCGGCACGCAAATTTATCCAAGCAGCTCTAACGAGCATAAGATTGGGTGCGTCGCGGAGATGCGCGAGGCTTGGTCATTGCGTCAATGTTCAGGTTCTCGATTTTGTTCCTAATTTCCAGCCTGTGGTCCCTCATCCATTTGCCCAATGTCGGGGGCTCAGGAACGCCGAAGGCCTTGCGCTGCTTTGCGAACTTCTCCTTGATCGCCGGGGTCTGCATAATCTGGTGTCGAAGGTTCCATCCGAAAGGACCGAGCTCCTTGAGACGTGTTGGCCGATCAGACAGCAGATAATTGTCTAGGCCCTTGGCCTTGTAGATTGATCGCAAGGCGCGACGAGTGACCTTGATAAAAAGCGACTCGCCCAGAGCCTCGCTTTCAATCTTCTTTCGGCGAACGTTGGGCTTCCAGCTTCGTCGTGTCTTGCCTGCGTTACGTCCCTTGGAGATCTTGTTGCCGAACCGGATCGAAGCGCCTCCGTAAAGACCAGAGTCGGCCTGCTTGTACCATTTGGATGGTCCGTAGGGGTAGACTGGGGCGGTTTCCGGTAGTTTCGGAACTGATTGCGTTGCCAACGTCGTTGAGAAAGATCGCTTCGGTGTGGCGATGGAAAGACTGCGGAATGCCGAGGCCAAAGAGAAGGGGGCAGCCATTACGGATCTAGTGTGTAGGCCTGCCATTGTGTTCGACAGGTATCGGACCCTCGCAGAGTGTCGAGAATGCAAAGAGCCAGAAGGTCGTTAATAGACAGCAGGCGGAGGAGAGGTCCAGCAGGGAAGAATTTGGGGCAGTTCACCGCCTTAGAGGGCGGCGTTCTCATTTGACGATCTCTTGCTCGCGAATTTCGGCCAGAAGCATATCTCACAGAGAACCATCGCGTTACCTTTCTTTTCTATCTAGGCTATTCCTTTGAAGCCTTGACTACTTCTACATCCTCCTTCTCAACCGATTGACATATCTTTTGTCAATATCTGTGGCTCTACTCGGCCACACCTCTTCCAAACATGGTCCAGATTAGTGAAGTGAAGGGTAACTCGCGCGAGAACAGGACCGCGGCGCATACACACATTCGCGGTCTAGGCCTGCGCTCTGATGGGACTCCGGAGAATAATTCCGATGGGTTTGTGGGACAAGGAGCTGCCCGCGAGGTAAGTGAAGAGCAACCCTAAATCCACCAGGATATCTGGTTCGCAGTAACAATCACTAACGGTTCAAACCATGGGGCAGGCATGCGGTGTTGTGGTGGACTTGATTAAGTCGAAGAAGATGGCTGGACGAGCTGTCCTGCTTGCTGGTGGCCCTGGTACCGGAAAGACTGCTCTGGCTCTTGCTGTATCGCAGGAGCTGGGAACCAAGGTTCCTTTCTGCCCGATAGTTGGCAGTGAAATCTATTCTGCAGAGGTCAAGAAGACCGAAGCATTGATGGAGAACTTCCGGAGAGCTATCGGTATGCAATGCCACATTAGGGGAAGCGCAACAACCGTTGAAATCCAGCTAACATATGACAGGCCTCCGCGTTCGCGAAACCAAGGAAGTTTATGAGGGAGAGGTGACTGAGCTTACCCCCGAGGAGGCAGAGAACCCACTGGGCGGATACGGGCGCACAATTAGCCATCTGATCATTGGACTGAAGTCCGCTAAGGGCTCCAAGAAGCTGCGTCTGGACCCCAGCATCTACGAAGCCATCCAGAAGGAGCGTGTCACAGTCGGAGACGTCATCTACATTGAAGCTAATACCGGATCTTGCAAGCGAGTCGGACGATCCGATGCCTATGCGACCGAATTCGATCTTGAGGCTGAGGAGTATGTGCCTGTCCCCAAGGGCGAGGTTCACAAGAAGAAGGAGATTGTTCAGGATGTGACCCTTCACGACCTGGATATGGCCAATGCCCGACCCCAGGGAGGACAAGATGTGATGAGTATGATGGGTCAGTTGATGAAGCCCAAGAAGACGGAAATCACAGACAAGTTACGCCAGGAAATCAACAAGGTTGTCAACCGATACATTGATCAGGGTGTCGCGGAGTTGGTTCCCGGTGTTCTCTTCATCGATGAGGTATGTGGAGAAGTTTATCCTGCGAGTTATTGGATCACGTTTCTAACCCCGTTTTTTTCTCTAGGTGCACATGCTTGACATTGAGTGCTTCACATATCTGAACCGTGCCCTCGAATCGACTATCTCCCCGATCGTCATTCTCGCCTCCAATCGCGGTCACACCGTTATTCGTGGTACCCACGAAATCAGTGCCGCACACGGAATTCCCCCTGATCTGCTTGCCCGCCTTCTTATCATTCCCACCAACCCCTACGCCCCCGAGGAGATCAAGACTATCATCCGGCTGCGCGCCAAGACTGAAGGTCTCAATATCACAGAACCTGCTTTGAACAAGGTTGCGGAGCATGGCAGCAAGGTCAGCTTGCGGTATGCCCTGCAGCTGTTGGCCCCCGCAAGCATTCTCTCGCGCGTCAATGGCCGCCCCGGCGCAATTGAGGAGGCTGATATTGCAGAGTGCGAGGACCTGTTCCTGGATGCCAAGCGCAGTGCAATCATTCTTGATCAAGATAGCAAGAACTTCCTGTTATAAATGGCTATGAGGCTTGAGAAAGTTCCATGATCTTGTGTACCAAAGGGGTATCTTGGATGTTTATTGAAAAGGCGAATTGTTTTGTGTGGGCCTGGTGTTACGCTAATGCTATGTATCAAATTTTCTATTTTCAACTTATTGCAACTTCCAGGAGATGAATGGTTGTGGATCCAAAATAGTAAACGGAGTAGATGTAGAGGTCATCGGGTGTCGCAAATGCAACCCGAGGCACGAATCACGTGTCTATCACCATCACCCGTTCCTGGTCCGGCATTTGTTAGTATTATCAGGACCTTTGGTTTTTTTTTAAATCAACTTCTCTTTGTGTTCCCTAGTACTCCAAGAAAGCCAGTCTAAATCGTTTGCAAAGCGAAGCCACACCAACAAGATCCGACCGAACCGCCACTCAGCACTATTGAACGGCGTCACCCGCCCCAGATAAAGGTGGAGCCCACATCAACACATCAACCACTATCTCAGACAGCAGATCTTCACTTCTGCCTAAGCTAGAACACATAATATCAAACCACCATGTCAAACCCACTAGACACAGACGCCGGCTCGGAGATGTTCGCCAGCTACGAGAACGAGTTGAAGCTGGTGCAAGCCGATCTGAACCAGAAGCTGGACCAGATCGCCGAGGCAAGCGGCGAGCAACGGAAATCAGCAATTGGCATCGCAACTCAAGTCCTTGAAGAAGCCACAGAACTGGTGAGTCTACCGAGCCTCTAAACCCATTTCCATGCGCCACACTACAAGAACAATGAACAACTGCAAGAACAGGAGAAACTAACCCAATCAATCTTCATCTAGCTCGACCAAATGCGCATGGAAAAGCAGAACATCCCCTCAGCAGCCCGGTCAAAAGTCAACATTCGCTTCCGTAACTACTCAACCGACATCGACGAGATCAAGCGCAAGCTCAAGTCCCTCTCGGATGACCGTCAAGCACTCTTCGGCGACCGGTACACCGATGAGCCGCAGGATGAGCACCTCGAACAAAGACAGCAGCTGCTTTCCGGTACGGACCGGCTAGAGCGCAGCTCAGCGCGGCTGCAGCAGAGTCAACGCATGGCGCTGGAGACGGAGGAAATTGCTCGTGGCACCCTCGGCACCCTGTATGAGCAGAGGGAGCAGATCACGAATGCTCGGAACAACTTGCTGCAGAGTGAGGGTTACGTCGATACTAGTATCAAGACTCTGAGGGGCATGGCCCGTAGGTACTGACTCCCCTTTGTCTCGTTTTAGATTTGATCTAGACATGGTTGCTAACTTTTCGTGTGTTGTTCAGGATGGCTACCAATCGGATAATCACAATTGCTATCATTACGGTTTTGGTTCTTTTGATTTTCGCTGTCATCTACAGCAAGTTCCATTAGCACTTGGGTTTTGCGCTGGCGTTTGTATACTCGGTCTTATCTTTATTCTGCTCTTACATCTACACTAGCAAGGCTATTGCCTCTCTCTGTCTCTCGCATCTTTGCCATTATGTATGATAGCACCCGGCGAGTCTTGATACAGCCAGATCGAACTCTCTGGACCAAGTAGCCCGGGTCTCTAATACGACGGTTAACGGTCCAAACAAATTTCAAGCCTTGACTAGAAAGCACCAAATAGCTTCAATTGCGGGGTATCTCACAACGCCAAATAACAAAAGAGAAACACACATATCTCAAACCGTTCATTTCATGACCCTCATCGCCCCAAAAACAGCATTGACAATAACACCCACACAAACAGCAACCCCTTTCCTCCAACTCCAAACCCCCTCCTCTCTACGCAACCACATCGCACAGCCAACAGGCCAAAAGAACCCCATAACAGCACCCCAAAGCATATCATCCATTGCCCTACGCGATCCAGACCCAACCCCGCCCTCATCATCCCCAACAACGCCCCCCTCCCCACCAAGACCACCCTGCACTTGCGCCGCCGTCGACCCCTCATCCATCCAGCGATCCTCAAGATCCCGCAGCTGGTCACCAGTAGGCATGGTATCCGGCGTCCGGGAGACAGACTGCATTGCCAGGAACTGGGAGCGCAGAGCGGTAACCTCGGCCGCCGTGAAGCCTGCCGAGAGGAGACGGTCGAAGCCGCGGGGTGCGGGTGTGGTAGTTTGCTGGGACTGGGATTGAGGTTGGGAGTGACGTGATTGCGCCGATGTTGGGAGTAAAGATGCGACACTATTGACTGATGATTTCCTGCATGCATCGGTTTGCTGTTGCTTCTGTTGCAGAAGGATTGTTGATGCCTCGCTTGCTTCGCTTGCTAGGTCTGCTTCTGAGAGTGAAATGTCGCCGATCGAGCAGTGGATGTAGAGCCGTGGACGAATATCGCGCACCGCCTGCTTGCCTTTTCCATTTTTGTCGGTTGTCTCGGGTTGGTCTGCTGCGGGGCGAGGGCTCCGGCTTGGTGATGGCGGAAGCTTGAGTGAGACCGTTAATGCGGTTGTATCTTCGAGACCACGACCGGCGTAGATGAGGCGCAGTCGATGGGATGATAAGGGTTCGGGTAGTTCAGCTCGGATCATTTGCTTTAGGCCTGCGCCTGTTGTAATCTCGGGCTCTGTGACGTCTAGTTGGAAATCGGGGATTGAGGCAGAGAAGCGGACGGTGACGAGGAGCGGGTCGGTGTCCGATTCACCTGCTGCGTATGGAGAGAGGAATGGTGAGACCATGTCTTAGGTACGAGGTAATTTTGTGCTTTTATGTGGAGTATATTGAGGCCGCTCTTACGGGCAATGACTGATGTTTCAAGTTGGAGATGCGGCGCCTACCCCATTCAAGGGCCTCGGACCATGCAGCACGTCAGGTGACACATTCTAAAGTACAACTGTTGACAATCGGTTTTCGACCACCCTCGAAGGCTAATAGAATGGAAAGAGACATGATAGATAATTGGAAAAAGAGGTTTACAGTATTAATTTGTAGATTTTTTTTGAGGTAATTATATCACATGTCATCGTCAAAGTCCTTAGGACTAATCTATACACAATGACATCACATAGTTGATTTGCAATGGTTCACAAAAAGAGTCTTCGCAGACGCAAAAGAGACACAAAAGTTCATTGGCTGAGCCTCTAGCCTGTCTCTTGGACATGGCCCGCCAACTTGTGAGCCCATGCGAACCCACAGCCAACACGAGACGCAGTAGAAAAATGCGGAAAGGAAAAAGTAGATGAAGGTATCAACTGGATATCAAGCGTATGTACTCAAACAAAAGGGTAGTCGTGGAATTCCAAAATCCCCTTTGAAAACGCCGTCCGATGCACCGAGAAGAAAGACGCCGAGAGCCCCGTAAAAGAAATGTGTCGAAAGGAATGCCTAAGCTGTGTGCTTAAACCATGAAAGATTCGCCGCAGCCACATTCTTCCTCTGTAATAAGGAGTCAGTAATCCGAATCTCAAGGAAATCCAGCAGTTTTTACGGGTGACACATACTGATATTGGGGTTGCGGAAAATAAATCGTCTGCTCAGCTTATCTTCTTGCCAGTCCATCTCACTGCCGATAATACTGAAAAGAGCTTTGCTGTCGATCAGGACTTTGACGCCGTCCTGTTCGACCACCTCATCGAATTTTCCCGGCTTGTCCACGTACTCTAGGTGATACGCGAGGCCTGAGCAGCCACGGTTCTTGACGCCTACTCGAATAAATTTCGGCTCCGGCTGTGCCATCAATTTCCGAAGCTGCTCAGTGGCCACCGGGGACAATTTCATGGCTGCCTTTCTGGCCCGAAGCGGCCGACGGGGCTTCGCGGAAGTCTTGGAGGCAGCCGGAGAAGCGGTAATCGGTTTCGATTTTTGCGCTTCGCCTTCCCGTAAGCTCAGATTGGACAATGTGCTTTGTGATGGGGCTTGGAATGATTTCATGTCGGCAGGAGGGAATTCAGCTGAGATAGAAGTATCGGCGCCGCCAGTGTTTCGAGGAGGCGGAAAAGATGATGGGAACGAATGAGGACGGTACGCGGTTGCAGTTTGCATATCACGCTTGGAGGAGAGGTAAGCATTTCCATATGATGAAAAAGTACGTAGACGTCCTGCCGAGGGCTTTGCCCATCGGAGGAGTGTGGCGGATGATGTCACAGGACGTTGCATGGCGGAAGAGAAGCTCATAGTCGAGGAGCAATTAAAGTGAAATTGGAGTGAACCTCGATGAAATTTGTTATTGGCTCATAGGATCCTGTGTGAGAAAGATGGTGGAATGGAGGATTGATTCACAAAGTTGCGAAAGAAGAATCTCTGACTGTTTTGAGGCTTCCCCCGTGGCTCAGAGTTAATTACGTAAAGCAGCTGCATGACGCAAGTCTGGCCAATCAGCGTTGAGCAATTTCTACACATCAACACCTGGGCAGTTGTAGCAGTGGCGCCACTCCTCAAGGTCCTTAGTTGGTGATCATAGACTAATCAAACAAGAGGCTTACTGGATAGACTACGGAGTACTCCATAGCTGATTCCACTTTGCCCTAATTAATCTAGCTACGGGGTACCTTGGTAAAGCAATCAAGTGCCAACTCAAGTTAGATCATCGAATGTGTTTTTTTCGGAAGCTGAGTCATCTCTGACCGTGGAGAGTTCCGTTCCTCGGAGGGACCTGGCTCATCCCTCCCTCATGAGGATGCCACGCCTCCAAATGCAGTCAAGTGGCGGGGAATAGTATCAAAATGTAATTAATGGGCTGTTTGGATCGACTAGTTTAATACACAAATACCCTAAAAGATCTTTTTTTAAATCCATTTTTAAAATCCCAGAATGCAAACAAACTGTCAAGTGTAGAGGACATGTGGCTGGATCGGCTGACAAAGTGGCTGGTGTCCCTTTTTCATGAACCTCAAAGCAATTGAATCAACTCGACTTTAAATTAACCTTACCCATTTGGTTCTCGGGGTCCAATGCTGGCGATCTAACGTTTGCGGATATTATTGTCTAATACCATGGATGCCTCACCCCTTACCCAGCAGAGTAGACCAGAGTCCTTCAAACCTAAGATTGTCCAGCTCTATGAGAATCTCTTCAAAGTATGGATATGTACATCGCTTGTGTGATGTTGCTAACATACCCCTGATAGGTAGCAGATGATGCAGAGCCCTCGGAGGGCTTTTGGAGAGAACTCTTCTTGCTACCCCCAGACCGGAACCAACTGCATGCTATCCTAGACCAATTGAGTCCAGACGATACAATCGGTCTACAGGTATATCATGTTACAGAAACCATCCCAGAAATTCTACTCAAATCGCTGATGCAACCACTAGATTCAAACTCAGCGTTTCTTTGTTCGTGCCATTCGCGAGGCAGCAGCTGGGATTGCCCCGGCGGATTCTAATGCACTAGATGTAAAGAACCCTGTGGTCAATATCTGGGGCATTTTCTCTAACGATGTTTGGCAGACTTTGACAGTTTTCTTAACGAGCATTCTAAGCAAGAAATACACAAACCCAAGTTCGGATGTCATCACTGTTCTTGCCGGACTCGACGAAGTGGACCATGTGATTTCCGAATTTGTGGATGTCTTGGACAGAATCATTCGCAACAGCAGTAGCTGTAAGTCCTTTTTTGTTCTATTCTTGACCGATACCATCGCAGTTGATCCTAATTGTTCTAGTCGATGTGCGGCTAAAGGCTATCAAGACGGCCATTGCTATGGCCAGCGGAGCATACAAAACCAGTCTGGTCTCCTATCTTACACACAGGGATCTTTTCCCATCGCTTATGAAGGTTTGAATTACTCATACTGCTTCTGTCTAAATAACTGACAATTGCCAATAGTGTGTCTCTGATTCTGATACGCCACTGCAAGTGTTTGACCCATTCCTCCTTCTGGGGCTATTGGCCAACTATAACAAATTTGAATTCCAAAACCCCTACCAGCTTCGACTTGATGATTTTGTGAACGAATCAAGTATTGAAAAGGTTGCCAAGGGTGTCGGTCTGGCCTGTAATCGCCTGCGAAATGGCTACATTGCTGTCCAGGATGACATTCCAGAGGGCTGGAGCCTGACGAATACATTGATTTTCTTTGGATTACGAGCGCTCGCCCCTGGTGCTAGGGACAAAGCGAACCCTCCATCCGTGGAAGAAGCGAAGGCCATGTTCGCTGATCTGTAAGTTCTCTGCGTGGAGAATGCATCGATCCAAAGCTTACAATCCTGGCAGTCCGGCCCCAGAGGCCGCAATTCTCATGGCTACATACGACTTTACAAACGCAAACAAGCTCTTTGGTTATCATTTGGTTCATTTGGAACCCGAAAGCAACGAGGAAGAATCCCCTTTCTCGAGCTTCCTCTCATTGTCTTCCTATCTCCTCCAACATGCATATCGATCCCCGCGGGTCGGGCACTATGCCGAACTAAACTTGTTCACACTTCGCATTCTGGTCGAAGACCCGACCATCTGCAAGCAAATTTGCAGTGAAAAGGTCAAGCGAAAGGTCCGCATCTGTCGACAGAAACAGCCCTACCTCCCTGTAGTCAGCGGAGACCGGGTCCTCGCAACCGTCATCTTTGATATCGTTATTGATACCATTACGCATAACCTTCGCCGGCGCCTTGACGTCAACATCTACAGGTATGAAATAGCTGACTCGTTATATCCATTAGCCATGGCGTGACTAAAAATCTTCCTAGCCTCACAATCGCAATCACCCTCCGCCTCCTAACCTACCTCTCAAAGAACAAGATCCGCCTCACCTACCACTGGTCCGAGCTCTGGCGAACTCTGCTCTCCCTCATGCGCTTTCTAACAACTTATGCCTCTGATTTAACAAGCAATCCCAAGATCCATACACTCACGACCTCCCTCGCAGATCTAATCGCGTTCTGCGTCTCAGGCGGTGACACCTTCCTCCCAGATCCAGCCTCCTACGATGACCTCTTCTACAAGCTCGTCGAAACAGGCCCCATCATCTCCAAATTCCGCCATGCATACTCATTGTCCCGGTCCAGTAACGCAGCAGCTGGCGTCTCGGCCTCCAAAGCACCCGATGCAATTTCCCAAAATGAACTGAGTTCAGCAGCTATCGACACCCTTCAATCCGTATCTACTCACTTCTACACCCTCCTCTTTCATTCCGAGGGTGCAGAGACCGCTGCTGTCACTGCTGCCAGTCCTAAAGCTGATGAGCCTACGCCGGTGGCGTTGCCGTCGATAAGGAAGAAGAATCTCTCCCCGCGCGAGGTCCACCGTATCATAAAGCAGGGCTATGATACGCTCAGTATTCAGCCGCCTGAGGGTTTGAGTGCTTGGGCTAAGTGGCGTGAGGCGGAGTGGAAGAGCGAGTTGAAGCGTGCGGCGCGCTTTGCTTTTGATGATGCAAGGCAACTGGTTGCTTAGCTGTCAAGTTGTGGGGCTCTTCCTTTCTTCTACTTTCTTTGCATTCTGGAGTAGATCTCGATCTGGATTCCAGATGTTTGTGGGTGGTGTTGTGGAGAGAGCGGTAGATCACTAGTTGGTCAGTGGTGTCATTATTGAGTATGTAATTAAGATATCCAGTTGAGAATTCACTTTTTCTCACTTCTATCATTATTAACTTGCATCCACGACTACCAAGTAATAATATAGAGATGTCAGAGGCTATCTCTGTGCTACTTATAGATTGTGAGTTTGTAATCCCACTTGAAACACTGTACGTCTGATATTAAGAGATAGCCCAACAACACATTTTGGATTCCAAGCCTATTCCAGGCCCGCGCTTCTTCAATCGAGTTTTGAAAATTTTTTTTTTTTAAAAAAAAAAACAAGTTGCGGCAAGAAGGGTGGCTACTCCCACCCCAACGCAGGCAACAAAAAAGAGACAGAGAGCCACTCTTCTCCTTCCCTCCAAAGAAGAGCCTCTTCCCGCACTCAGTGAGTGCTCTCTGCCGGCAGGTAGCTGGTAGCGAAGTACTTCTCAGAGTTCTTGCTCAGCCACATGGACAGCTTCGAGATCTCCTCTCGCAGGCGGTTCGTGGCCTGCATATCCATGTTGGTCTGAGCAATCAACTCAGGCATGGTACCTAAAAAAAGCACAACCATTAGCACATCTCTCAACCCTCACAGTTGAAGCGGTAGTCAGGTGAAGTGGATTGGGATACATACTGAACAAACGGATCAGGTGCTCCGCTCCGTAGACATCGATGGGGCCCTTATCGGCCAGGTCCCCGGTGGCAGCCTCGAACTTCTTGCGCAGCCCGCGGTATTGGGGGCGCTCGTGGCGGTAGAGAAGAATCTTGTCCAGACACTTGTCGAAGTACTCCTGGATCCCAGCAACCACTTCCTCCAGCACGTCCTCGTCTGCCGACGAGCCCGATCGCTTTGGAAGCTCTTCCTCGTGCCAGTCTTGCAGGATCTGGCGGACGGGGTACTTCGCCGGCAAAGAGATCACACATTGGTTCTTAGTTACCTGCTCCCAGTCATCGACAAGAAGGGACTTCAAGTTGTCTGGCATGATAATGCGGACTGAGGGACGAATGTTGAAGCTCTCCTCCTATCACATATGTCAGTATGGGGTCATTAATGTTACGGATCACTCATTATATAAATTTTTTTTCTTGGTTTTCGTTCAAATGCACCAGATTGAGTAGATTTGGCAATTCCTTACCTTTTCAATTTCACTATCACGGGCTCGCTTGGTGCCACGGCCGGGCACGGAGCCGCGCTCCTCGCTGTCCCGCACAGAGTCACGGTCGGAACCGGCACGCTTCTTAGTGGTGACCTTGGTGTTCTTCAGACGGAAGGAAGCTTCAGCTTCACGACGCAGATTGTTAGCCAATTCGCGGTTGTCTTCGGTGTGCTTGCGAAGACGGTCCTCCAGGACCCAGTCATCCCAACTGCCCAAATGTCAGTAAATTGTTCCATAAGAATGATCTCAGACACCACAATTTCTAGAAACATGTCGAGTTTTTTTTTAAAAAAAAAACAAGAAGCGTTTTGTCATAGCAGAGAGATATAGATCAAGGCCAAGTCTTTCCGTAAGGGCCCGGACAAACTTTCCAAGGTTGGAGGGGAACAATCTCAACACCACGGCCAGAATATAGATAAATAGGGGAAGAATTGAAATCAATCAGAGACTTACGTGTTCTTCCAGCCCTTGTAGTGGACTTGGTATTCAAAGGGGCTCTTCTTGTCGTTGGAGTCCTTGTGGCGAACGTCCAAGATTTTAGCATCGTAAAGAATCTCATGATGGAAGCAGAGGACCTTCTCATCCTTGCTATACATGGAAATAGGAGCCATTTTTTTAGTCGAAGAAAGATCGAAGATGTGCGGATTGAGGTTGGTATGAAGATACAGATCTTCAAGCTCAAAGGTGTAGAAAAGATGTTAGGATGATTTCTGTCTTGCGGGAAAAGGGTGTGATACAGGCGATAACAGCCACGATCAGAAGAACCTTGAAAGACTTTCGAGATTCCAATGGATTCTAACACTACAAGTAGATCTTGTAGACTTTGAGCAAAGACCGGAAAAGAGGAAGATGCACAAATGGCAGTACAAGATGGGGTTGAACAGCAAATTTGATTCAGCAAATTGGAAGAAGGTACAAGAATGAAGAAGATCCGACGAGAGACCAGCTCAGGAATAGTAGAAAGAATCAAAATTGGAAGAAGAGAGAGGTTCAGTTGGTTGTAGATGAAGTAGATCAAGTAGATCAAGTCGAGTGGAAGAAGAAGGAAAACAAGCGAAAATGGGCCCCCCTTGGAAGAAGAATTAGGCGCGGCAGCTTATTGTCACCTTTACATTGACAACTATTCATACATCTCTCTTATAATAACAACGATTGATTCAATTCCACTCTTTGATTCATTCGAGTGTTCAATTTTTGTTCACGTGTGTCAATTCTTGAACATTGGCAACTTCAATTGCGCGTCAACCCGGAGGCCAGGACTACACATCCTCCAGGGGGAAGAGAAGAAAATATCTACACGTCTACATCTGTCTGTTACACTACACTGTACATCTATCATGCCTCCCTCCGAGGAGTCGATTCTTAGCAATTTCCTGCTCTCCCCAGCTCCGCTACCAACAGTCATGTCGCTGCAAAAGTTCACAGAGCTCTTCCCAAAGCGCCTGAGAGCCCATCCACACATTCGGACTTTGTATCGGGAGCTGCAGCAGGTCCGAGAACAGGACATGGACCGAGTCAATGAAAGCATCGACAACGAAATTAAGCAAGGTGAAAAGCAGCGAGCAGAGCTCCGAAAAGCCATGTTAGCCACTGGAGTCGAAGCCTCAAATGCTGAAGAGCAGCGCGAGATGGACATGGATCTTCATCTGTTCGGCCAGCCACCACCTACTGCACCGGGTGATTATCACTCGGTGGCTAGTCTTCTGGCTGAAATGGAGACGGCCAGCGCTAATATCGAGCATGAAATTGCCGGTATCGATCGAGAGGCTGCAAAGATTCTGACTCAACTCAACACGACTGTTGGGGATATGAGCGATCTCCGTTACGGCAAATTACAGGGTCCAGCTGGGACAGCTGACGAAGTGGCTAATGAGGCGATCAAGGGCCTGCAGAACCTCGAAGACATTTGCTATGAGAGGAGCACTTCTTGAGAGAGAGAGTATTTAAACTTCGTTGAAAACAATGTGCCCATTTCTTATTTGCCATTGAGCAAATACCCCGAGCGACTGGTACGTGGTTTCCATCTTGATTTCCAATCTTAAGGACCCTGGCTGACAAGTGAAGATGCAGATAAAAGGCAAACTATTACGGGCGCTTTGATGTCTGAATCCTCCGGCAGCTTGTAGGTATCGAGCTCTTCGGTCGAATCTTGAACGCTTGGTAGCTGTTGTCGCCACTTTTTGCCTCAGAGCTATGTCACAGGAGCAGTCAAGCTAACTGCTCTCGGTTCTTGGCGAGGGCATTAAATTGTTCTCTTGGAAAGACCATCTATAATGCTCTTATGATGCAAGTCCCCATCTAGGCCATGGTCTTGGAAATTTTCTTCTCTCACACCGAAGCTTCTGTTGACCAACACGCTTAAGTTCAAATTATGTAGCGAATCGACATCATTGTTACCTCTACAATCTATCAGCACCTTGATTCGTGAACGGCTCTGAACCAAGTGTTGATTTGGATAGAATGTGTTTTGCCCTAGATAAGGAAGGACAAACATAGGGGACTGTTGAGAATCCATGTATCTAAAGTCATATACATAATCTCCTCCCCCCCCCAACAATTCTACAAACAAAAATACAATGAGGTATCCCTCACTTGTGTTTCCAGTAATTAATTGCCTGTCCTTTCTCGCGATAAGAAGTGTGGGGAAATGGCCAAACGCGTGCCGCGTTCGCGTTTTCCCTCTGTCAAACTCCAAGTGAACTTCCAAGAGAACATCATGCCCTCCATAAAGCTACAACCACACTGCGCAAGTCCGCCAAAGACGACTACAACTGCCTCAACGCCGAATAACCCTCTCCCAACACTTCTTCAAACACCCTCGGGCCTAGCCCTTCTCGAGCTTCAGGGCACAATCAATATCCCCTCGGGGAATGAAGAGGATGACTTAGACTACTCTACCTCTACGGACAATCCGGCATCCACCTTCGAAACCCCGATCGGAAAACTCATGTTCCCTGACTACTCGGTCCACAACCCAGACGACACGAGATGGATGAAGCGCGCTTACTTGTATGTCGGTCGGTATCAGCGGATGACTGGCGAAGTAAAGAAGCTCCCGCGACCGATTGCTGTGCTACAGAAACGTCAGGCGTCGGAGGTCGAGGAACTGGAGGTTGTGGAGATTGTGCGCTATAAGATCTTCTTCAAGAGTCGGCCGGAACCCGTGACTAATGTTTGACTGAGCTGGATCGGAGGTTTTACTTTCTTTTGCATTGAAATGGGATCTTCTCTAGAGATGGCATCTATTGTGTATCACATATGCTGGAGCCGCAGGACTTGGATGAAAGGCCATGACATGCATGGCCAACCTAAATGAACATGGCCTCCCGCTGTGTTACGGAGAACCGCGGCTTCTCTATCCAGTATTGACCTCGTTGGTGTGCAACGACCTCAAGTCGGCTTTTGCGGGTATACAGGCTTGAATTCGAACCTCTCAAGGCTCGCCCAAGGACACAGCTCTGTTTCACCGGCAGCCCGCACACACAGCAGAAGGAATTACCGGCTCTGCAATGATTTCAGCATTACCTCACACGTTTATTTTAGATAGCCATCTCCCTCTATTGATCCGGTGATGCGGGCTTGGAATGTGACACGTCTGGGGATCCCCTCGCTTTCTATCTTTTTTCTTGCACTTCAGCCGTCTTCAATATCGTAAGTGTACCTTGGCCGCTATACCGGCGCCAAGGGCTGGCGGAGGGAGGACGTGCGTCTCGGTTCACACCTACACCGATACCAGCGCATCAAGAGTACCAACCATGACTGTCCCGGAGAATGAAGATATCTTTCCCGCGAAGATGGAACCCGAACATATCGGCTTCGACCACATCCATTGGTACGTCGGCAACCCCAAACAAGCCGCTTCATAATGAATCATTCGCATGGGCTTCCATCCCATTGCATACCGCGGCCCGGAAACTGGCTCGCCCTATCTCGTGAGCTATGTTGTGGCCAACAATGGTGCTACTTTCATTCCGACGGGGCCAGTCTGTGGTCCGCCAATCGAAGGCTTAGAAGACAGTCTCTTGCGCCAGACTGCGAGTTGTGAACGGACGACGCAGGCTGAGATCCATAAACACTTGACCATGCACGGCGACGGGGTGAAGGATGTTGCATTCCGAATCGCGGGCGATATACAAGATGTATGGAAGCGGGCCGTAGGGAACGGTGCTCGCACGATTAACCGAGCCGCAGACGTCTGCTGTCGAGGGGGTATGGGCGGATTGTCTCTGCGACTGTTGGGACGTACGGGGATACCGTACATTCTCTGGTGAATCGCGAGCAGTATTCGGCAGGCGCTTCCTTCTTGCCTGGATATCGATTGGTCGATGGTGAAGATCCGATCGCACAGCTTCTGCCAGCCATCCATCTTCTTGAGATTGACCACTGTGTCGGGAATCAGTCGTGGGGAGGAGCGGACAGCATTGTCTACTAGTGAGTAGAACCAATTTCGTCTTTGTTGGAATCGTCACTTTAACGAATGAGGCTGAGTTATGATAAACGCCTCGGCTTTCATCGCTGCTGGACAGTCAACGATAAAGACATGTGTAGCGAGTACTCGGCGATGCGATCAATTGTCATCGCTTCACCGAAGGACACCATCAAGATGCCCATGAACGAGCTTGCAATCGGAAAGAAGAAGTCCCAGATTGAAAGAGTACGCAGCTTGTCCTTGTTCTTTCTGTATTGAAAAAAAAAATTTCTCTCGTCCCCTCTAATCCACCCACATGTCAACAAATCTTGCCCTCACAGATTCATCGACTACTATCACGGCGCCGGAGTGCAGCACATAGCATTCCGCATGCAGGACATCATCGCTGCTGTAAATGGGTTCCAAACGCGTGGTGTCCAGTTCCTCGGTGAACCGGCAACCTACTATGCCGATCTGCGGAAACGCCTGACTGGGAATTTCAAGAGTTTGTTCGAGGCTTTCGAAAGGGAGCAGGCTCTGCGTGGAAATCTACAACCGATGGTTCCTTTCAGGTCTGCATGAAAAAAATGAGTATGGGAGAGAATGCGCCCTGTCATCTCCAAGGACTCTAGTTAATCTTCTTGGTCTCATCCGTGAAGCTGATAATTTTTTGGGTGCTTTATTAGGTCATGGTGTAAGCCACACAATTACGTCTTGCGTAAATTGTTCCATAGCATCGTGGCAATGGTGTTTCGAACCAAATACCGAGATACTTCAATATCCAGGCATCTATTCAATGCCCATCGTGAGTATCCCAATTCCGCACAACTGCCCGCGCGGAAATTGTGCGCTCTCCATCATTCCGCCCTACTCACAAAGCAAAGAAACACTCTCAACCAACGCGAGGAGCAAAACAGGTGTAGAATTTATAGAAAAGAGGGAAAGATAAATCGGGTCATCATCAACTCACCCTAGAAAAATCACAACGTGATAAAAATAAACCATGTGCTCACAGGTGACTTAAATACACTCGGCGCCCCCAACGGAAGTATCAGGAGCAATGTCATGTTCTCGCTCTAACCCCACTAATGTAAGCCCATGTAAACCCATATAAAAGCCCGCATAACCTCCATGTCCATGTCCCAATGCCTCACCCTCCACACATAACTCATAACAATGGCCCCTATCGAACGAATCACCCTCTTCAAGATCCCCAACGAGGCTGATCGCGACCGCGTGCTAGAGCAGTACAAGGTTCTTGCAAAGACCGCTATAAAGGTGCGTGCATTTTGTTTCTTCTATATACAGCCCTGATCCCATGCATCCCGCGCTGTTTGACTACGTCCATGGATGTAGTTTGTCCTGTGTGGTACTGGCTAGCCATACGGAAGAGCGGAAGGGAGAAAGGGGGAGGGCAGGGGATGTCGGGTTGAGATGCATTTGAACGGTTATTAACGGACGTTCTTGTTGATTTAGGACGGAAAGCCTTACATCCTTGCTGCTGCTGTTGGCGCTTCGATCCCTGACCCTCGTAATCAGGGATACAACTTATCTGTCAAGACGACTTTTGCTTCGATGGACGATATGAAGTTCTACGATAGCGAGTGCGAGGCGCACAAGGCTCTCAAGGCTTGTGCTGGGCCTGTCAAGGAGGATGTGTTGACGACTTATTTTGAGAACATTCTGTAATAGATTTAGGGGAAACATTGGGTTTTTGTGCATGCTTGAACTTCGTATAAAGAGAGTGTAGAGCTAAAGTAGAGAGCTAGCACATGCAGAAGCTAGATAGGAGGATGAACAAAGTCCATTGATGATGTACATTGCATACGTCTAGTACGCCCTGCCCGAGGATCGGAGATAGACATACACACTAAAAGCAAATATAGGTCAACCCAAGGCAGCAAAACACCGATGCCTTCCAAAAATGGCATGCTGAAAGCTTGGAGGAAAGGATCGTGAAAGGGGGTGCGCAAATCACAACATTCGCTCAAAACGGGGGAAAGAAGGAACGGGGACGTAATCACGACCAAAGCAAATGACCCGGCCCAAAAGCATAGTGTAAATGAATGCACAGGATAGGACATGATCACAGATCCTCGCCATCTCATCTGTGCATTCCAAATATACAGAACCGGATACCGATATCCGGGGTTGAGAGATGGAGTAGTAGAAGAAGAAGCGACGAGATGATCAGTCAAGGGCACGACGAAGGTCGCTCCATTTCTGGCGGAGGTTCTCGTGGTTCTCGGAAATCTGTTTTGAGTCCGTCAGTCTCGGCGTGTCACGATGAATATTGTAGGAGATTTCTTACCTCTGCCCACTTCATTTTTGTGGTGACCAACTCCTTCTCCATGTCGGACATTGATTCTTCCATCGCACGGTTCTCGTTTTGCACCTCAATGTTCCGCTTCATGATCCTATCCATTTCGAGGCGGAGCTTCTCCTCGACCTCGGCCGGTTGCTTGTCAACCACGTTCTTTAGTTCCCTGACCTGGAGTTCCAGTGCCTCTTTGACATCGCGTAGCTCTTCATTCTCAACCTTAACATGCACCAGCTCAGAGGCCAATTGCACATGCTCCTTGTCTGATGCTTCGGCACGTTCCTCAAGAAGTCGTACACGGGCGCCTTGTATGCTCACAGTGTGCCGCAGGTGCTCCAGTTCGACTTCACGCGCTTTCTCAGTTCGAGTCTTTTCCTCCCATTCCGAAGTGTACATGGTAATCATCTCAGACGTGAGGGGAATGGCACAGGCGTCCTGCACCATGATGTCGGATCGGTAGATCTCCTTATCGGAGGCACCGGAGCTTCCGAAGAAGCCCGACTCCAAGATTGACGAGGTGGATGGCTGCTTGTCAATGTAGGCGTCAAACAAACGCTCTTTCAAGAAAGTAGTGAGCACACTCATGTCTTTCATTCCAAGCAGCGCGTCTGCATTTCGTCGCATAATTGCAACACCAAATTTGAGGATCGTGGTCTCTAGTCCCTCTTCAAAGATCAGGTCATAGATGCGAAGCACCAGTTGCAGCGGGAAACGGTAGGCGAACAGAGTCAAGAACCACTGGGTGGCGTAGAGCTGAGGGGGAACCCCACGGCGCCGGAGATGGCAGTAGAGAGCGGGTTCTAAGTCTTCTAGGAGTCGCTCGAATTGGTATAGGCTGCGGTGAAGCCCAGGCATATCCTGAATGAACATATCTCGTAGAGAGTACTTGTTCATCAGCTTGACCATCATGGCGAAAGCATCGACTTCGTCCATCTGCATCATATGTTAGCTAATGCGCTCAGTCCGCTTGATTAAGGAAAAACTCACATTGAACAGCAATGGCATAGCGATAAAGTTCATGCCTTGCGCGTATCCAACTCCCGTATCATACAGGGCGTATGCCTTGCACAACCCAAATAGGCCTTCTTGGCTTCCCTGGGAAACAAAGTATTTTGCATAGCTAGTGCGAGCACCCAGGTCTCGCCTGATGGCCTTCTCCAATCTTTGCAGCGCAACAGCGTCTGTCTTTGCCTTCTTCAGACGATCAACGTCACTAGAGGCATGTTCTTTAGACAACTTCTCTGTGTCTCCTTCGTGAGATGGACTAGGGGTACCGCTGCTAGATCGTGATACGGAACCCGAGTGGTGGGAGCGGACTGAAGAGCGTGATGACTCCGATTCAGTGCCATTTATTGTTCGTCCATCTTTGTCTTGTGCTGTGCCACGCGCCACGAGATCTCGGTAGGTGTCCTCCATATCAGTAGTCTGGCAATCCGCCAAGATTTGCCAAATCACGCCTCGGATCGTCTGAGGGATTCCTCGTTTGATGGCGGCATTCAGTTCCTCCGAGCTTGCCAAGGCCTGAGGCCCGTTGTTCACGAGGTGTTGCCACATCTCCCAGTCCACCGGGCTAGAACCATCAGCCACAGAATCCGTTCTCCCAGGAGCAACGGTCGTCGAAGGTGAGGTGGCTGCCGATGCCGCCAATATGCTATCCTCTCCTTCCTCTGGGATGATATAGGGGCTAGCTCCAGACTGGCTGATTCTGGCCTGGCCCGATGACACGCTCGTCCGATCAACCTCTGGTGCATGGCTCTCATCTCGCTGACGCAGCATCTTGAATTGATCCTTAAGGCTGTTTTGTCTCGGCTTCCTTGAGCCGACGCTCGAAAGGTCATCGCCATCACGAGCAATCTGGTCTAGATTGCTTGAAAGAGTCGATAAGGAGGTGGCAGTGTTTCGTCGGCTAATGGAACGGGGTGACGACTTCATGTCCTTAGCATTGGTCGCGGTTGAGCTTCGAGAGAACCACGCAAAGGGGCCACTCGGCTTTCGAGGAGGGGCTGGCTGGGGAATAGGTGGGTTCCTGTTCACTGGAGGAGCCGCCCATGGGATTGAGGGTAGACCACCTGACAGACCCATCAGCCCTGTGCTTGCCGGAGCAGGATCATCCTTAGGAGGCAACGGAGGCGGTTCTGTTTTGTCCTCGTGGCCCTGTGCCTTGTCTGTCGGCTCGTCTTCTTTGCTATTCATCAGGTTCACCTCGTCAAGCGATGATGATGTTGATAAACGGTGGGACGTGAGTAGAGGCGACTTTTGCAGTGGGCTCTGATCGTGATCTTCCTCGTTCTTCTCTACCTCTTTCTGCGTAACCTCGGACCCTTGCTCCGGCTTGTCACCCTGGATGGACTCATCGGCTACGGTGTTCACCTCGTTGTCGGCGTCATGGTTATCCTCATCGTTGGTATCCGTTCCTTCGTCCTGCTTCGTCCCCTGTTCCTTCTTGTTTTTCTTGTCATTCTGTCCATTTTGCCCCTCGCCATCCTTGTCCTGCTCCTCGACGGTCTCCGTCTTCTTCTCGTCCTGCGATTCAGAGGGGAACGGAGATTTCTCCGCCAGTTCCAGAGACATATGTGAGCCAATTGGAGGACTGTCGGTCAACGATCGGGTGGAAGTGGACTTGGGGATGGTGACGTTGAGATTGTTGTTGTTGTTCTCCTGGATTTCGGGTGTTTCAAGGGCGTCATCAAAAGACTCCTATTAGGATGGAGATAAGCTCGTGTCAAGGCAAGCTAGGGTTGGGAAGGATCTGAGTCTGAACCACTTACCCCTTCGTCGTATTCAGGACTGTGGTTAGGCGTCGACATGTCGGCCATGGCTGTTTAGATGACCTCACAACAATCAGAAGATGGAACACTCCATAGGATCGCCACAAAGCAAAGGCTCAAAAGAGCTAAAAAAGACCAAAAAATTGCAAGGGAGTGGAATTCGCGGGAAAAAGGTGGAATGGGGAAGGAATTGAAGGGATTTGACGAGTTTCAATCGATTCGAATGGCCAGGTACACTCGCCGCTGATTGGTGCCCCAGGGCGGAGCCGACAGGTCGGAGACGTTGGGAATGCTCAGGTGCATTTGCATATTTTCTACGAACATGTCCGGGCTGGTGTTATAATTAGCCAATCTTCATGCATATATTGCTTTTACAATGCTTTTATTAGAATGTCTTAATTTAATGTTTTGGTTTCACTAGGAATTCAATGTTTTGTGGTGGCACTAAATAGAAGACAAAGGGGGGTCAGTAAACAAATAGTCCACATTTACTCCGTAATGCGAGACGAATTAATTTCACAAGGTCTTCTCAAAATCAAGCCATCTTTCTCGACGCAGTGGATCCAACTTCTTCAATTCTGTAAGCCAGCTCAAAATCTGGTTCCGATCCTCAGAAGACAAGCTGCCTTCCACCTTGGATGCGAGAAGGGTGTACTCAATTAATGCCTGGTAGATGTATTTGCAGTCTTCAGCCCCATCCAACATCTCTTCAATCTCTTCAATCTCATTTCTGATGTACTCCAGCCGGTCAGACGAGCTCAAATTGGGAGCCATAGTTCGTTCGGCCATCGACGGATCGAACACGCTCATCAAATTTTGGTGATAGAACCAAAGTGACTGATCATAAGGATCAATAAATGCTTGATGGATGAGAGATAGTTCTAAAAAGTCAAATTAGCAAAAGTCAGACTTTGATAAGACAGGTTAGACCAACCATCATCCAACATTCTTCTCCGATCGTCATCGCTGGCAGATTGCTCATCCAAAAGGGATTGAATCAGCTTTGTCCGGTAATGCCACGCGGAGAAGTTAGAAAGATTGGCGCCAATCATCTTCTTCGCGTATTCGAATTCCTTCTGGGTCATGCGAGTTGCTTCTTCGGCAGTGCCAAGCTCCTTCAAGGTCTCAACCACGAAGCGTCGATAACCCCAGCCGTGGAAATTCCGGCCATCGAGAGTCAACATCTTACTCACAAGAGCAAGTTCTTGCTGCCAAATTTGCCGAGCCTCGGGAAGGGGTAGTAAACGGCGAGCCTCATCCAGCAGCCACAAACGATAGTTCCAGATCCAGTAGCATTTGGGGAAGCTCCGGAGAAGGGGAATCAGGAAATGTAAATCATTTATGATCAACTCTGTGATAAAATGGGCAACACCCTCATCATCCGAGCCTTCTGCTTGAGTGAATTGATGCTGCAGTACCTGTCGGCGGTAGTTCCAGGCTGTGTAGTATTCTGGATTGCTAGACAGCAGCTCCGAGATCTTCTTCAAGGTCTCGATTGTGTACTCATGCTCAGCCACCTGTCATGTGTCAGGCTCAGTCTGTATGTGAGACCTACAGGATGACTAACCTTTTTGGATACCAAAAACTCGAGATCTTTGTAAGTTTCTATCTTCTGCAGCTCTTGCTGTCGTGCCTCGGCGGACTTCTCAACTGGTTTGTACCGTGGCACACCATGCTATCGCAATCGTCAGTACCAAAATGATATAGTCAGATGGAGTTCATCTCACGCTGGGCATATTCACTCTTTGATTGACAATTGAAATAATAACCAAAACGTGTTACCCTGGTAGGTTGCTTCGTGTTGATCAGATGCCCGGCCGCCAAGTACAATTATCTCATTGGTGCATGAGGCGGTGGAGCCACTTACGTAATCTTCCTGACGATTGTCTATCTTCACGTGATCAACACTCTTTCTACTTTGGGGGCTTGTCTTTGCTTCATCGTCCTACTTGTCTTGCCACTATCATTGGAAGAGAGGCCCCTTGACACACTCCTTTTTTAAGCTCTAGGCCATTACTCATATAAAACTTATTGATCTACATCCAGAACAATGGTAGATACGCAATGTCACTCCTTCGAGGAATCCTCTACAGGAAGTCCCGAACATCCATTGACTTCACACTCTCGATCTGAGTCGTCCAATGACAGTAGTCATGTCCAATTGACTGAATTTGCAACCATCAATTTGCCATTCTTTGAAACCCCTACTTTTGAATCGTCAACATTGAAGCCCAAGGCGCGACCTGTTCTGACACACGTCACTTGTTCCAAAGAAAATGGAGGCTCATCACCCAAAAGAGGTCGCAGCAGAGTGAGAAACAATAGAAATTCAGCCCTAGCAAGAAGTTCTTTCCGAAGTCCGATGTCGCCTGATAGGTTCATTCCAAAGCGAGACTTTGTGGAGCTAACATCAACAACCTTTCGTGTGGCCAAGCATCCGCAGCGTCTTTCGCCTCAAGAGAGAGTACTTCGACGACTTCCGCCTGGAGATGATCCATTTCTACCCCCAATCCTACGTAGGGCTTATGCTACCAACAGACCCCAGCAGCCAACTCGACTCCAGCAGATCCCACGTCAACGGCCTCGTCTAGTCACTGAAGGTAACCTCACAGGCAACAACGCTGCACATGAATCTTTGAGACAGGTCAGCTCTGGTGCAGTCTGGAACGTGGGTGGTTCTTCTGCAGTCCGCGATAGTTCCCTCATTGCGGCTTCCGATGATACGCCGAGCACTTCGAGCAATGGATCATCAATTGCCCCGGTTTTCGTGGCTCGGTTTTTACCCAAAAAACCAAAATACAGTGAACAAGAAATCCATGAGTTGAGGCTTGCGCTTGCTTTAGGAATTGATCCGACCACTAGACAGCTAGGTACTAGCTATCTGCGGTATCTAGATGCTCCCCTCAATCCAACATCTCCAGACTTTGAGCGCCTCTCCCCATTTGAATGGAAGGACAGTGCTTGGAAGAAAGTTGAAAAGGAACGTTGTAAGTGCAACTGTAGTTTGCAACAGCCACTCCCCGACCCTCCCTTTGGAATGCATTTACCATCTACAGATGAAACCTATATGATATTTAAATCCAACTTTTGGAAATTGTGAGACTGGCAGTATCCACAGTCTTCTCCGGGGCATCAGTTGACTCGGATTGTTTCCCAGGGCCCACACCTCCTGTCAGAAAAGACGTTGTTCCACCGAAGCCTTTTCGAATTCTTGATGCTCCCTTCCTTCGGGACGATTTTTACTGCAGCACTCTTGCATACTCAACAACATCTGGGATACTAGCTGTGGGCCTGGGTCATCAAGTATATCTCTGGTCGGAAGGCCATGGAGTGGACTATCCCCCCTTTCCAGATCTGCACCCTTCAAATTATGTGACCTCCCTGTCGTTTTCTTCCGAGGATGGCGAGCGAAGCATTCTTGCAGTGGCACGGCGGTCTGGCCAATTGTCTCTATGGAGCACATTGGAGAAGCAAACCCGGTTTGAGATCAGCCATCCCAGTACCCTTACATGCGTGGCATTCAAGCCGAGAACTTCACGGCGCCTTTCAGAACGGTTCATGTATGTGTTAGTCGACGTGGAAGAGATCGTTGTCGGCGATGACTTTGGAAATATCTGGTACTACTCGGTCGAGTGGTCTGACAAAGAAAACCAAGCTAGGTGTAAATGGAACGGGTCCATGACGCTTCTTGCCAAGATCTCTGCACACACGCAACAAATCTGTGGACTGGCATGGTCACCCGATGACAAGTACCTTGCCACGGGTGGTAATGACAACACCTGTCTTCTCTTTGAACTGGCCGAGATTGTTCCACCACAGAATTTTAATAATGCGGTTTCTCTCATTACTCCCCCGGATTCCCCTAGCAGTTTCAGTCTCGGTATATTTCCATACCTTGCTCTCGGTACCGCAAGAAGACGAGTGTTTCTTAAACGACCTGCGCTCCCATCATGGCTTGCGACTCCGATCAAGACTCCAATTAGGGCCCCGACTGCCGCTGCGCTTTTAAACCACGCAGGTACTCTGCTTTCCGGCGGTGGCCGAACGATTCTGGTCCCATACGGCCGTCAGAAGCATCGTCTGGTGCACTCCGCTGCGGTCAAAGCGATTGCATTTGCACCATGGCAGTCATCTCTGCTCGCTACAGGGGGAGGTACCAATGACAGAGCTATACACTTCTATCACACCCGGAGCGGAGCCTGTCTCGCAACCATCAATGTCTTTGCGCAGGTGACCAGTCTTATATGGAGCGAAACTCGACGCGAGATCGCCGCTACTTTCGGCTATGCACAGCCAGATCACCCGTTTCGAATCGCCGTCTTTGCCTGGCCCAGCTGCGCACAGGTGGCCGTTATTCCGTGGGGGCCATATGGAACCTCCTGGGATGGCCCTGACACGCGAATCAGCAACTTTGACTGCGGAAGAGCACTGTGGGCAGTACGATATCCAGGGAAAGTCCCTCATTTCTCGGGCGTCCGCTCTAGTAGACCGGACAGTCAATCATCTTCACCTTCATCCTCGTCAAGCCAGACTCGGTCTGCAGAGCGAGGATCCTCCACCCGTGGGCGCGAGGTCAGCAACCGCAAAGTGGGTGCTCGGATGGTCGCTCCCAAGGAGAAAGAAGGTGGAATGTGGTGCGCCCGAACAAAGGAGGAGGGATGCATTATTGTCGCGTCTAGTGATCAAACTGTGAAGTTCCATGAGGTCTGGACTGGAAGAAGGACAAGTAATACCTCTGCCTGTGGACTTTTCGGCGGAAGCGACATTCTTGAGGGCCTCGAAGGCATTGAGAAGTCTGGCTGTGAAGTCATTCGTTAGCATTCTTTGTCTTCTGCGATCTGGGAATGGGGTGCCCTCATTATCATTAAAAGCATCTATCTTTATTAGTTTAGTTTAGTGCTGCAGAGAGTAATTGGGTAGTTTTATCATTCTTTTGTCTGAGAAATCGATTTCTTGTAATTTCCTGTTTTGTTTGGGAAGGGGTTACAATCCAGCCATCTGCCCTTTTTTATGATATTTGGACATACTCCGGTAGGATGATTTTGAAAATACAGTGCATGTATCCTGGTTGGACTTGAGGTTCAAACACTCCATGCTTACACGTGTATATAGATCGATATGAATGAAAAACATGAGAAGGGGAGAGCCAAAGATGTCTCAACCCCAAGGCTGATACCAAATCCTCTTATATCTATCTATGTTGTAGACCAACCCAACCCAGACACAGCTGAAAACATTCCAAACTATACCCTTTTCACATTAATTAAATAACATCATTCCTCATCTTCATTAACAGATCGTATCTTTTTAATTTGGGCTTTTCCTGACTTGAGCGGGTGGAGATGTCCTACTCTCAACGTTGAAAATGCGATGGGGCCTCTATAACATATGTTGATGTCTACAGATTCAAGGCCTGAAGATGTATCCCCCTTGAGTGAGATAATACATGAGGCAGATATCATGCATACAAGAATTCTTCAATTGTTCCCTTCATTTCACCAAAATAACTACATGCAGCCCATTGACCTTGCATTAGTGCCTATGCCTATAAAAGAAATCGACTTGGAGAGCGCTGATCCCCCTTGACCTCTCTTCAGCTCTCCACAACCCTCAACTCGTCTAACCTATTCTCCTTGTTTCTTCCTATCTAATTATTTCTTCCCTCAAAGTTTCATCCCAATTTCCACAAAATGCACCTTCGATCTCTCATCCAGTTCATCCTCCCATCCACAATCCTCGCCCAATACTTCGATTCCTCCCTCGGCTCCACCCTCAATGTGACCGTCCTCGGCGCGCGCCATAATCGCTCCACCTTAGAGTGCTGGGCTCTCCAGCCGGGATTTGAAACTTCCGACCAACCCGGGCAGGTTGGAACCGCCACGCTGAATTTAGATGCTATTGGTGGGAACGCGTCGTTTGCAGTGTTGCCGGCTGGGTTTGATGGGGGGAGACACAACGCACCTGCTTTGCAGTAAGTCAAGTTCTTCTGTCCAAGGACTCTACAATATACCTGTTTTCGCCTTTTTGCTATTTCAGAACCAATGATTCTGAAATAGGCTGTTCAAGAAACGTGGTTCTTGGGTTTGTTTTTGTCTATAGATATAGTGTCCACACTTCTTGGCTAATTTGGCTTCAACTACTCCGTGCTTCGTATAGATGGGTGGTCTTCCTCTCCGGCTTGGCGCATATCACGCTCCCTACCTCGACAACCGAGGCCTGGATTGAAGGTGGTAAGAATGGGGCCATCCTGGCCCTCGACACTGCTGATGTCAGTGCTTTGGGTCACTTCACTACCTATCCCTCGCAGGAGCGGACGACAAGCGTGGTGATCCCCCTTGGGAAGAAAGGGGTGCCAGGTCATCGGGTCTTGCATGAGGGTCCCTGTCAGGAGGAGGAGGAGGAGTTGATAGAAAACTAAGGTTATATGTGCCAATTAAAAAAAAAGCCGCCAGGACGATTGAGGCGTTTGATGTCATCTTCTTCATCTACATCGGAACAGACAATGAAGTCGCTCATGTCATCCTTAGCCAATTGATCTTTGAACAATGAATTTGTATGACAGATCTGCCCGGTATCTATCTATTGAGAGGGAAGTATGCAGTACACCATACAAGGAGAGATGACAAGAGATCAAGATATCAAGGTAAGATTCAATAAACATTGATGGAGACGCAGAGGCGCTCGGTAGAGGCACAAGATATTGAAAGCAAAAAGAGAAAACAATGAAAATGCAGACCCGGTTGGATGCATCGAAGGGTAAAATAAGAATATGTTCTTTTATAGACCGTTACCTCCTTCTCCCATCTCTAATTCGTACAACTTCAGACAAACACGCCTATTTCCTGCCGCCCTTGCTCTTCTTGCCAACAGAAGCAGAAGACTTACTCTTCTTTGATGGCGGGGGCTGCAGCTGAGTGGCATCGTCAGACTCGTCGTCTTCCGTATCGGCAATGAAGTCAACCATAGAGCCCTCACTGTCCTCATCGTCCTCTTCATCCTCGTTCTCCTCCAGCGATTCCTCGGCATCGGAAGAACCAACAGACTCAGCAGCCTCAATATCCAAAATAGGCTCTTCGTCATCATCCTCATCGTCACTTCCATCATCCTCGTCATCTTCAGACTCATCGACGCCGTTCATCATTGACTCATCCTCATCGTACGCCTGGTCGCGTATTGACTTCCGCGGCGTTTTGGCCTCGGTCTCACTGTCCTCGAGGTCATCCTGACCCTCGACGTAGATAACATTATCCTCGTCTTCGCTGTCCATACCCTCATCGCCACCGCGGATAGATTGCCGCAGTCCCAATTGGGCATCTAGCATATCAAGCTTGCCCTTGAGGAGCAGGAGGGATGGTAGGCTGGCAGAGCGCTGGTCCATGACCTTGTAGAGGGAGTTCATGCGCTTCAGGAGATCAGGATGACCGGCCAGGGCGCCACCGTGGGCGACGCAGGTCCACTGTACCCAGATGAGAAGGTGGCCGTAGCGACCAGGCCGAGAGGCAAGACGCTCAGCGAGTTTTTGAAGCAGAGTCGCGGCCAGAGAGGAGTCGAGGCGCTGGATGGTAGTGCGGATGATGGAGGTGTCACCGGTGTGGAAACAGGACTCGAGCATGCCGTTGTCATTGGTCTTGAGCGACTGTGTGAGGACAGTAGCAAGCGAAACACCGGTGGGGATCTGTTGCACTGCGGCCTGGGGCTTACCAGGAACCAGCGTGCCGAGGAGAACGTCCTCGTCAAGCTCAGCCTCGACATCGACTTCCTGGCCTGCGTTTGCGCGTAAGAGTTCTCCGAACGATGGTTCGGCGCCCTCCTCTTCTTCTTCCTCTTCTTCCTCCTCGGAATCGGATGCGTTCTGCATCTCAACGTCCTCGGTCGACGCGACCTGCTTGGTGGGCTTTGTTTTCTTCTCGGCGGAAACCTTGGACTTCTTGTTGTCCTCGTCATCGGAATCCTCCTCACTGCCAGAGTCGGAAGCGTCTTGTCGTGAATCCTCCATCTCAACGTCATCATTGATCAGGTTTCCCTGTTCGACATTCATGTGAGACTCGTCAACACGGGTCTCGCCAGTGCTCCTGGCTCCATTCGTTGTGACGGAAGATAGTGCTGAGCCGGACTTGGTCTTTACCACGGTCTTTATTCCAGTGAACGAGAGCTCATCGGTGTTCTCGTCGAGGAACTTGACACGCTCAAAGACAGGGATGACACCACCCTCGGTATATGCAACCACGAGGGTAGGGCCCTGGAATGAGATGGCAGCGACGGGAACGCAGGCGTTCGAGGAGTCAGTGTTGGTAATTTTGAGGGTTGCGTTTGCTTTCTGGGTCATCTGTTTCCGGCTGGCCTTGGCGCTTGCGGAGGGTGCACTTTGGGGCTGAACAAATGGCTTCGTGAAGAGTTCGATGCTACCATCCGCGGTGACTGCAGCAAGCACTTGCTTCTCCGGGGTGGCAACGCCATCGGTTTGCAGTGTAATCGACGAGACCTCCTGGTCGGCGACAAGGTTGCGAACGAGCTTCTGGGTGGCGGCATCGAAGACGTTGACGAAGCGGTCACCATCGGATGCAAGGAATGCACCCACTCCAGCAGACTCGGAAGAGGATGAAATGACGGTGTGGATAGGGTTGCGCATGGCAGGGAACTGAACCGGCTCGTCGGCCTTCTCGGTGTCTATTAAGTACGGGGTCTGGGAAGCACAGATAAGAGGAGGGTTCGAGGGAACGGGGCGGGAAAGAGCAGTGAAGACTGAGGATGCGGGGAGATGGATTGTCCTAGAGATACTTCATCAGTTAGGGGCTCGGGTATAGACCAACAAATGTTCAAACTTACTTAGTGCTTTGTCCGGTGCGCAGGTCCCACTGGACAAGCTTGTTGTCACCACCGATACTCCAGGCCTCCTGGGCGGGACGATCGGCCGTGAACTTGAAGTCCTTGATGCCCTTGTCATGCGCGCCGGTCAAGGTGCCGACCACCTTATCTTCGGATGGCGAGTACATGCGAATATCCGATGTGTTTGTGCCGAATGCAACCACAATGTCTCCCTGGTCCAGGCCATCAACAGCCCCATTGACATCGGAGCCACGCTTGCGCTTCTTTTTCGACTGGTCACGACCCTTACCTGAGCCACCATAGTATCCCCAGTCCAAGGAAGTCACAGTTTCCTTCGGCCCCAGAGCATGCTCACACTGGAGGCGTCCTGTTTGTGTGTCGTGAATGCGAATGTGTTGGCCATCGAGGCCTTGGATAACGGACGCAAACAGTGCCAATTGATACTCTGACGGGGAGAATGCAGCGCGCAAGATGGACGACTTGGTGCCGGCATATGTCAAGCCCGACGCCGGCGATGCGGCGGCCGAGGCGACCTTGGTGGATGGGCGAGTCGTCTTCTTTCCCATCTTGGCTGTAACTTTTTTTTCTTATCTTCTTTTTTCTTTCTCGCGGTCGAGGGAGTCGTGGTGTGAAGACAAATATCAATTTATCAGACCCAAATAAAAATGGCAAAGATTCAGATAAGACTCTCTTTTTTTTTTCCGCCCCTTAGGAACAAATGGGGGTTTAGGCTGTGGTTTCGCAGTTGATCAGGACAGGAAAAAAAAATGTTCTGTAGAGCCTTAACGGGCTAGTCCTAAAGGGGTTTAGATCGCCTACGCTTCTTATCTAATCACATCATCCCGTGATGCTTCAAATAATGTCAGCAGCTGACCATATGTTGTATGCCCCGGGGCATTCCTGCTAATTCTTTGTTCCTTTTTGGTCGTATTTTCGGGCATGTTGTTTTTGTCTCCGCTGATGCTTTTCTCAGCTCTGGTGTTCTTTTCGTCAGGCTTTACTTTTCCATTTTGGGCGCTCTTGATATTGGCATCCCTTTTACGGAACGAAAATATATGTCGAGATTGTAGGGCATTTAAATGTGTGATTTGTGCACGCATCCCCAGTGTTTTACTTTACAAGATCAGGACAAGAATATTACGAATTCCAATCCCCATGTAACCCCAGAGAGATTCAAACGTATAAGAGAAACAAGTTAGTAGATATATCAGAGGCCCTCACTACAAGGCCAGAGCACTTGGACATAAACCCGAGATATCTAAAAAATCCAACACCGAGATTTATGCCGTATGCTTGAAAGCACACGGACTCTAAATCTTCGATATCAAAAGTACTCCCAGGTCTCAAATCAGGTGATATGAGTGTATTTGCCTAACCTGTAAGGGCCGAGGTGCGGCTTTCCATCGATGTAGTGATAGCAAAGTGTTGGTTGGAAATTTGCAGGAGGCTCAGCGGAGTACCAGGCAGTGACTAGCCTACTCTATCATCGTTTTTTTTTTCAAGATTTTTTAATAAGTACCTGACCAACGATGTACATGTAATTGGATGTAGAAAGGTGATGTTGTTTCTTATCGATGTACAATACGTGTACTCATCGTGAAATAGTCACGTGAGACAGCGAGTGGTGACGTGACTCAGACCTATTTCATGTCCGGTCTAACCCGGATTTAGCCAGAACCCTAGGGCTTTGAGTCATCCGAGGTATGCAACTCTAGACTTCGAAGATTTAATTAAACATGTAGAGGAAAAGGTGGTATGATGAGATCAAAAAAAAAGTGTAGATGAGTTTCAGGTATCACAAGATGTTCACCTCGACAGAAAGGAAAGAGGAAAGTTGAGAAAAGAAAAGAAAAGAAGAAAAAAAAAGGTCCAGGGGTATAGAACCAATCAAGGGGTAAGAAGTTGAGAGAATCGGGACTAGTGTGGCTGGTGGAACTGGGTAAGAGGAGAGTGCAAGGCGGCCGTTTGTACTTAAAGGATTCTGGCATCCCCCCCCAACCATTTTTCTGCTTCCGTCCTGGTTTCTCCTATTTTTATTCCTCTGACCGCCCTACAACATAACAAACGCGTCTTCGCGTCATTTCATTTCCTTTAAACCGCCTTCACCCACGAATTCTTTTTTTTATGTTTTTATTTTCTATTTTTATTTTCATAATTCCCTTTTATCCATCTGCCTGATTTTGCTGGCAATCACTCCGGGAATCTCCAAGGTTGTTAGCTCCATATCTTGGTTTATCCAAGTCATCTAGACCTGGCCTCAATTTTACTACATCACGTGAACATTTATACCGCCTTCTTGGCAGTATAAATTACCTCGTCTCTGATCGCATTCTCCACTCTTCCTATCTCTCGATCATCTCTGACCTCACTCTTCCCCCCGCCCGTCGCGTTTTATTCGCGCCCACACGTTTGATATCAAACCTCATCAACTGTTGAGTCCATACTACGTGGCCTTGGTTGCTGCTAGTGTTTGTTCACTCGAGATTGTTTGCACACGGCAAGATTGTTTCGCGGAGAGAGCCCACGGGTGTTTTCAGTTGATCACTAGCTTTCAAAACACCTTTCCATAACTCTCACATCTTCAACATTCTCACTCATCCCTAACTTGTATACTTGATTATCCAACGCGACACCCCAATGGCGACTCCGCCTCCCGAGGTTCCTCCTGTCACCAAGGAGGACAAGCCTCAACTGCCTCCATCCCCTACTGGTCCCTCTGCACCTGACTACCCACCCACCAGGTAAGTGCATTAGCTTCCTACATTATCTCTTATCAATCTGACTGGTGCGCAGTGCGCAAAATGTCGCAGTGAATTCCAAAAGCGAAGGTCCCACGGATACCGAGTCAAAATCGCCTGCTCTGAATGGCCATACTCCCACCGTGCCTTCGAATATCAATGGCACAATTGTTGCTACCTCACCGCCTAAGTCACCCGATCATCAAACCCTTCCAGAAATGATCCAAAATAAGAACCAGTATGCTGCGGGATCTGCTCCACCCGCAGAGACACAGCCGACCGAAGAAAAGATTAGCCTTTCGCAGAGTCTGGGATCTACAACTACTACTGCAGCCAACACCGCGGCCGAAAATGTCGTTTCATCCGCCCCGGAGGCTGCGGTACACGCTCCCTCCTTTCCTGCATCCACAGATGGCCCTTACGACACACCCGAGCCAATGGCCATCGATACCCGTCAAGGTGTTTCGACTGCCGTAAAATCCGACCTGCCTCACCATCCTACCCCAACTCCTGCACCACCTGCGCTTGTTGCGCCGCAGCCTGCCGACCAGGAGATGAAGGACGTATCAGAGGCCCCGTCATCTCCTTCCAAAGTTTCTCGACAACGGGATACTGATCTCAGCGAAGAACCAGCTCCCAAGCGGACCAAGGTCGAGGGTGGCGACTCGGTTATCAACTTTCAGACGCCAGGATTCAACCACCCAGCTGCTGCCACACCTCGCCCTAGTGGCGGACCAGGGCTCACCAAAATGCAGCACAAGTTCATTTTAAAGAGTCTTACAAGCCTCAAGCGCATGCACGATGCCCGTTTCTACAAGGAACCTGTGGATGCTGTCAAGATGAACATTCCGCAGTACCACTCCATCATCACTCACCCCATGGACCTAGGAACTATGGAAAGGAAGCTCAAGAACAACCAATACTCCTCCCCAAAGGCAGTCGCAGATGACTTTGCGCTGATGGTCAATAATACGACCATTTTTAACGGCGCAGATCACCTAGTCACTCAAGAGGGGATCAAGCTGAAGGCGACCTTCGAGAAGCAGATGGCCAACCTTCCCAAGCCCGAAGAGGTCGAAGAGAGGAAACCAAAGAAGAACACCGAGAAGACGTCTGCTGCTCGCCGGGAGCCTCGGACCTCTTTGCCATCGCAGCCAAAGGCGGCTTCTCCCCTGTCTCAGACATTTGCGCTAGGACCAGAAGGTTTGCCCGTCATCCGCCGCGATTCTTCCAACCCCGACGGTCGCCCCAAAAGGTCCATTCATCCCCCGAAGCGTGACCTTCCTTATTCTACCAAGCCAAAGAAGAAGAAGTTCCAATGGGAACTGCGCTTTTGCCAGGAAGTTTTGGATGAGTTGCACAAGCAAAAGCACTACAGCTGGGTGATGCCTTTCTATTACCCTGTGGATCCCGTTGCTTTGAACATTCCCACATACCACAGCGTCATCAAGAAGCCGATGGATCTGTCGACTGCTCAATCCAAACTTAAGACCGGCCAGTACGAGAATGCGAAGGAGTTCGAGAACGATGTTCGCCTCATTTTCAAGAATTGCTACCGCTTCAATATTCCCGGCGATCCTACTTTCATCTGTGGCCAGCGCGCCGAAGAAATCTTTAACGCAAAATGGGCCCAGAAGTCGGACTACCTTGAAGCGCATGAGCCTCATCCCGAGCAGAACACTGATTCTTCTGATGAAGATAGCGATGAGGATGCCGAAGAGAGTGAAGAAGACGACGAGAAACTCACCCTGCTTCAGAAGCAAATCGCTGAGATGTCTCGTCAGGTTGAGGCTATCACGAATAAGAAAAAGAAGACACCTCCTTCTTCCAAGAAGGTCGGCAAGACGAAGCTTGTCAAGAAGGATTCCAAGAAAATCAGCTCTGGAAAGAGAGACAAGAGGAGCAAGATCTCCCAACCTGGCAAAACCCGTGCCATCACCTACAACGAGAAGCAGATCATCTCGAATGGTATCAGTAGTCTTCCTGATAAGAGGATGCAGCAAGCCCTCCAGATTATCCAGAACAATGTTCCTCAGCTCAAGGTATGATATTTATGCGTTCATTCCACACAACCCAATTCTAACACAAATTATTTCGCAGGGTACCGATGAGGCTGAGATTGAGTTGGACATTGACGAGCTCCCTAACGATGTCTTGCTGAAGTTGCTCAATTTCGTGAAGAAGCACGTGCCGAATCTTATGGATGATGAAGACGAAGACGACGTTCCTAGCAGCAGTGTGGCACCTCCCAAACCCAAGAAGAACAAGCCAATGAGCAAGTTCGAGCAGGAAGCTCAGATCAATATGCTCCAGAGCAACCTTTCTCGTTTCCAGGGTGGTGCTCACTCTCCCGATCCAGTGGCTTCTGTCGAGCACAACGAAAGCAGCGATGATGAGTCTGATTCGTCCGAGGAAGAGAGCGAGGAAGAATAAACATACTCGTTCGACTCAATCACCCCAATTTTCCTCATACGGGATGGCCCTTCACCCTGACTTGCGTTCCAAGCGTCGTTTTTTCCTCAGTGCCTTTCCGAACAATTTCTCGCCACATCTTTCTTTTGCAGTAACACCGCTGATCCTGACGGGCTTTTTGCAATGCACATGCAATCCCCGCCAGCAACGTCTGTACATACTTTGATTTTGAAAATCCCTGCACTCGGCAAGGTTTATACTGCCACCGACAAACCTCATGCTCAAGATTGGCCGAACAGGATTTTATTCATTTTGCCACTTCAATTTCTCTTCCCCTACGCCTGAGTGTACTCCATTTCTCCCGTTTCGTTTCATAGCTAGGATAGGTGAATGGGGTTGCTCTATTTCCCCGACGACGTTGCGGTTGGAAGAGGTGAACCGAAGCTTTTGGCTTCAACTTGTATGATTACGAAAGAAACGCGGAAATGCAAAATGAATATGTACTTGTATTAGGAAAAAAACCTCATTTCTATCAGGTACGTAGTTTGAATGTACGAGAAATTGTATTGCGAACCCTCTCTTTCCCTGGGTATGTGGGTCGTGACGTGTCGGGTTTTCTTCGGCGGTGGACTTCCCCAGGTTCTTAGCAACATCAACATGATTCCTCCCTGCGACCCATCTATTCTTGAGCACAACCCTCAATTCAAACGACTATATGAGAATTTAACAACCTCCCTCCTCAATCCAGATGCCTCAACGCGTGTTCAAAGCGCGAGTCCAGCCCGCACAGCTGTGGTGCAAGTGAGCCGTCAACGTGCTGTTGCGCAGCACATGTCCAACGGACCCAACCATGAACAGAGCTCTGACAACACTCTATCACTAGGAGCTGAAGCAATGCCAAACTCTCAATGCCAAAAAACGAATCAAAGAGCAAATGCTCCGGCAATTGGCCTTCGCCCCAGACAGCAACCTGCCCGCGGAGGTCAGTACATCCCCCGTTACAGGCCACTAACCCATTAAGAGGAGAACCATATCCCTAACGAATCTATCGTGCCCAGTGCCGCGATAACCTTGCTATAGTTACCCTTTACTTGGAGACCCCATCCAGCGCAATCGAACCCACAACCCCAAAGCCAGAAACCGAACCCAAGAAACCAGATGAAGCACTCACCCTCCTAGCCCCCGACATTGAAGTCTTCTACAAGAATATCCCGGCCATCATAACACCCCTTTCTAAAACCATCTCATCCGCCATTCAGGACTTACGCGCTCTATCAACCGCAAGTACAGACCCAGCCACCGCGCTCGATGCAGACACCTCAGCCCCACAGCATTCCAATCACAACGCTCGCGCTCAAGCGCGCGACCGTCGAGTCCGGACCTCGATGGCGCCAGTCCCACCGCTCTCTTCAACACTGCAGGCGCGGGTGCGTGCGTTGCGCCACACACAGCTATCCGAGCTGCCAGTCGCTCGGCGGAAGATGGCTGCTACAGCGGCGGAGGTCGTTGCCGTACGGGCGCGAGTCTTGGAGCGCACTGTTGTGACTCTGGAACGGGCAAAGCATGGGGCTTTGGCGCGTGCGACGAAAGCTAAGGCGGAGCATTTGGCTGTTGTTGCGCAGGGGGTGGAGGGGAAATTAGAGTTAGTTTTTCTTGTCCTTGCAGTTTGGAAATCTCGCAGTTTTCTTTTTCTGTGGAATTTCTCTTTGACGATTTGGACAGGGTTACGAAACTGGAGATTGCGGCTACGCTGTATACGCCAGAAACACTTGCTGCTCTTGCTCGATATAGGCAGCATCTGAGGCAGACGAGGGAACGCCTGCAGCACCGCCGGAAAATGACGGTTCAAGAGCTGAGAGCTTATGGTGATGTGGAGATGTCTGACCCGGTTACCGACATCCAGGCGGATGAAGGATCTTTCGCGGATATTGCTCGTCGATATGGGGTTCTGGCAAGAGAGGTCGAAGACGTAAAGATGGAAATTGCACGATTAGAGAATTGAGCTACCAATACCTTTTTCAGGTAGTACATATGATGGTTAAATTGCGGCTTTAACACATGCAGTGTCAGACTTGTGGATCAGTAGACCCTGGTAGCCCTAGGCACACCCTTGGCGGCCATGTGGGAGAGCTCATTTCACAACCCTGCCTTTCTACAGCAGCCATAGAGAAAACGCCAAATGGCCGAGCTCAAAGAACCTGAGGTCCCCGTGCGTTATCTTTCTCTCGCGGTAATACATGCTGTCACTATCTTATCGATTTTTGGTATTAGGCAAGCTAGAAGCACAGTTACAGGGCCATGCCTAGCCACTTGTGCAATTCTCCCATGGGATGGCTCTCGACGTTGATAAGCTTCGCCATAAAGACATTGAAACCCTCGCTGGGTACCTTCTCTTCGTTATGGGCTGTGTTGGGCTTCAGAACGAACGAGGAGACCTTTTTTTCTCTCTTTCTGACAGCTTGAAGCATCGCCACTGTGCGGTGCTATTGTCGGTGCCCACGGTAGGGTAGTAAACCAGGGCCTTGGAGGTGTGTTGAGTGCGCAACCTGCGAATTGCAGATGCAAGTGTGATTTCCCGGTGTGAGGGCGCTTTCAATCTCGGCATCCATTGATGTATTTGGTGAGTGGTGCGTAGACTTTTCATAAAGCAGCGTCACCCACTTGAGTAACAATTGGGCAACCAGTGCGGAGGGAAGTGAGCCATTCAGAAGTAGAATTGCACTCCATGACTCCAACGGGTCTCTAGCTGAAGAAGCCAATGCTTTTTAAAGAGGCTTACGAGATTGTATACGAAATGCCCGTGCGATTTTGATGGAGCAGACAAATCTTCAGGTGGACGATTGGATGGAGGGGTTTCGTAGATGTAGACCAGAGATGGCGAGATAAGAGAACTTCCCTTAAGACACTCATTGATTATTCCTCATGGGTCGACGATACCATATCCCGAATGTCTGGGTATACGTGCTCTTTGTCCAATTCATCGCCGTCTCTTTCGCCTCGAATCTCTTCTTCGCAACTGCCGACGCTCGTGGAGGAGTTTGCAGTTGCGCAGAGCTTCAGTTGATGGGTACAAGCCTAGGTTGATTATGTTATTGATCAGCGGGTTTATAGCCCAACTGTACGTGACATAGTCCTTGGGGACCGTCTTGTAGCCCGTTGATACGATATATGACGTGCACCAGGCGTATTTGGTGATGATTAGCTAGAAATGGGAGGTTTTGAATGAGACAGATAAACTCAAAACTCTGAGTCATAGCAGAAACATGATGAGTATACATGCACATATACATAGTCAAGTTCGCCAAGATGAAAGTTCAAATGTTGAAGTTCATCAACCCGCCAAGTCTTAAATCCGGGGATATCCCTGGCTTAGCCCCGCGCATCACATGACCGCGCCAAACTTTTTTTTTGCCCGAAAGAGTCAGCGCTACAAGAACTACTCATTCGCCACATCTCTTCTTGAAGATCATAAGAATCATTCAAAATGGCCGACGAAGGACTGAACATCTACGACGAGATCGAGATTGAGGACATGACCTTCGATCCAAATATCCAGATCTATACATATCCTTGCCCTTGTGGCGACCGCTTCGAGATCGCAATCGACGATTTGCGCGACGGAGAAGAAATCGCTGTGTGCCCCAGTTGCAGTTTGATGATCCGTGTTATATTTGATTTGGTAGGTCTTCCTACCATATAACCCAGATAAAAGTCGCCTTATCTGTTCAGTTGGTTAACAACACGCCCTGCGGTGGATCTACAGGCCGATCTTCCCAAAGCCGATACGCAGAGTACGAGCGGAGTGGCTGTCAAGGCTTGAATGGAAGACAAAGGATCTTATGCAAGATACCCTTGAAAGCTCGAGTCTAACTTGGCCTGGGGAGAAGGGCCATCTTGCTGAGTTTTGGAAGTTGGCTCGCAGCCATTCTCATCATTTTGGCGGAAGTGGTTTGAGTGATTGGAACTCTTGCAATTTCCCTGCCTAGCTGCGACTACTCGTCATGGTGTGATTATTGCGCCTCGTCGAGTCAGTCGGCTTTGATCGACCGGACCGCAATTCAATCACCGGATTGCGCGAGCATTTTCCATGTTCCGCTGCGAATGTCGTCTACATGCACCTTGCCATCTTGCAATCTTGCCAGGTGACTCGGTGTCTGCGGAGAATAACGGTCTCGGTGACTCGCACAGGGCTACACGCCGTACCTCCCTCAACAAATTTAAAGTTGACTCGGGCTCCGTCGACTTTGTCTTGAGCAAGTTTTGCCTCGGACATTCTTATTTAGCCAGGCAAGGCACGGTTTCGTTCATCGGGTTGAGACTGTATTTTGGCTATGTACATGTCGCTCTCATTCAAAAAGAAAGAACACCACTTTGATTAACCTGTTCAATTGGCGATGAGATGGCCTTTCCCCCGCTTTAAAATTTGCATTCTTGCTACAGACAATCATTCTATACCCACCAAAAGCATTTTCATCAAATGATACCCGAACCCAAACCATTCTATCAGCTTTTGCTACTAGATTAATGAGAGTGAACACTCCGCAAAAGATTGTAATTCAACCGCATCCTAGAAATAGATTCAAAAACACAGTATATAACAACATCCCAAGTAAAACTGGAACGACAAGAATCCGCTTCATTCTAGGTAGTCGATAGCCCAGCAAGACGGTTCAATCATTCAACAACGGTTCAATCACTCAACGATCTCGCTGTAGATATCCTTGGGCAAACGCAAGGTCAACTCGGAGTTCAACAAATCGGTCAGATTAGACCCATCACGCAGATAGATCCACTGCCCATTAACGAAAGGCCGCGAATCTTGCTTCTCGTGCATATAATCGCCCTCGACAATCCAATCGTACCGCTTCGGCCCGGAGATAGGCGAGCTGAGCCAGATCTGCTTGTTGGGTGGTTGCTTGTTGAGTACATAGGTGCCGAGTGCGGGAACGGAGATGTTCAAAACGCCAGCCTGGAGGAAAAGAGTGGGGTTAGAAACCTTGAATATTCCACGTGAACTGAATGCCTTTGCGTAGGGCCGAGAGAGATAGAAGATGAAGAACGCCGGGGAGAAAATAGTACACAGAAAATAGATCAGAGAAACATACACTGTACTCGGCCTCAATCTCCGATCCCTCTTCCTGTACCTTCTCCAATTCGTTTTGCAGCACATTGAAATAATGCTCCGCGTACTCGTAGTACTCCTCCGGCGTCAACGGCGAGGGCTCAGTAATGTGAGTCGCAGCTCCGGCAACAGAACTCGACTGTGGGTTCGGAGCTGGGGGGTTTGCTGATTCTGGGTGAAGGCCTTTGCGGATTGCCGGGGAGGACTGGAAAGAGCGGGTGAACTGTGAGGTGGAGCTGGGGCGGATGGCGAAAGCCCGGGGAAGCAGGGCTGAAGTGATGGCTGATGTGCGGGTGGATGGGCGCACGGAGACGAGCAGAGCTCGAGGGGCTGTGCGAGATAGCATTTTTGTATAAGGCTCTTTGGATTGGGCTTGTGGAATGTAGTAATTGAAGGTTGGGGGGAGCTGCTTTGATGATGAATGCGGAGAGATTGGATAATTTACATCATCGTTATCCACCGCCTGCTTCATTCGGTGGACGAATGGGCAAACCTTGTGATTGGATAGACGTACATCTAGGAGTTGCTCCATGTGGTAATTTTTTTTTAAACAAAAAGTCAGCGATCGAATTTTTTTTTAAATTTGGTGGTTTAGCTTGTCAAATAACTCAATTGATTTATAGGCATTTGATGGTTGGCGAGGTTGAGGATACACTTGTGCCATGGGTCCGTCGCCACCGCTGAGACTCTATCATTGCACATAGGAACCTCGAAAAGTAATGACCATAGGGTAGGTTTACGTTGATTTTCCTCATGAAAGATTAGTAAAATTCAGGTTGGAGGAAATGTGATATCTGCAAATGACATTCATAACATTCCACTCCAGGGCTAACCATGACCACTTAGCCTTCCAGTGATGATCTTGTGTTGATGATTCCTCTCTTATCCCAGGGATGTCTCTACTAGGAATTCCTAGTACCATTTCCTCGTTATTTGGTCACGTAGGTAGTTGACAAAGCCGTAGTATAGACAATCTTATGCCGCAAATGCTTACATGGTACCTACTACATTTTCGTGATCCTGTTTGACGGGTGGTGAACATTGTGAAGATAACAGGGCGAAATGAGTACAGCAATGAGGGATCTAGTGCGTGCTGTCGATGGCAAGATTGATTACAGCAATCTTTACCACCTTGCTGACACGCATACGGAGAAAATGGAGTATGCCTAGGCAGCTGCCTTCACAGCTGCCGCTGTAGATATCGGAACGGCCATGACAAAGAGTCTGTGCCAACAGGAAGAAAGTTGGTGTACATTGAAACTGTCAATGCAAAAGATGCCCCAAGTGTGCATGATTGTCCGAAATCAACAGAGGTGACGAGTCAAGAGTGATACCAGCATCAAGACCGATAGCGACATGCCCGGAGCTAGTAGTGATGAGGTCAAGGAGACTTGCATCCTGCCCTCGCCTCTGTGTTTGAGAGACCGAGGGTATGGTAATGGTGGACAACCCATTTGCAGAGGAACACGAGATGGACCTGTTATATCAACCACAAGTATGCATGGTCTCGTACTTCCTTGGACCAATAAATGATATCTATTTGAAGATCTCCTCGCATTAGCGACAGTAGCTACCTAACCATGTCAGAGACTCGTCCGGTGTCTCCGGTATATGCCCAGTGCGATGAGTGCCTGGTGGCCAAGACCCTGCGTCAATATCTAAACTTGGCACTGGAGTGTCAGACTGCTTGATCGTTGAGTTCGGAGACTAGTTGAAACTCGTGAGAATCATAGGATGACCGTTTGAGTAGAAAGATGGATGTTGGGCCGAACTTGATTAGTAAGGAGCTATGTACCTTCCATATCTTTCCGTATCTTTCCGATTCATTTCTGGGATTCTGAGATGTATAGGGAGTACTCCGCAGTACTCCGTCCAAAGCCAGGATATGCTGTACCTCCAGTCCTGGAGGCCTGCGCAGCAGCATGACGTGAGTAGAGCATCGGAATTTTGGGAAGTGGGACCAGAGCCAGACGGGAGTTTTGTGAGAGAAGCCACATCACTTGCCAACGCGGCCAGAACAACCTTAGAATGGCGATTGTCTTTTTTTTTTTTTTTTTAAAATTTTCATTTCTTGGAGAAATTGATTTTTGACAAAATAGTCCAGGAATGAACATGGGAGTACTCTGTAGTCCGAGAACAGCATGCAGCCTTGAATGGCAGCAAATTGAGAGTCTTGGTCATTGGGAGATGCAGGCATCATATGCCTCGGAACTATGCCCGGGACTGAGGTGACTGAAGGGTGATCTCATAGCGACCTTGTGAATTTTGCTAGTGGCAACTATCAGTCCGGGAGTACAATAATGAAATTCAAGAATGAAACCCGTAGAGTTAGTACCACATGGCACTCCGGATGGTTTAATGGAATCAAAATTCAGATTCTTTTGGCATATAAATCTTGTGCTATCTACATTCTGCAGGAAACACTTGTGTCCCGACTACGTCCTACTAGCCTATGGGAGAACTAGGAAATAAGAGCATTGATCCCCGGTCATTATCATCATTCCAAGGAAGACAAGTACAACTAGCAAATCACTAAGAAGTGGCACAAAGTAACTAGAACCAATTACAGAAAATCAGGCACCTGTGCTGGAAGACAATGGTGGAAGAACATCGAATGGGGCGCCGATCCAAAATACGAAGAACCGGAAGAAACACCGGCGCGTAGTCCGGCAAGGCTTGTCATGGCCGTTTTTCGGTCACAGATCGGCAGGGGGCTGAAGAGGGGTTGGATTCAGACCGCGCCCCCCCTCTTTCTTCTAGCCCTAGAACAACGCCCCCAGTCGATCCTGAAGTAAGGTACTCGGTACAATACCGGGATACCGGTGAATAGGAGAGACGGTCTGGATCTTCTGTTGGATGTGAAACATCGTATCGATCGGGGTTTGGTGTCACTATGAGTGGCCGGCTCGATCCAAAAGACTGATTTGATGTGGTGGCGTTTTCACAGTCGCTGTGTCATATTAGTCAGTTTCAGTTGGCGCGGGTGATTGTGATGCGTGAATCATTGAGGGGGGTCTTATCTGAACAATTGAATCTCACAGTCTTACAATTTCACCATCAGACCTTGGACCCAATTTGATTTTAATGTCGTACAATGTTCTGGTGTTTCTGTCGTGTTCCTAGGGTTTTGTTCAGTCGCACAAGGATATGATTGGGCATCCAAAGACCCGGATGACCGTGCATCTACGGTGTGCCTATCAGAGAGGCTCCCCTGACCGGGAGCCAGGGAACGGCACGGTCAGCAGCATGGCGAACCATTCACTGATGCAACGCCATCCGTGGTACGTTGCTGCCCCCACACTCTAATGTCCATTTCGGTCATTGGGCTGTCAATCCCCAGTTGGTTTTTGTTGTCGACCTTTGTATTCTGTCAGGGGCAAGTCAAGTAGTGTTCAGACCAAGTTACAGGCACCAACGGGGTTACAAAGCGATTCCCTCTTCACTGTAGGCCAATGTCAGAATTCGAACAAACCCTATTGTGGTCCAGGCTATTGTGGAGTGGTCTAGCTATCTTGGCTGTGGAGTTAGACCACATGTGAACCGTTTTGATACCGAAGAACTGAAAGAACTAGTGTCGATTAGCGTCTTGCAGAGTTATTCTCGATGGAAATGAAGGAAATGTAAAGAAAAGAGGTTTGGTTCAAGCCAATCACCATGCTTCAAATTCCTGTCAATGGTCCAGGGAGTCCAGTTGGCCTCCCCCACGCCAATGATGTTTTTCCTACGTTGGATCTAGCCAGAGGCATGGGTATGAGGTAGAACCCGCCTCTTCAGCCCTCAAACATCCAATAGACACTTCCTATCTGCACCCCACCATGAAGAGATGGAAAATCTGCCAGCCAGCGAGTTAGGCTGGGTAGATTTGACACACTCATGCCTTGGGACTTTAAAAACCTCCGCCTCCCTCGATCTTTCTCTTTCTCTTCTCTCTCCAACCACCCACCTTTCCTTCATTTTTTCCCCCCTGGTCTTCTAGTCCTGTGCCGTGCACGGTCTGAACCTCACTTTCCTTCAAATCTACACTCCTTTTTTTTTTACAAGGTCGAGAACCGGTTTCTCTCTTTTTCCATCCTTTTTTTTAAAAAAAACAAGTCCACTCCGTTTGTGACTTATCGTTCGACTTCAATCAAAATGGTCTCATTCACTAAACTTGTTACTGTCGGCCTCGTCGCCACCTCGGCCATGGCCGCCCCCATGCAGGTCAAGCGCACCACTTCCAGCAAGCGTGGTGCCGCTTACAACGATGTCACCACCGTTTCTGCTCTGACCAGTGGTGGTGCCATCTCGTGGGCCTACAACTGGGCCGGCTCCCTCTCGGGTTCGCTCCCTTCAAACATCGAGTTTGTCCCTATGCTCTGGGGCCCGAAGATGTTCGGTGGCTGGGTGGCCGCCATCGAGACCGCTTTGTCCAGCGGCAGCAGCTACATTCTGGGATTCAACGAGCCCGACATGGCTTCCCAGGCCAACATGAGCCCCTCGGATGCTGCCAGCTACTACCAGACTTACATCACCCCGTGGTCTGGCAAGGCGAAGCTGATTTCCCCCGCCGTTACCTCCTCCACCGAGGCTGGAGTCGGTCTCGACTGGTTTGAGTCTTTCATCGGTAGCTGCAGCAGCTGTGGTATCTCCGGTCTTGCCGTTCACTGGTACGGCAACACTGCCGATGAGTTCAAGTCCTTCGTCACCACGGCAGTTGACACTGCTTCCAACCATGGCCTGTCCGAGGTCTGGATCACCGAGTTTGCTCTCAACGCTGATGTCAACGGCTCCGCCGACCCCGCTACTACTGCTGCTTTCCTTGATGAGGTTCTCCCTTGGTTGGATTCGCAGACTGGTGTCACTCGCTACTCTTACTTCATGTGCGCTGAGAACTACTTACTCTCCGGAAACACTCTCAACGCAGCCGGCCAAGCCTACGTCTCTGCGTAAGACTGTGCTGAGATGTGGAACTAAGTCAAACCAATGAATTACGACAACAGAGTAAGAGTAGAGGAGCAAATGATGGGTTCTGTTGGCGATTGGTCGCCTGGGAGGGTCATGGCTAAGAATTTTCTGTTTTCAATTTTCTAGGAGTTAACAACAAATATCCACCACGCCTTGATTTTGTTTTTTTTTTTCCGACATCCTGGATAGTCCTAGTAGTGCGGTAACCTCAAGCTTACCAAGTTTCGATGTGAATCCCGCCATCTACCTTAGAATGAGGTGGCGGGTCGGCGATGGCCACAAGGGCATGATAAAAACCATACCCCGCTACAATGCCTCACTGCCAGGCAGATCCTATACGACCCATATGAGCCTCAAGATCTCGTTGCCCTAATAACAAAACTGAAAATGGAGTTCTCTCTTTCATGCAGTCTCTTTGATTCTAATTTCGTGTCTACCACCGCGTCCAGTTTCTTGTTTCCTTGTCTCTTTCAAACATTAACAATGCACATTGAAATATGAAGTCAATGCCAAAATTCAGAATCGTTTTATCTTTCGTCACAAAGAGACTTTCGAGTATTAAACGGTGGACGGATTCCTCTCATGACCCTCGCCTTTCTAACCATCCAAGCATCCAAACATTCAAAACATAACAACTATAATTTCTCAAAGCTAACAGATCTAGAATGCAGCCACCGTCGATTGATAAATGGCCGCACGGCTTTGACGATAGATACGTGTTCAAACGTCTTGCCATATCAGATCGACCAGAGGACCAGCAGGCTCTCCACAGGTTAGCACAAGAGATCTTTGATGTTGTGGCGCTTGACTCCGAGAAAAATGGCAGAAACATCAGGAACCTTTTCAGATCGAGTTATTCACGCAATCAAATTCAATTTGAATGGCGCAAGCGACTCCAAAGATTACCAGCTACGGTTAGAACTCACGTCCCAGATATCGGGCTTCTCACCGGGGCGTTGTATAAATACGTCAATTGTGTCCAAGATGACTTGATCGAGGATTTTGAGAGACGACAAAGTCAACCAGCCCAGCCACTATTAGCCCATAAAACAGCCCAGCAGGAAACAGCCCACAAAACCACACAGCACACACCGCAACCAGAAAGTTCAGCCCAAGCGCAACCCGAACAACGGAAGAAATTCGATTATACTCGGCCCTACATAGTGCCCAATGGTGACGTCCAAATCATCCGAGCAGATCACCCAGACATGCCACTTGCAATTAGGGTAGGTGACTTTTTAACTGACAAAGGAAACCCGCACAACGTATGCCCAGATGGGGATTGGATCAACATCGCTAATATTAAGCTCGAGGCGTTCAGAGAAAGTCTCATCCAAGAAGGCTATCTAGCAGATCGAGACACAATCTGGCTACACCATCTCGCCCTGGATCAAATTAATCCTGCGGTTATTACTAACCCACAGGCTGGTGAGGTAAGACTGGCCTCCGTCAATTTTGCATCTACTCTTTTGCGAACCATCCGTGAGCATTGGCCTCAACTTCGAAATCCCTCCCCCGATCCCGTAAGTGGTGATAGGCGCTCACCATTACTCAGACCAAATATGACTATTATCATCCGGTCCGGGGTCGTAAAAGGTAAGGTGTCCTTTCTTCCTCGGTTCGATTGCTGAAAGATCGAATCCTAACATTCCTATTCTTCTCTAGGTGGCGCCCTACCCGCTCAACAGCCAGCGTTAGCTCGTCCCACCGAACGACTGGGCAGCAACCGGATTGTTCCTAATCGCCGTTCTGAGCAGGTGGCCCGATATGCGGCCCAACGACACTCCAAGACCAAGCGAAAGAGAGCAGAGGCGGACGCAGAAGCGGGAGGGAAGACTGCAACGGACAATGAGGCTGAGAGAAATGCTCCAGCGGCTCAGAGAAGGAGACTAACCGTAGCACCCAAAACTGTCACTGTCCCCACTGCTCGTCTTGCGCCTGCCCCTCGTCCTGGCCCTAGTGGTGGTCCTGCCTTCGCCCCTGCTCCCACCGGGAAAGAACCCCAGGAACGGATCCAGGATGATTTTTCTTTTGTTGAGCTTTTAGGTCCTGAAGTCTATAAAGAAGAGGGATTATCCCAGGCAGAAGATGGCGATGATTCTGAATTACTGCTTTTAAATCCTGAAAACTTCAACGAAGCGGGACTTGCGGGTGATGATAGCGCCGCCCTGCAAGCATTTTTTGAGCAGAACGAATGGACCGGAGAACGGATGGAGGACTGAAAGAAGGAACGAGGAAAAGAGGTAAGAATCGTAAGTGAGACAACCCCAACTGACCCGTATTTATAATGTTTTTCAATGCTAAGCTATGCCGATCTTATATTCTGATATACCTAACCCACCGTTCTTCAATGCCAGGTAGAGACAAAAATGACAGAGATACTTCTTCTCCCCTGTTAATCTGATAACTAAACAATCACGCCAGTCAGGCAGAGCAACAAAGCTACTCACGAAGAGTCGTGATCCCAAAGTTCCCAGTAGAAGCTGGGCGACATCCGCAGAATGACCAACTTGTGAAGACCGCAATTTAACTTCGCCAACTTCGCCGATGTTGTAGCCCGCGTAGATTGCCATGAAGCCAAGTCCAACGATAAGGATCAAATCGTTCCCAGAGCGGCGAATGCAGATGGCAGACCTAGACCCCCCAGGGCAATCGCCTCAACTATCAAAATGACAGTGAATCGTTTCCAGCCTAGACGGCGGAGTCGGTCATTTTTCTATAATGATTCCCAGTAATTCAGGGTCATCTTTTCGTGATGGGCGAAGCCGTAACTATGCCCTCCAGCTCGACACAGTGAACGAGTAAGCTCTTGATCCACAGATTATATACCGGCAAGTATGATCGAATCTAATAACTATGCAAGAAATCCAGAGGCACAGCGCTAGGACCGAGCGTGGAAGGGCGGAAACTCTGGAAGTCCCGCGTGATTACGTGATCTGCGTTGATAAAACCAAGCTAGCCTAAATAGGCCTGGTCGACGGCCACTGGAACCCATTTGGAGCGTTCAACGTCAGGATGGAGAGACTTCTGTAGGGTGTGCCATTACGGGATTTCCGGTAACGGAAAATGCTGCAGTATGACCGCTGATCCCCGTCGACAATTGGATGGGTTGGCTTTCCCGGTTAAAAGACGTGCAGGGTATATGATCTAGTCCTTTGATTAGGCATCGAGACTGCAGATCGGTCTTTCGTCTCCGACGGCGTTGCTTGTACTCCGTCGGATGAATTATGAACATGTGAGATGTTGAGTGCAACTGTGGTCATATAAAAGAGAGAAAGATCATGGAAGAAAATCTTCCATTCATCAACCCATTTAAATTTGAACGATTCATGAAATGGCTCTTCTATCCCTGTTGCTCTCGCCAGGGATTATGACCGTGGCCATCCTTGTATGGTTCGCGCTCTACTACATATACCCCTATCTCGTTTCATACGGGCACTTGAGACATGTCCCAGGTCCATTTTTAGCCAAATTTAGCAACATATGGGTTGGGATAAGTGCCAAACATGGCCAGAAATATGCGGCCGTCGACGCGGCGCATCGAAAACACGGCAATGTCGTCCGTATTGGTTTCAACCATGTGTCTATCGCCGATGAACGGGCACTGAATATTGTTTATGGGCACGGAAACGGGTTCCTCAAGGAGCAAGTCTGATACCATGCCCTGGATCAAGATTTAACAGTGTTAACGCAAGGTATCTAGTCATTATTATGAAGCATTTGTGGCGCGAACGCCGGGCATGTTCAATGTCCGCGACCGCACCGAACACACACGCAAGCGGAAGATAATATCCCATGCCTTCTCTCCGAGGTCAGTGGCTGAATTTGAGCCGTTTATGGCGGAAAACCTACAACGGTGGATCACCCAGCTGGACCGGATTGCGGCTTCCCAGCCATCACACAAGGGAAAGGCCTTTGCTCGATACAACGCAATGCCCTGGTTCAGCTACATCGCTTTTGACATTATCGGAGATCTGGCATTTGGTTCACCGTTTGGAATGGTGGACAAGGGCAAAGATGAGACTGAGACCCAACTCGTGACCGGAGGACCGATTACCTACACCCCGGCAGTCGACGTGTTAAATAGAAGAGGCGAAGTCTCTTCAACATTAGGCCTTCTTCCAGCACTTCGTCCATGGGCTCGGTATCTTCCCGATCCATTTTTCACCAAGGGCGTGGCGGCCGTAGAGAACCTGACGGGGATTGCTGTCGCCGCTGTTGCGTCACGACTGGATGCCGCGGAGAAGGGAATGGTTGACTCGCGCAACGATATCCTTGCGCACTTGCTACAGGCAAAAGATGCCAATGGAAGGCCAATGGAGCGGGATGAGCTCATAGCAGAGGCTCTGACGCAGCTTATCGCTGGATCCGACACAATATCCAACACGGCCTGCGGGATATTCTACTGGATCCTGCATGGAGATCGAAGCGCGCCGGGCACCATAGTTTCCCGACTACAAGAGGAGTTAGACCACGCAATTGACCCCAAAGCAAAGATCGCATCTTACTCCGAAGTTAAAGATCTCCCATTCCTGCGAAGATGCATCGATGAAGCGATGCGACTTCATTCCACCTCCGCGATTGGTTTGCCACGTTTGGTCGCCGATCACAGCCTCGGTGTTGATTTTGATGGCTTCCACTTCCCCCCCGGGACAGTCCTTTCAGTGCCCTCGTACACTATTCATCATATGAAGGACATCTGGGGAGACGATGTCGAAGAATTCAAGCCTGACCGCTGGTTGAACCTGACTGCCCGACAGAAAACGGCATTCAACCCATTCTCACATGGTCCCCGGGCATGTGTCGGACAGAATGTCGCCATTATGGAGCTGCAGCTGATTATTGGAACTTTGTTTCATCGATATGAGTTTGCGTTGTACCAGCCCATCATTGAGTCACACGAAGGGTTCTCGAAGAAGCCCAAGGAGTGCCAGGCAGGTCTCAGATTGAGAGAGAGTGAAAGTGAGATCCCCAAATTTGAAATTGACACCACAAACTGATAGGAGTGATTGGATTAAGTTCACAATGGGATAGAGCATGTCCATTTTCGTTTTCGTTTTTCTTTAACTCGATTCAAATCACCTTACCAAAGAACATATCTTCAAGCGATGGAAATTCCTGCTCAATACCCATTTCGTGACAAACCTAGGGCTCCGTAGCATTGCCCACTGGCTGCGGAATACAAATCCCGTTGTTATTCTCTCCCCTAGACGTCACATAATCTTCCTACTCCATCCTATCTGCAACATGTTGTTTCATGATGTTCAGAGACCCACCGACTCAGAGGCTCGACGTTGCCTCCACATTGAATATGTGAAACGGCTTGTTCCATAAGAAGGATCATACTGCCCACAATATCTACATGGGCCACAAACTCGGCTAGTGTCACCATTGCGAAGGAACAGAGCATATTTTCGTAAGCAGGATGGATGTCAGTGGTTAAATCTGACATGGAGACAAATCAATTCAAGAGTTGATGCGACTGGCTAATTGCAAACTGAATTGGCGGGAGGGTTGATTCGTCTGGTCTGGTTCGGGGGGTTGCTCATTTCCGCGGCTTGTGTTTCGCTCGTGTGTTGGGGTGTGCGCCGTGCCAGAATCTGGTGGGCGCAGGAGTATGCAAACCGTAGTGGCTCAGAGGCATCGAGCTCTATTAGAAGCAAGGGATTACATTTCATCTAGGTGCTCAGATCAGAAGTTTCATACTTGATACATTTAATCAATAAAATCCCTCTACGCATAAAAAGAGAGAAGCTATCTACAGGTTTAGCTAGACCAAGTACTAGGAGCAAACAAAAAAGTCATGTGTATCTAACAGTTAGACATGCAGAGATGGATGAAAGAGGCCGAGAAAACGCTACTCTCTTATCAGTCATGGTCCACGTACTGTGGGAGTGTTGAGCTCCCGGAAGAGCACTCAAAAGAGCGATCGGAAGAGCCTTCAAAGGCAACACCGGAGGGAACCTTTGCCATTGTCCGACACTACCAGCGTGAGGTTATGAAGACCAAATCCGAACTCAACCCTCTTGCCTTTGACACGCCTATCGTGAATCGAACCCGTGCAAAAATGAATCTTCCGCGAGACAAAAAAAACGACTAAACTCAAGTTGGACCCTTTCGAGACACCCACCAAAAAACAGTCCAACCCGTCATGAGATTTCAAAATTCTCCACGTATTCAGATGCAGGAGAGCGCCTAAATGGTCGCTTGAATCAGAAGCGATGACGACCTAGCCCAGCGCACTAACACCACGTAGGTATTTTATACTTTTTTGGGTCAACTCTGAGCACTGCTAACAGGATCCTAGGCGTTTTCATATATCTCAAGGCCGACATCAGATCTTTGTGACCGTTGCCGAGTATGGCCAGAACTATCCCAAATACCTAAGCGAGAAGAGACCTTCGTCTTTACAAGACCCTTCGTTATTTTTAACCATGCACCAGTACGGTCCGTGGGATACCTCGAAGAAATCGGCTGTTCAGGAGATCGGGACGCTTATATTGGCAATCACCTTGCGAGCTGAATGGGAGATTAAAGAAGAGATCAAAAGCCAGCAGGCAAAAGCAGTGTAGTTGCACATCACGTCTGTGCCCATGCTGTCAAGGTGATCAACTACTTAGTTCTAGCCATCATCCATTGTTTGTGATTGCTGACGTGGTGGTTCCTTTCATTGTGGTGTGTTGTGTGTTGTGTGTTTTCTATTTTAGTTTTCATGTGTCCATCTACATGTATACATCCACTGGCGTATTCATTTACAAGTCCAAAAACTATTACCTTCTATGGTGCCCCGTAAAAGATCTTAGTGTTTTAACAGCGAAAGCAAACTGCATCGGCCGCTGGCGTACCGTTGACGTTCAAACAACAGCAATTCTGTGGTCATAAATGAGAACAAAGTGCAATTCTCAGCATCAGAGATCTGTTATTCAAACTGTTTATTCATTGCAACTGATAGGTTTCTGAAATTTAGGAAAGGGATCCAGGCGAATATACCTCGCGAAGTTGAAGCTCCGGGCACTTCAGGTTTGGATCGACCTCCTTCTCCGGCAGGTCAAGGGATTCTCCGTGTTGAAGAAGCCGAGCAATTCTGACAGGTTCCAAGAGACTCCCCGAAAGAATGAAGATCTTATCCATTTCCTCGAGACTGCGCCCAGCAGTTTCGGGAAACAGATAGTAGATCATGGGTATCATCATTGCATTGCAGCCGGCAAAAATGACAAAGTATGTCTGTCCCATGCTGTTGAATGCAATGGGAGTGACGGCAGTGAGTACAATGCTGACCGCCCAGGATATGCTGATGCTAAAGCTGTTGATCGTCGTACGAAGATGCAAAGGCGCAATCTCCGCGGCGTAGATATAGGGTATTGCGCCAAATCCGATGGTGTAGCTGAAATGGAACAGGAAAATGAAGAAAACAGCACTGCGCATTGCAGGTGGGTTGTCAGTTTGGCTCCCGAGGCCAGCTACTAAAGCCAGACAAACGACATTCCCGATTGCGCTACCTAAAAGCAAGACGCGACGACCAAGTCCGTCAATTTTGAAAACACAGAAGGTCCCGCCGATGGGACCGACTAGTTGATAGACTGCTGCCAAGACTGTGGATGTTGAATTACCCAGTGAGAGGTTTTTTTCGAAGATTGCAGTTGCTGAAGAGTCGCAAAGTTAGGGTTAATACCCTGCGGAAATAGGATCTGGGGAACTTACTGTAAAATGTAATGACCGTAGAGCCGCTAAGTTGCAAGAACAACATCACCAAAGCAGCAATCATAGCTCGGTGGAAAGTCCTTTGGGGGCCCATGTGAAAGATTTGTCCCGGAGACTTTTCCTCACACAAGTCTAGGGATTTTTGGACATCTTTGATTTTCGCTTCCACAGCTTGATCATCAACACATGTATCGTCGAGAGCTGCCAGAACTTCACAAGCCTCAGAGAGCCGGCCTTGTCGGATCAGCCACCGGGGGGATTCGGGTAACAGACAGATAAACCCCAAAACGGCGACCGAAAGTAGCACCACAAAGGCAAAAGGAAATCTCCAGGCGACGCTGCCAGGGGCAAAGGACACTCCAAAGTCGAGAAAAAGGGCAATGGCACACCCCAAACTGGTGAAAATTCCCTTCATGCCGACGTGAGCGCCACGCTTCTTGGCAGCCGATATCTCCGATTGCCAAAGCGGAATTGTAGCCAATAGGACACCAGTGCCGAAACCAACAATGACTCGAGATGTCGCGAGTTGAGCGATAGAGCCTGCGCTAGCCATCAAGATAGCACCAAAGATTTGGGCGACTGAGCCTGCCATGATTGTACGGCGGCGGCCATATCTGTCACCCAGCCAAATACAGGAGAGAGTTCCGAAAAACCCCCCTATGGTGTAAGAGGCCACAATCAGGCCTTGGATTGTTGACGCGTGTGATTTACTATTGGCAGTGGCAATATTCATTTCGGGGAATTGTTCTTCGAAGTTCTTCAGTGTCAAGACACCCCCGAGTAGTGATGCATTGTAGCCTACAGTGAGGACTCCAGGCATGAGAACCCCTAGAATGGCCACGATATTGAGGCTGTTGCCCCGAAGGCCGAGAAAGCGTGGCATGGGTAGGGCTGAGTGAAGATCAGTGGGTAATAGAATTATGAAGAATCGGCAAGATTGGGATTGACACTGATCAATGGATTAACGATGTTTTCTGTGTAGACCAGACTTATCACACGCCGTCAACCTGATGAAGCCCCCGAGATTTAAAGGATCTGATGATGGTTACGGGTCGGTTATTTCGGCTCGTTCGCATCACCCTCTAGGCATTCCTATGTTTCGTGCATCGTCGTCTCATTTCCACCGAGCGCAAGTAGGATGTTTCAAGCCACATGATACAGACGAGGACGTGCAAGGCTATTGGACTCGTTCTGCTCGGCTCGCTCTAGATCCGAAGGCCTCCAGTTGTCATGCCGGCATTTGTTGGAGGGGAAGAGAAGTACCAAGCAGGGCAGGCCCTTGTGACAGGGCTCAAGAATGCACAGAAAGGGAGAGTGGGCGGAGAGGGAAATGTGGAATAGGCAACCGGCTTAGTAGAATTGTTGAAGAAAATACCAAAGGCTGGAGTAAATGGCACACAAGAGGCGACGCAAGGGGAAAGCTCCCACAAAAGGGCCTAAACGTCTTCCATTCAACACCGTGAATCCTGAATGTGTTACAAAAGACGGAGTACTTGGGTTCTAGTTGACGAGTTAATCTGGGAGCTGTGATTAAATTGAAAGGCAGAACCGTTGCATGCTATGGATTAGGAAGCATCTATGGTAAGTCCTATAGGGCAGTTCAAGAGACAAGATATGACCTTGGAATAGATGTACCCCTCATTCCCAGCAACGTTCTGACCAACTCTCAGCTGGCCTGGCCCTCAAAGGACTCCAATTTTCCAAGTTCGCATGAACTAGAGCACAGAAGCCCGAAACTTGACCCCGGATGCCAAGGGATTAGGAATTTACAATGGAATGGTACTGCACAGTTGGGTTACAATTCCTCTGGGTGGTATCCTACCCTCTCATTTGCTTTTTTTTTTACAAATCCAAAACTATACCTTTTCGCACAACTCCTTTGGGCAGTAAGGGGATTTGCAAACGACTTTGGTAGACCAGATGGGTCCCCACTCATTCAAGTTTGGCTTTGATGAGGTAGAACCAGAGTAAATGACAGCATACCGTCGAGATCTGTGTGTACAGAAAGATTGTATAAAAAACCGACTATGGACTTCGAGATCTGAGGTACGGTTATTTGACAAGATATCCACTAGGATAAGCAAACTCCCGGTGCTTTATCGCTTTCCTTGACCATGGCACTTCTTCATCCTTCCATTGTGAGTAAACGGTTTCCCCACCACTGACCAATTGATGGATATTACGCCGGGTACTGTATACCATATTCCAAGCTAGCTCTTCGTGAAATTCAGCCGCATTGTTGCTCTCGATATCTGAATCCCGGGAAGCCGATCCGGCCTTTCGATATGTCCCAATCAAATTGGGAAAGGGGGCCCAGCACTCAATCTTGTGACGCCCGTTAGCCCCCGCGCACAACTCACTCAGGGCATTATCTACTGGCTTATTCAAATGATCGACGGAAAGGGCGGAAACAATCTTCCTGGCACCCTTGGTCGTAACTGCATACCCGAACATGCAGCAGCCCATGTCAGCGCGATAGATAAACCGCGTCGAGTCCTCGGCCAGTTCTGGATATTGTTCCTTCCACTTTTTAGTGGGTCCGCCCCAGGTGGCTCGGTGGTGGACCCTCGGAACTGTGGGGTCCATTGGGATAGCGTAGAAGCTTGTTTCGTTGGCGTTCGGGCCCGAGGCACATCCGCCAATCCAGAGGAGATCCCAGTCCATTCCGTAAGGTGCTTCCTTGGACACAAATTTAGTTCCTTGCAAAGCGTGCAGTCCGCGCGCAAATTCCCCCAGCTGGGATTTAAGGCTCACGTCCCAGTCTGCGTCATCTTCCAAAATCAAAGCAGTTGAATAGTCATTACTTATGACGCTATTTTTTTTTCGATGTCCAAGCGTCAGCAAAGCCTCTGGATTATGGTCATGAGGTGTAACTGTACTTGATCAATGCATTCATGTGTGCGCGCCAACATGCCACAACAGTTGGCTTAATCTGTGAGGGGTCCAGTCCCTAAGAAAAGGTGAGAACAAGACTTCGGGATCATTGAAGCGGAAAGCATACATCAGGCATGGCTTTGGGATGTAGTTCATCCGGTCGCACTCCATCGAGCCATTCCACCTTGAACCCCGATACCGAGGCTGCTAGTGTCAGGAAATCGCGCTTGTCAGTCCGCTCTTTCATACTGATAGCATAGATATGCTCAAACTAACATTTTATTTCCAGTTAGCAATCCAAGTCTATCAGTCAGTGGGCAAGGTCTAACCCCAAGAGTGTTGTTCTGGATGTGTTCAAAGACACTGTCGGCCATGTAGTTTCGAGAGAGGTCGAGTTTAGGGAGCGAGACAGACCATGCTTTATCTCCAAAAGTTCTGATAAGAACCGTGCAGAAAATGTAAGCAGTAAGAGCTACCGCCGCGGCCATGTGAAGGGCCTTTCTCCTAGCGATCATGGTGAGCAGCGTTGCGAACTATGAGAATTGATGAGAATTCAATGAATCACAAAACCTGGGAAGGATTGAGAAGTCCAAGGAAGCCTTGAGCCAGATGAAATGTATTGCGAAATGATTTTTTCTTTTCATTACATATTCTCGCCGGGAACAGCGTGCTTTGGATGCATCACGACCGAGCTTGTCCGAATGCGGATCTTGTCCGTGGGTGCTCGTTGCCTCAACTACAAGGCCGCCAGTCTTCAATGGCAGCTCCGTTCTACTTTGGAACCACGATTAACTAACTAGTCACCTTCAATCTCGTCGTGTTTCAAGGATTAAAGGTCTTGTAATTTCACGCTAACTACCTATATGAGCTTTAATCCAGCATTACCTGATCATCTTCAAAGTATTTCTAACGAATCTGTTCCCTGGCTACTTCTTACGCATGGGCTGTAAGAATTTGTCAATTTCATCAACCCCCAAAGAGTTCTGTGGGCTAACTCAGTAGGTAGTAGTATATTCTTAGTATAAAAGATACCAACCAGCAATTTTCCAGTCAATAATACAAACGATATGACCTCCGTGAACAAAAATAGGTTGGCAAGATTTCCAACCTGGAAGTTCATTTATTGTTTAATTAATATTGCGATGCAACGTCCTCCAAGTTCGCTGTGCGGTCCTTTCTATCCGAAATCTATAGCGGGGTTATGATGCGAACTCCATCCCTGCGCCAGCCTTTTGATTTCATGAAATGCTGTGTCTAGATTTATTCACCTTCCTTCATCCTCGTGCTAACAAAATGCAAAACCCATCATGATTCAGGATGTGTCTCAAAGAAAAGTTTTCAAAATAACAACTCTGTCCATCATCCATCTATGAGAGAAAGCCTGAAGAAAATTCATACCCCGGAATTAGATAGCAACTGGGCCGGCACCCAATCTATCTTGAGGTCCGATACCTTTGTGTCGGACCGCAAACAAACCGATTATAAGGCCTAGTCCGGCTAGACCAACTGAGCACCAGAGACCAGTAGCATATTGCTTAGCAAAACCATGTCCTTGCTGGATGTCGACAGCATCGGTAACGGCCGCTGAGATAGCCAATGCGACACCAGAGCCAATTTGGAATGCAGTGTTGAGCTAGGTAAAGATGTTAGTATGTCAAGTTCAAATCCAGGAGGAAAACCCCACCATTCCGCCAGCCAAACTCTTGACTTCGACCGGTACACTTGTGAGTACCACAGTGCTCGTCGTAACAAAGATGAAAGAAACAGATGAGATACTGATGAGCGACGTGGGGAGAACGTTGAGCCAACTTTGAAAATTAGCATAGTTTTGTTCAGTCAGAAGACGGCGATACACACAAGCCTGCCTCAGGATTGGAAGTCAAAGCACTTGAGATGGGGGCGACTACAGCCAGGACCAGCCCGGCAATGAGGAGGTGCTTTCCGTTCATGATTTCAAGAAGCTTTCCTGTTCCAAGAGAAACAATGAAGCCAATGGCTCCCATAGGCAAGAAGCGAATTGCGGTATCCCCAGCGGAAAGTTTGTCCACTTCCTGTGCCAGAAGGACGATGTAGTAAATAACGTTCTGGTAGGTGCCATAGCCAGCTATCTATTATTAGCATTGCCCGAGAGACCGGTGAAAACCAACTCACTGAAGCCAATAACCCAGAGACCGGCGAAATTGCGAATCTTCCACAAAGAAAGTGGCATGATAGGGTTGCTGACGTACTTCTCGAAGATTGTGAACCCAACTAGAAGACCGACCGCCAGAATCAGTAGGACAATTATGAATGGCTGGTCCCAGCCGTAGGTTCCACCACTGGAAAGGACGAATTGAAGTAGGATTAGACCAGCTGTAGACATCACTGCACCAACGTAGTCCATTCTTTCGTGCTTCGTTTCGGAAGGAACATCGCCTGGGAGGACAAGAAACCCTAGGATTCCCAAGGACCCAGTTATGACAACAATCAGGTAGAATATATATCTCCAGCCCAGCGAAGAGGTCAAGAAACCACCAAAGATGAGACCGGTGCAGAATCCCAGGGTTCCCGAGGCTCCATAGATTGACAGTGCACGGGTGCGATCAACACCACTGAAATAGGAGCTGATGATTCCAATAGCAGATGGTACAGTCATCGAAGCTCCAATTCCTTGAATGCCACGGAAAACCGTAAGTTGAATAAACGACTGCCCGAATCCAATGGCTAGAGTCCACACTGAAAGCCAGGCAAGACCCAGACACAGAATCTTCTTTCTTCCATACCTGTGACGGTTAGCATTGTACCAAGTCTAAAGATGATTGGAGAAAGCGTCGCACCGATCAGACAAAGCACCGGCTAATAAAAGGAAGCCACCAAATGACAAAGTGTATGCAGAGATCATCCATTGTAAGTCTGTACTGGACACACCAAAATCCCGTTGAATGGAGGACAGAGCAATGTTGGCGCTTGTCATGAATACATTGTCTAGAAACTGAGAGCCGGAGGTGACCAGCAAGATCAAAGACCCTTTCCAAGAACCCAGGCGGCCGAACTGATGCGGGATCTTCTCGAAAATAAGAGCATCCTCACTTCCAACCGGGGAAGGGAGCATTTGCGCAGGCGTCACAGCGCCGGAAAAGTCCGGACTCGAGATTATCTTCGGCTCGACAACTTTCGGGGAGTTTGTAGTGGGTATTTCATCACCACCATGTTCCTGATGGCCACGTGGTCGACTAAAGTAGTCAACAATACCCATTGTGGTTGTGAAAGTAGAATCCAGATGAGAACAAATGGCTAGGGTAGCACTGGCACCTACCATCATACTAATATATGGTTTACTATCGAACTAAAATTCAAAATCTTCAATCGATCCAGTTTAAAAAGTGGAGCGAGGCATTTCGGATTACCATTTCGAGAAAAATCTTAGACTGGAGCATGTTCTCTCGGGTTACCTATTTGAGATGCAAGACCCACGATGAACACACGAGGAGTGGAGAGGAATCATCACTGGCCCTTTCATTCGCACATGGGGGTTGGTCTAGGATTGTATTGAGAATAAGGCTCTGATAATGCAATGCAGATGCTATGTGGCCCTACCGCGCACAGCTAGTAAAGACAGGGCATCAATGGCGCCCTGGAAATGGCCATCGGCTTGAAATCTTCAAACCCAGCGGCAAACGTTATCGGGCCGAGCGCTAAGACCCACGGGATCCCGGTAGGGCTAGTTGGCGAACTTCAAGTTTTTAGGGCTAGTCCTTGGTAACTGCTAAAGTTTCATGGGCTCTGAAAAACTAGGATTATAAAATTCAATTTTGAAACTGTGTTTTTCTCTTTAGAATTGTGCATTACATATCTACGGAGTACTCTTTATGGCATCTGGTCAAAAATTCGAAATTCGATATTCGCCACGCCGATTCAGATTTTTTCCTCGGCCCGACAGCTCTTCCCATGTACATCACCCACAGGCCATCTTCGCTGTCGATGTTTTGAATTCTCGCTGATTTTTCCTTTTAGCAATTTGCCCATTCTGTGCTTAGTACGGAGTAACGCTCTTTTAATGAAGTCGGAACCGCTCGCTGTATAACGTGGCTGTTGATATTGAATATCTATTTGTTGAAGTTCCGAGGGTCCGACCTTGTCAAAATGATTAACAATAGACTAACTACGGTTACTCTATCAAACTATCCTTCCAACCCTCGGTTCACATTTGCCAAGCCAAACATGGGCAATAGGAACATTCTCTCCTGTATTGCCAAGCTGATTGCCAGTTAGACCTCCGCAAAGCCCAACCCAACCCACAGCCCATTATTCTGCATAACTGCGGTCTTCGCCTACACAAAATAGCTGATTAATGAATGTTTTTTTACGTATGTTCCGGCCTATAAGCGGCATATACTACTGGCCTATATACAATACGAGGGATCTCCGTAGCCCAAGGCCGTAAAGTAGATAAAAGTAGTAAATAATTATATGCTAGACCTCTTTTGATTTTCTCTTACCATCGTATACTACTACTACTATAACCCTATGCTAAAACTATACCTTGCGCTCTTATTGAGGTAAACCTCTAGGGTGGTAGTTCTAGGATCTAATAGATATTAACAATGATAGTCTCTAAGATAATAATGAATATATTGTGTAAGCTTTATAATTCTACACGAAATTAACTACAACGTAATTATGTATTGTGATCTCAGCGATCTTAGCCACCTAGGATCTCTATAATCTAGAAACAATCAAGGGCTTAAGCACAATTCGAATACCTATAATTCCTGAAAAATTCTGCATCACTTATGTAGCGACGAAGGATTGGTATATTTGCATTATTTGGTGCCGATTGGGCCCTATTGGGCCCCCATGATGGGCCTAGTGGGCTTTCAACCTAGGCCTATAGCCTAGGCAGGGCCCAAAGCCTAGCCCATTTGCGGGCTGGGTTGGGTTGGGCTTTGTGGGCTTTGCGGGAGGTCTATTGCTAGTCAAACAAATTCTCTGACCACTTAAACAGCCTTTAATGATCTGTAATAATCAACAGTTATTTCTAGATTCTGAAAGGTTAATGGTGCTAGAATACCTTGTTATATAATTTGCGGTCATGGCACTTGAGATGGAACTCTTACTGCAGGAGCTTCAAAAATACGTACATTTCAATTTTTTTTTCAAAAAAACATGAATCGTGTGCACTAGTTTGCTGTACTAGGTTACATTCAGTGCTTTTGTATAACAGCAAGGAATCAGCTTCGCACATACCCCTGAATCAAATACTCTCATTTTGCAGTGATAATATGTTGTCCTTGCAGTCAAGCCAAGTAAAGAGACCTTGCATACTTCACCGACATTTCAAATCCAATCCTCTCGATGTGAAAGAGGCAGAAAGGCCAAGGCCATTAACTATCAAGCTAAATCAAAAAAGAAATAAGCAATTTAAATCTGGAAGCACTAGATGCCCGAGGCTCCTCTAACTCGGCTATGCTGATAAGTTCATAAGCTCAAATGACGTCATGTGCCAAGCGTCCAGGGTCCCAGTCGTCACTTTGGTCTCTTTTGCCAATCGCAGTGTTCTGGAGAACACTTCCCCAGTATAAGATCGAAGGGGAGCCCACAATGACGTATAATATTATCTAATTATGCATATTTTTTACAGATTCGAAATCTCATATAAACTAGCACATGTCGGTCTACACCATTATAGGCGCAAAACAATTTACAAATTTTGGGAAGATCGACGATCACGGCTTAGCCTCATCTGCCATGCGCCACCCGAACCTTGCGGGCAATACTTAATAGAGCAGTCATCACCAAATTTCTATCCGCGCCTGACGTCTCTTCCGTGGGTATTGGATGAAGCCTGCTTCCAAATAAATAGATGACGTTCACATTCAACCAAAATGTTTCGGCACAACAGCTGGCCGACATCCTACCGAACGGTGTCGCCATCCTCACCCATCGATATGAATTGGTCTCTGTGAATCGCCGGTTCCGGGAACTCATCCCATGCCCTAGCGTCAATTTCTCCGAATGTTGGTTACGATCGGTCCATCCAGACGACTATGACCGGGTGTCGACTCGGTATCGCGAGGTCGCAACGTCCAAACAACCGCTACGTCTCGAATACCACACGCGCGACCCGAACTCGATATGGTGTGTCATAACTCTGGATCGGCTGAATGATAAAGACGTACAGTGCTTCGGGCTAAACGATGGTGGGGTGTTTATCTGTACAATCGCAGATATCACCCTGGAGAAAAAGGCAGAGCTCCTACAGAGGCAGGCTGCGGAAGAGGCCCAGGAACGCAAGAAGCAACAAGAGCGATTCATCGATATGATCAGCCACGAAATTCGCAATCCTTTATCTGCGATAGTCCATTGTACGGAGGATATTCAGGAGGCAATCTATAACAAGAAACCGGATGAAATCTCAGTCGTGAACATCGCCGAAGCAGCTGAGACAATCAGCCTCTGCATTAGACATCAAAAGAAAATCGTCAATGATGTCCTCACCTTTTCAAAACTTGACGCATCAATGCTACCGCTTTCCCCACGAAAGGTCCAGCCCCAACGACATATTACCATTCCGATGGCGATATTCCGACCCGAGCTCCGAAAGCACAGAATTAATTTTGAATACAAGGCCGATCTTTCCTATGGCAAATGTGGTATTGATTGGGTCATGGCAGATTTAGATCGAATGGGCCAGGTCCTTGTTAACATACTCTCGAATGCTATCAAATTCACAGCTCAATCGGAAGGCCAGCGATCGGTCCGAGTTTCAGTGGGTGCTTCGATCGAGCGTCCAAGTTCGTACCCGCCAAACATAGTCTTCTTCGATTCGGGAAAATCAGCGCTCCGTCAAGACGCGACAAACAACTCCGAATGGGGAAGTGGCGAAGTGGCATATATCATGGTCGCCGTCAAGGACTCGGGGATTGGAGTCACCGAGGAAGCACAGAAACGGCTCTTCGAGCGATTCAATCAAGCAACTCCCAAAACTGAGAGCATTTACGGCGGCTCTGGCCTTGGTCTCAACGTTTGTAGAAAGCTCTGTCACCTCCATGGGGGTGAGATTGGCGTGAGCTCCAAGAAATCACACGGAAGTACCTTTGGGTTTTTTTTCAAAGTACGCAGAACAACCAACGAAGGTGTTGAAGGAGACGAGAGTTTCGGTGTTTCTACAATTGATAAGCTCTGTGTTGATATTCAGACACTGGGAAACAAAATGAGCGGTGTCAACAAAATCACGGAAGAGCCCCAGATGTCGGAAACCCCAGCTGAGGATATTGTCTTCGAGGCACAACCAGGTGGCCCAAAGGACGAAGATACAATTCGTACCCACAACATTGCCCGCCAGGTAGAGAACGATCAGAACGAATGGGCGAATCAAAGTCCTTTGTCTCATCGTGGTCATGAAAAATTAACCGGCGACGGTCAGCGAATTCTCTTGGTTGAGGATAACGTTATAAACAGGCGAATCATCTCACGCAAGTTGAATACACTGGGGTTTGACATATCAGAAGCGAGAAATGGAAAAGAGGCAGTGGATGCGAATAAGAAAGGCCCATTCGACTGTATTCTCATGGACCAGCAGATGCCTGTGATGGACGGCAACTGTGCCACAAAAGCAATTCGTGAAATCGAGAAGGAAACTGGAGGACATGTACCCATTCTGGGACTCACAGCGAATGTCAGAGACGAACAACAACAGGAAATGATAGGTGCCGGAATGGATGATATCATCCATAAGCCTTATGGCACTCATGAGCTTGTTGAAAAGATCAATCGCATGGTTTCAAAAGAAAGAAATATATAACGGTAAGTCTAGGACTGTGAAGGTTTTGGAAGATTTTGGAAGCAAAGCGAGATGTGTATTTGTATGAACAACAGAGAGAGACAAGATGACCATTGTGGTAGTAAATACCAGGCTGTACAGGACGGAACTCCTAAAACAGCCTTCACAAAGAATGTCATTCCACCGTGAAAGGGCGTCAGAAATGGTAACCCAATTCTATTCCGAGAAAAAATTGTGTATATACTAGCAACACCTCTTTGAACGATGCTTAAATACCAACGGGCACTAATCCTGTGTCAATAGTTAGCACAAGGCGCGATTGGAACAACATCAGAAAATAGGGCTATGACAGTACTAACCATTGGAAACAGTGTAGCAAAAACTCGAATCTCTGATATTTCCCGTGGCATGATGTTTCCAATCAAGTTGCAGCGCCGCTTCACAATGATACCTGCCATAGACAATGGCAAACATTTTCTTGCAAGGCATTCGTGCGCTCCCGCGCCAAACACTAGCCAATTCTTGGTCTTGGACTCGGCATCGCCGGATATCCAACGTTCAGGATCAAAGTTGTCAGGATTGGGGTAAAAGTTTGGATCATGTAAAGCCGGATAGCAGGATAGAATGACTATAGCGCCCTTAGGAATGGTATAGTTGGGCGTGACAGGGAAGTTCTTTGTCGCGAGATAAGAACCATAACAACGTGCGGACGATGACGCAGGAGCTCCTTAATAACTGCATACACAGCTGAGAGGTTCACTCGCCCACTGTGCAAGATATCTTTCAAACTTTGGTTGTAGTGCTTGTATTAATGGACCACGAGCGGAATCTTTAGCGGAGGCCCAGCTATAGAACCTTTTCGTTTGGTATACATCACTTGAGAGGGCATGTGCGGACTCCCATGAGTAGGAAGGCTCTACTTCCCTTGGTCATAAACTCACATGGCTATTACAAAACTAAATGTATACTGCTAAAACGACAAGCTTAAGAATCTGCGGCAGTTGATTCTAAGCGATTGAGGTGTTGGCCATCTCAAAAGCCATCTTGGAGTCCATGATGACAGGCAACAGGGGCAATTTACGGAACTGTCCCTTTGAAATAGACAGAGAATACATATACATAAGCGAGTTTTCTTAGTAATGGCATGATATGGATAGTTAGTTAACTAACTAGTCAACTGACCAAGATATCCACAGGTTATGTAACTTGCCCGATTAGGACTAGACTCCGATGCCAAGCAGGGGTGAGGCGGGGTCTAGTCCTCTTTTGATTTGGGCTCGGGACATTCACTTGAGGCTGACACATTACGGAATAATCGGGAAGTTCAACCTCGGGAAGTTTCACATTGGACATTAAACTGACTTTCTGATAAGACTTAGATTTGTACCTTTTCAACTCTCTTGCACCTTGATCTCAAAAGTGGCGTGCGGTTCCAGCTTGAGCTATTCCTAAAATTAACACCCCCCCCCCCTCCTTTGGATGCCCACCAATATCCTCTCAAAATGCGGCAATCTCTCCGCCGGTCCTGTGCTGCTTGCGCCAAATCAAAGTCCAGCTGCGATCTCCGCACACCGCGTTGTTCCCGCTGTATCAAGCGACACGTTGAGTGCGCCTATGCGAACGAACCGTCGACGGGGCCGGCAACTCCCGGATGGCAGAATAAGGCATCAATGTGTCCACTAGATGGATCTGGCACTTTGACTAATTACAGATTCGGATCTCTTGATCCGTTTGATTCGTATCCACGGACTAGACTTCCTCGGGAACACGTTCAACGTTTGATCTATAGCTGTGTGTAGTCCTCTGAGGAAGCACTGACGATAAAATATTGGCTTACCCATTTAGTCCTCCACAAAATCGCCTTTCAATATTACCCTCTTGACCTTAATGCGACTTCTAATCCGTTTCTGATCTCTTGGTGGCCACTTGCACTAGGTGATCCTGCACTATTTCATGTCTCTCTACAGACGGCATGTCTTGACGAAGAGTTGTTGGCTCAGAAAGGCTTTCAGAACTCCGAACTTCTCATGGCAGACTCGGTGGCTCTACTGCGACGTAAGCTTAAATACATGTCACTAGCTGTTCAGGATGGGACTTTGAACTCAGTTATCACCTTGGCAACCATCGAGGTAAGATACTGCCATAAACACCCTCTTTCTTCATCATCTTCTATCTCGAACAATTTCCCGATCATTAATGATTCTTAGTTTGGCAAAGGCAATGCAAAAGTTGGCGAAATGCATGTTAATGGATTGAAAAAGCTGGTCGATATGAGAGGCGGCATCAATGCAGTAAGGCAGACAAGCCCGCTTACCGCGAGGATGGTCAGCTGGTAAGCCAACACCTTTTCTATTCAGGGATCAGATTTTAACATGTTTGAAAGGGTATCTATGCTCATCATGGGCCATCCTCAATTTGAGACCCAGGATGACTTCGGCATTGGAGATGGCATCCCCCCTATCCCGGAATGGCAGTTCGACTCAACCGTGCTTGATGACCAGCTATTTGACCTCAGCAACATTGAAGTGGAGTATGCCGTTAAGAATGTCTTGAGTCGTCTTCGCAGCATCTTTCACCGAGTGCGCAATATGCCCTTCCAAGCCACACAACTTCATGACCTTACCTGTTTTGTCATACACCGTCTCCTTCTCTCCGCTCCAGCTACCACGATATCTCTGCCATCACCGATTACGGAATCCATTCGCTGCGGGGTTATAATCTACATGTTCATCGCTCAGGGACCAACATACTACTCGCATGCAGTCATACTGAATACCATTATGATTCGATTTATGGAGAACCTCGAGCATCTCACGTCAATATCTCGTGTCTATGATTCACTTGACGTCTGGTTTGCTGCAGTCGGAATGGTGGCTTCAGCTGGCACGCCTCATCACCGGTGGTTCATGAGTAGGGCACGAGAAATAGCGGTTGCTCTAAACCTGGAAAACTTTGATGTCATCCTCTTCCACATCAAATCTGTGTTGTGGTTGGAGAAACCGCAGAGTGAAGATCTCGTTCGATCTCACTGGGATAACATCTTCAGTCTCACCGACCAAGCCGTACTATCAGACCTCTCGATATCGGTCTCGCCTATCAGCAGCAGCGTGGAATTTATATGAAAAACAAGCTCAAGCAACAAATTCGATGGGCAGAAGACGACTCGTGTTAAAAGGCCTTGAACAACGAAGAAGATAGCCACACACGACACTGTTATGATGACAATCATGGCCCGAAAGACGATGGCTACCTGTGAAACAATCTCTGCCAAGCGGGCGCTCCCTCAGCCCTCGACTAGTTAGTCTTTTTCCAGGGTTGTGTTTCTTCCGTGCTGGACGAAGTGGTACACTACCACGCCACTCTCGATGCGGCTCAGGGCCACACGTATGAAGTGTAACCCGTTTCCTCGGGTTGCAATCTCAAAGCGTGCCTCATCTACACCATTGTCTAAGAATAGGTCCCCGACCAAGTCTGCCGCGCCCTTATTGGTGACCCCATTGCTACACTATGCTTCGTTTGGCTGTCACTCGGGCAGTCTACATGCCATGATCAGGTATGGTTTCCATAAACTTCTTTTCTGGGAAGGATTCGTTGATTCATATTGATTCCGCCTAGCTTCCAAGTGAATCGTCGCTCAAAATAAAATCGAAAGGTGACTAAAATATATCTATGCGGCCATGTCCCGGAGCCAATCACATGCCTACGAGAGAAGCAGTGCAACAAGAGTCAAGGCGCCGATAGTATTACCCCAGATCAAAAGTGCGAGCACGAATCAACCAACTGTGCGCGTGTGACAAGACCAACCCCCAATTTCGGCTATCTCAGTGCGGGCCTTGAGATCCCTGTGGAAAATATCAAAATGGGCACGCATCTTCTTTCCAAGAAGACAAGGACTCATGATGAACGCAAGGAGACTCTTGAGATCCTCCGACTGGGTGAAAACAGTCGAAGCACCATCATTGGCCGGCTCGAGGTAGAATTTATGCAAACCAGCAACGGTAAACACGGGCGGACCTTGCCAAGAAAACAAGCTCTCGGAATTCTCCTTTGGTGTTGACAGTCTTCAGCTTACTTTTCTTTCTTTTAAAAACTTGTGATCGGGAAGAGTAATATTCTCTCACCTTGACTTCCGCGACAAAATTGAAGTTCTCAATGTTCACCTCGATTATGTCTCCCGAGCAAAGCTCTTGCGGGGTCTTAGTGCTGTCCTTGAGCTCGATCCCCTTGAGCCATTCCGTGTGCCACTCCGGGTATGCTGAGAAGTTGAGGAGCTAGGGATGCGATAAATAGTCAGCATGCCTCGCCAGGAATCCCGGTCTTAGGCCTGGTACATACAATCTCGCACTTTTGCAGGCGGCGCCGCTATTTCGATTGTGCTTGTGGTCATTTTGCCGGTGGTTTTGTTAGAGAGGTTTGATGCACGGGTTAGGGGATGATGCAAATAAAATATGTAAATTCAAGGGAAGTGCGTGGATGTAGAATACTGTATATCCTTGCTGCATCCATCGTGTGCCCCCACTCCACCTGCAGATAACCTCAAAACGCTCCGTTCAGAGCTTATTCGCCTATCACATCTTGTCTTGCATAGGGGGGGAGGGGGGTACGAAAGCTAGATCCAAAAATTTGAATGTTGAAACAAAAATTGTATAGGATTTGAGTCTAGCTCGTCAACTAGCAATGAGATTAGGAACTGAATACAACCCCAAGATTTGTAGCACTCCTTAGATGGTCATTAACACGGTCATCATAAATCCTCCGTCTACTCATGACGAGTCATATGTACATAATGCATAATAAACATGTAAACTAATCTATGTGCATAATCTCACATACTTCTGACAATGCATCCGTATATTCAAATCGAGGCTCTCAACACTGAGGCTCCATGCTAATCTTGCTGACACGTCGACCATTGTTCTGCTCTCTGTCAGCAGCAAGCGTAGAAGCAAATTTGCTCTTCGCGCGAAGCTGGGGTCCCTTCCAGTAGAACACATAGATGGGAGTCACAACCAGACAGGAAAGACAAGCCAGAATGGTGGTTGCATACTCAACATGCCACTTATCGCCGATGTCTGTGTACATGGGCGTCGCGTACATGGCCGAGATACCAGCGAGAAGATCGCGCGCGAAAGCATTGCCACCGGTTGCAGAAGCCGAGTAGACACCGTAGGACGCGACCATGTAATCAACAGAGGATAGGTAGATGGCGAAGTTAGCGATACCGACACAGCCGGAGAAAATCATGGATCCGATCCAGTGTATGTTTTTCGAGTCGCCAAAGGATGTCCAGGCGAAACCGAATAGACCGATGGGTTCGAGCGGCGCGAGGAAGAGCAGCCACTTGAGTCGGCGCTCGGGCGGTATGGCCGCATCGCCATGTCGTACTCGGAGCTTTTGATCACGCATGAACCATGGGAAGTAGCTGAAGTAGGCAATAAAGTAGGCGGCGTTGATGGGAATAACAGCCCAGGCTTGTGCGAGAGTACCAAAGCCCCATCCTTGTTTGTAGACGATGGCAAAACTCTCGAGGAAGATGAATATCAGAGCATCGGAGAAACCGGATAGAAGAGATAGACAGAGGACAATGGGCTCGCGCAGAAGCATGTAGAATGGACGCGCCCAGATCCTGCCAGCTTCCTTCAAGGAGATACGGGGGCTCTTCATCTCGTTGGGTCCGTAGATATTTGGGTCTTCTCCGGTCTTGCGGCGGCGCTTGGCTTCTCTGTCCATGATAATAGTCGAACGACTCTCGGGCATAAAGAAGATGATGATCTGGGTGACTCCTCCGAAGATCAGCTGAATCCAGAAGAACCATTGCCAGTCAAGGACTTTCAAATACTGGTATTAGCAGTAGGTCTAGAACCGGTGCATAATGACTCCGAGAAGGGAAAAATGCTTACATCGCGCAATTGGTCCTCCAATCACACCACCAATACTGGTACCGAGACAAGATGACAATACGATGAAAGCGAGAGGGAATTGTTGCGTCTCGGGCTCGTAGATATCGGCAATAAGACCGAGAGTAACACTACCACCAGCAGTAGAGAGACCACCCTTGAATATCATATTAGGTTTTTGAAGTGTCAAGACGCTAGCTTGTCGGGGGAGAAACCAACCAATGCACGAGCGACAACAAGACTGCCCCAGTTGGGGGCAAGGGCCGCAAGAATCTGCCAAATGTTGATCAAGAACATAGAGAGCTGAAGAATGGGCCAGCGACCGAATTCCTCAGACCAAGGAGCCCACAGCTCACAGCCAATGGAATAAGTAACCAGGTAGGCCATTTGACCTGTGCGAGCGTGTTGTTCGCTAATGTGAAAAGCCTCTGAAAGATTTTGGACAGCAGCAGGATAGACCGAGGTGTTGAAGTTCATGGAAACCTGAACAAATGCGACCGCGACCAGATAGGTCCATTTCTTCCATCGTGGCCAGCAGTATCCTAGGATCTCGTAGCAATCTCCTTCCTTCAGCTCGCGCTTTCCGTCGGGATGTCCGCTCTCTTTTTTCTCAAGCTCAGCGGAGATATCGACAGGTGTGCTATATTCGCTGCTATTGACAGATGAGGGTCTGTTCTCGGTATGAACAGCTTCGGTGTCTTGCTCTGAGGGAGACATCCTTGCGTGCGGGGGATGGAGCAAAGGGCGTGCGTGGAAAAAGTTTTGTGGACTTTCTCCAGGTGTTATATGTCGGAGTATGTACGGAGTCTGCGTAGACTTTTTTTCTTTACCTCGGACTCCATCGACTGAAACCGGATTTATAGTGGATCAACTGAGTGCACAGAGTGGTAGCGGCCATAGCGTATAGCACAGATTAGATATTGGGATTGATAGTTGTGAAGATTGACGGTGTAAAACTTTTGAAGCTTTGTATATAACTGTATATTTTAAATAGTTTCAATCTTCAAATTCACAGTTTTCTAATAAATCGTGTGTGATTATCTCCAAAAAAAAAAGAAAAAGACCAAAAAAGCCCTATAAGTTTGGTGATCTGCGGTATCCCGATCCCTTGGCATTCCCCACACAAACTGACGTCACAGTACTCTTCTGTGTCGTGGAATCTTCTAACCTTCGGCCACGTACAATCTACTAGACTAAAAGCAAATACATTGGCGGTCTTTGCTAACGAGAAATCATGTACACTAATTAAGTAAATTGTTGTTGTCTTTTGGAACTTGAAGTGTGTTGCACAATCTTGCATAATTACACTTATGTATGGGGATAGAGACTCAGTTGCTGTGCAAGATATGAGGGGAAATCGGAATCTAAGACTGGGACCTGGAGAAATTGACACAGAAGCTACTTATGAGGTCATTCTTGCTGGTTCCAAGGGTGGAATACAGCATGGTAACCTGAAGTTAGGAACAGGGATCCTCAATAGCCAATCAGGGAATATCTATCTCGACCGGGAGATCTTCGGGCATAAACTGAGTTCATTCATAATCGAGGGCACATATCTCTACGAGCTCTAGAAAGCTGATGAATCGGGTTTCTTTAGTGATTATCACTTCTTAGTCTATGTGAGGTGCACAATGACATCATTCCTCCAACTAGAGACACATCACAGAGCATGGACTGGAGATCTCATGTCGAACTTTCTTAGAACCAATGAAGCCTAACAATAAAGAAAACAGTGCGCTCTAACTATTGAAGCTCAATGAATAAATGAACTTCGAATCACAGATTTTTTTTTGAAAGCTACACGGGAAGATTTGTAGTGATATAAACCACCGGGGAACTAAGGATCCATGTCTGAGAAATGTTAGCATGTTGAGATGTTCCAGATTATCAATCCAGGCAAAAAAGGGACAAATCTCGAAGAGGGAATGGATGAAGACAGTCAAGTTGTTCACTTCACTCTGTGGCAACGATATACGTACTTTCTGAACGCGATATGGACTTCCGCTTTCCCAAGGAGAGGTACGGACGCAGATTATTTGCGATCATCTAACCCGGGTCTCATCTATGCTATAACAAGGTCAACCCCGTTTCATCATGTATTCAATCGTAAATTGGAAATATAGCCAGGTTCCGATGTCGAACCTCGCACCAGATGCCTACCTTTTCGAAATTCGTTGATGGTCACGCCACACCAAAAATTGCGCAGCCAGAGACCGGGTCCCAGGCGGTGGGATAGTTGTGCATCATCATGGATGATAGCCTAGGGAGAATTTTTCTATGGCATGCAATGCAAGAAAAAGCTGTTCGTTGGTCTTGTCTCACACTTGGCCATTGTCTTCTGGGTCATGACCCCATTATGGTGGCGTTGCAAATGAACGACTTTTCGGCAATTAAGTATCATATGAATGTACAAAATAAATACGTCGACGACTTTCACCCTGTAATTACGCGAAATAGTACATAGAACATCACCTGCCTAAGATAAAGTCTATGTGAAGTGCTAGGGAAGTAGGAAGTTCCCAACGGTATTTAAAGAACTGTTCATTAGCCATATAGATATCTGCGTGTATGCAAATATTTTGACCATGGATCCTATTCAGGTTTTGGAATAGCTGCATTCTTTACTTATCTGTAAAAGGCCACACCGCTTCCCACTGGCTTCTCTCTTCACTAGTGATGGAGTGAGAATTCAAGAATTCATCCCGGCATTTTTTTAGCTGCACCTCAAAGTGTTCGTAGCTACTGTGATTCACCCAAAAATCCCACCCTCGGTATGCACCAACTTGACCGAGGAATTCTTCCATTAGCTCAACACCACTAGCCCACTTTGCCTCGTCCTTTCTCTGCTGTTCCTCATGCTCCTCGGTAAAGAAATTGGACAGGGAATGGATGATCCAACACGAGTCGCCCACTCTTCCTGAAGTTTTATGAGCATGCCTTGAACAACAGGTTTCCCGTCACTGAAGAGAGAGCCCGAAAGGCCTGCGATTTGGCCAGCAAGCGAGTTTTTGAAGGTTAGAGCAGCTGCAATCTCAGGGCAGTCCTGGATCATCTGAATGTCATAGAGCTTGTATAGAGACTGAGCAGCACGGAGCTTCTTCGCTTTGAGCTGCTCTTCTGGGCTGAGCTCATCGAAATTGTTGGGCAGACTGATTGACTGCAGTCCCTCAGGGATGGGTCCCTCGAATTCTATCAGAGCTGGATGGCGAGCTTGAAGAAATAGAGGTGACAAATTCACGGCCTGCCAATCGATGATGGAAAGAATCTCTGTTGGCTGGTCGGGGTTCACAAAGATGTTGTCCCCATGTAGATCGGGGTGCCACAGAACAGGCTTAGATATTTCTTTGTCTTTCGGCGACAGAGACTTGACAACCTTGATGAAATTTTGCAGTGTTTCTTGTTTTCGTTGAGCAGTAGGCTGGTATTGACCAGGCCCATAAAATAGTCCTTGCGGACGTGGAAATTCTGAGAAAGTCCGCAGACAAGCAAGTTCAAGATTGGCACGAGCAAAATGATTATCCTCAACAGATGCCCATATTTTAAGAAATCAATTAGAACGGTTGGTTAACGATCCGAGGAAGACACTTGCAGGGTCCTCGGTGTACATCAACGGCATTTCTGCCATCATCGAAGAACGTTCGATTTGTGGTCGGACCAACCACAAATGCCGCTCCAACGGTGTTCTTTTTAGGCCCAAGCTCAATCATCTGGTTTGGGTGGGGATTGCACAGGTTATCTGCATAATATATGCTCCCATACACGGGAAATCGAGTGGATACAAGTGTTTTCTCAAATCCAACAAGTTGCCGAACAATCTGAAGTTTATCAGGACCAGGTATATCATCCCACAGCTTGCTAAGTTCAACTCCACGGCTTCGTTCCATAATGATATACTCGGCTCCAATCTCTTCAGTAGAGGGGCTCCAGGCATACACCGTTGGAGTCGGAACATTTAGTACACTCCGCACCTAGAAATTTGGGTCAGATAAGATAGCACGTAGCAACACGAGACTAAGAAATTCTCACATAATCCATGGTGGCCACCTCACTGGCTGTGGTAAAGTATTGGGATCCAGCATTAGGATTCGGGAGCTTTGCAATCACTTCCTTGCCATCTTCCGTCTTGAGTAGTAAAACCTTGCAAAAATTCCCCTCGGGGAGCTTCTGCACTTCGACGAAAGATTTTGAACCTGTCGCGTGGGTTGCGATCTGGACGAGCTCTGCCAGATTGAACTTAACATAGCGACGGGATAACTGTTCCTTCTCATTCCAAAGCCATCGTCCAGATGTGTAGTGATAAATGCTATCCTCATCACAGTCTGAGATCAATATTCCTTGGCTTAGGGTAGGATTGATATGCGACCGGGTGGGAATAGGTGTCGAGGATGTGTGTGTCTGGCGTGAGGTGAATTGCCGAAACCAGTTCATATTGACGGTATTCTGGAGTGGAACAGAAGAGCAGGCAGCTTGTCCGACTCCAAGTGTAATTAAATGAGACCTATATCGAAAGACCCTGCAAGCACTGCGTGCATACATTTTGTCAAGGAAGCGAAGTTCACACGAAGTCGCATTCAGATAGCACCAGCCTCCCGTCACATGACCGCTACCGTAGCCGCCTGTGGTCCCTAATGGATATTAGGGCCTCTTATATATGCTGCTGCAATGACAAACAGATGTTCTGTTTGTCCTTATGATCTTTTGGCCTAGCGGTTAAATGGTCTTATGTAACCCATCAGGAGTAGTGGCCTGATTTGTCTTCGGGATTACACGCCCAGGTGGGTCAGTCACCATTGTCCATCTCCAATGCTTTCGAAGTTCTAAGGTTGGCATGCTTGAAGTTCAATCCATTAATCTTGTGAGATCTAATCAAATTTGTTTGTTGGTGATCTCTCCACTCTATCCAACCCCTAAATATTCCTTCCATGCCGGCCAGTGCATAATGAGCACACCTAGGCCTCGCCAAAACCCGCCCACTGCCCAAACCCGTGGGTGGGTTGTCATCCGGGAAACCCAACCCAAGACCCCAAGGGGTACCCGCGATTACCCAAAAAAGCAAAAAAAGCTGACTGATCATTTTACACTAAGTTATGCAGTAATTTTCGATTATCTAATTGTTTCGATGGCGTAACTGATAGCTTCTAGCTGAGAATATTTGGAAAGGAACATGAAGAATACGACTTTGGGAGGACACTGAGAGGGTCCAAATCACTGATTTTAAATTATCGAACTAAAGATAATATTTTGGAGCTCACTCGAAAGATTCTCATTTGATGAATTTACTTAAAATGATCAATGTGGCCTGTAATCCCTTCAGATGTGTAAAGCACGGCGATGGGGGCAGTGATCTACATGTAGAGAATATATATTTCCAGATCGATGGCGCTCATTGTTTCATTGTAACATCCACCCAAAAGCGTGACAGAAATAAATGACCAAAATTACATCAGATGACTAATCATGTTTATCTACGATTTATGCATGTTTTGGGGTATTTTGGGCAACCCGCGGGTACCCGCCAAGAACCCATGGGCGGGTTCATCATGGCCAAAACCCGCGTTTGGATCTAACTTAGCTTGATTATGGCATTCTATCTAAATACTTACTAGTTTTTCTTCCTTTTTTTTCACTTTTCTTTCTGTTTAAAGATGGGCCTTTATGTAGCTTAATGGCTGTATATCCTTATTTAAATCCTCCTGATTGCCCTTACTCCTTCCCCCCGGGCAACCATCATCATACGTCAGTCGCATGTGGTGGCTAGCTAATTGTAGGTGTTCACTATTACACGTACTTGTGAATGATTTCCAACATCCCTGGTCTTCACTTCAAATGTTCTCTTTGACTGCTATGTATTCAAGGCAGAAGGTTCTGTTAATCAGGATTCTAGTCTTGTTGGCTATGCCATTTGGCCTCCGTTTCCTTTTCCTCGCTAAACAATAGGTCCTGCTCATCATGATAGTGGCCAAAAACAGTTTCATGTATGTATGTAAATCACCACCACTTGGGTGACAATGGTAAGTATGTCTACTGAAGCTCTAGGAAATCGCAAATCAGTCTTGATGGAGTGCCCAAGGCCAAAGTACATGTGATAGGAGCCATGGAAGAAAGTTGGATGGTTGACCTAAAGAACGAGATAGTTGAGAAGCTGCTTAGGTGAGGCTAAGTGCAACACTGCCTGGTGGGCTAGCGAAGTTAAGGATCTGATGGATTTTAAATGCTTCACACGTTTTTCAAAAACTAACTATTTTCCATGTTCCTAGATAGATCACTTGTGGGGCCGATCAATTATTATCAACCATTTTTGTAAGCAGATGCCATGTCCTCTGGTATAAATTGGACACACTATTGGCAGATATATTGCGTTTGCAACGAATTGACCCCTCTCGGTGTTACGCAGCAAAAGAATGGTGTACCTATCGTTTTTCCAGCACGAATCTTGCCTTAAGGCGGCCAAACGCGCCAACCATGGCCTATTTTGAGGCTAGAACTCTCAGTGTGTGGATTGCATGGCGAAGTACTTCTTTCGCGAGCCACCAACTCCACTGTGTCCTAATGTCAAGGCCGGTACGGCTCGCTTTGATACCGCCACCGATACCGCTGCTACAACGGTCACCTTAAAGATCCCCAAGTTCCAGGAAGTTGTAGACCAAACCCAGCAATGCCTCAAGGCACAGTACCCAGCTACGAGCCACTCATGCTAATTTGGATCCATTGGTAGGGAAAATCCCTTTACATAGTCCAGAACAGGAGATGGATCGGTTCCGACGGATGGAGAGAAGGTGGGAAGAAGAGAGGAGAGTTAATAGTGATGTAGTACTAGAAGAAACTTGGTATGATTTTTGAAACCAGTGTCTTGCGAAAGCGGCGAAGGCGAGAGAAAGGGAAAACTGTTGAGCACACAAGTTAATTCTTCATAATCAGCATTATTTGGAATCTTTTCAACGCTAATAACTAATTGATTTCATGCATACGCCAAGCTCCTACGTAATCGAGATTAGCCGCGTCGATGCAATTTAACGCCTCTATCACATATTCTGCCATACAAACTCGAGCATCCTATATCGAAGGATGGCATTTCAACTCAAACTGCTTCCAATGCTGCTCCCAGTACATAGTCACCTTCCCACCATGTACAAACAAACCATGGAATCAAGAATAATCCGGCGTTTAACGCCGTCATCGCTCGCTTAATATCTTCTTCCTGTTTCCTTCACTACAATTTTATATAGGTCAGTGAGGAGTAGACGTATCTACAGGGGTTGAAATGACGATATTAATATAGCTTCATTTATAGATATGAAGAAATCAGACAGTTTTATAAAACCAATTCTACACTTTCTGAAAGATTCGTTAAATCAAAAATTTCACATGCTACTTGGTTTACTATTTTATAGTATGTGATTCAACAAAAACTTATTATTTAATATTTCAATTACATGTGTTGGAAGTCAGACTTCCCCGCTTGCTCCCAGTACTTTCGTCTAGACAGTGCCTGTAGATAGTTTCTCTCTGTCTCCACGCATGACAGAGATTTCAAGTGACATCTACAACTTCATAGTAGATCATCTACATACCCTCTCTCAATATAATACTGGGATATTCTTTAACAGTCTAGCATCCGTCTATTATACTTTAATTGAGCGGCTCGTTTAACTCAAATTTGAAACCTAATGTATCCTATTCAGGTACGGCTATACAGTTTGTATAAATTTCTGGTGTTCATTTACCTCGCAGCCAGGTTCGATCAAAATGATATCAAAAGCCCGAATCGGCCCCAAATCTAGGCCCACCGATTTTTGCAATTTGTACGGTAGGTTTGGGGCGCCATCGCGCCAACCCATACGTTTTATTTGCCGCCTATTTTACCACCTTGCTCTTATCGGCCTGGTTCCTCGGCTTCTCCCATGTCCCTTTTAAAGGGCTTCTTCGTACAGTCAAGATACTAGCGCTAATTGATCTAGAACTATTAAAGACAAGATTCAGTCTCTCTTTCATGCTAATACTACTATTAAAAATCTCTAAATCTTTTAACAAAAAATCAAGGTATGAAAATTGTCAAATGCCAAGTCTTGATATAGCTAAGACTTAGGTAAACTATTTATTTCATAGAATAGATCTAATAGCATTATTTCTATTACAAAACTTCAAACAACCTTTAAGTAGATATAAAAAATCTTTACTAAGGAGATCAAGATTAGTGATATTTATTACAGGATGTAGAAGGACTCCTCTTTTAGGAATAATAAGAAAGACGCAATAAGGAGTAAAAGACAGACTCATTCTATCCCCTTCTATAGATGCGATCTCAATACTAGTAAAATTTGCACTATGGATGTGGACTAATAATTTTAATTGTGTGCCTGGCAAACCCCTGGTAGGCGCGATGGCGTCTAAACCCTGCCGTAAATTTGGGTATGTGGGTTCGAAGGTTGCGGGCGGCCCCGCACAACTGGCCCGACCCGACCCGATATTGCCTTGAATCTAGAATCTCACTATTCATTTCTTGAAACTATCGGGGCGTGCTATTGGATCCTACCTATATCATGCCTCAGCATATCATTGGACGAATAGTAGCCCAGCAGAAACCATATAACGCCACGGCCATCAGTGCTGGGTCTGGTCTGCTAAAGCTTGTCTTGACGCTTCCCTCTCGCGTCGTGTTCACCTCTATACCGACAATCCATTAATTCCCCTGAATTCTCATTTATTGGTCAGGTCGCTAACCCCTGCTAGTATGTTATAGATTTGAGCCAGGCTCATTACAGTTAACTCCATACTCCGAACGAAGGTTTGTGCGCAGGCACACAACATGAGGCAAGACATGGATTTAACTGGTCGTTGTGGAACTCATGTTATCAAATGAAAAATCCTTTACCAAGTGTTTCACTGTCGGAACATTGTTAAAAGGACTCCCGTGCCCTGTCCGTCTGACTTCCTTTGAGAACTATCCCCCATTTCCATTTTGTATAGGGGTTCTTGGAGCTTTTTGCGCATTATGGTCAAATTCAAAATTGTACCAAGATTTTGCCAGTTCTCAAGGATTACTCTTCTAGATATTGACTCCATGTTGATTCTCTCCTCGACTCTGATAGTCACAAAGCCTTGACCTTCAATGACTTCCTTATCTTTGCCCGGTTCTCTGCAAGGCAACCAATTGAACTTGTTTTATAGTTCAAGGCCTCTAATTTCACAAGCAGCATTTCTGGATTATGCTTGGAGAGTTTACCATCTTCTTAATTTTTTTTGAATATAACCATTTTCGTGATTCAATTTTCAAAAATTTGTCTTCTTCCCTTTCCATGGCTTTTTCTCAAGGTCCTTGTAAAATAGTCACTTTGTCTTTTTAAAATACCCCTTGACCTTCCAAATTTTGACACTCAAAGAGTTAAGGTCGATGTTCCCTTTAAAAGTAATATCATGAGCGAACACAAACATATTATGGTGGCAGGAGTCTCCACCTATACCTTGCTTACGGGCCAACCGTTCGCGCATCTACATTTAACCAACGGCGCTTTCATGGTAGATTTGGGTCGTCACGTTTTGCAATTTGATGAAAAGATAATACATAATGAAGAGTATGTCGATGATTGAAGTGGGTATTTATTCGAACTATAGTACAATTTCCCCCTTTCCCCTTTGATGAACTCCATCACGCGTCTAGTCACTCTTCTTCTTCTGCAATTGATGTTTCCACTCAACCGCTGACAAGAATGGTTCGTCGACATGAATGTAGTCCAATATCAGCGCTTTGCGAATCTCGTTGGCGCCAAATGCGTTCAACGCCCATGCCAGCAACCATTCTTGCGACATAATATAGCGACTGACAAAGTAAGAAAGCCAATTTGCCCAGGCATGTATACGGGAAACATAGAACGACTGAGTGCCGTCAGACTGTACAGGAGCTGATCTGAGCTTCTGGTAGTCCGCGAACACTTTGCCCAGAGCGACTAGATCTGGCAGATCGGTCTCGGATCTCTTTTCTAGCATCCCATGAATTCCGTTGCACAAAGCAACCACATCCTGGATACCATTGTTAAGCCCGCGTCCCGCGTTAGGCGTAAATTTGTGACAAGAATCTCCAGCCAAGACAATTCTGCCCCAACTCCAATGCTTCAGGATACCTTCCTCCAGGTTTGCCATTCCATCGGTCAGCCGATTCGCGTACACGTCCTTGACCTTCAATTTGTCGGTTACAGGGAAATCGGCAAATTTAGCTGCATAGGCTTGTCGATCTTCTTCGGTGTAATTCACACGCGACGTCGTTGACTCGGGCAGTCTTTCGTAAAGGAAGATCCATCCTCGCTCCCGACCGAGAATGAACATGGTTGACATGTCCTTGGACTGTGTGTCGGTGGCATATCCGCATTCGCCGACCCGAGGGAAGCTGCACCACAGGCATCTATACAAAGCTGGGAATGGGACAGCTGCATCCCAATCACGCTTGGGATCTTCCTTCAGTGCTAGCTCACGCATATTTCGGCGCGTCTTGCTGTGTACACCGTCCGCTCCAATGACAATAGATCCGTCGTATGTGCTTCCATCGGCGCAAGTCACACGCACTCCGGTCTCATCGGATTCAATAGAATCTAATTTTTTATTCAGAAGATAACGCTCCTTGGCCGCCGCGGGCAAAGTCTCGTACATGGTCTCAACGAGTTGGGCGCGATGGAACGCAAGTGGTGCAGTTCCGTGGCTGATAGGAGGTGAATGCGTAAGTATTTTCACGAATGGATAGGAACTATAGAGCGAATTCCTTATCAAGAAAATCATGGAAGACTTACTTCTTTCTCAGGATTTCAAGGAGTTTGAAAGTGCTCACAAATGGCTGTCCTTCTCGCGTCATCGATTGGGAGTGCTGCAGTTCTCCTCCGATCTTCAACAGTTTTTCCAAAATTCCAAACTGATGCATAATTCTGAGACTCGCCGCAGATAAAACGAGACTGGCACCTAGATCCAGAACTGCAGAGCTCCTGGATTCAAGGACTACAAAGTCAATGCCTGCGTGATGAAGGGCGTGGGCGGCGGTCAGACCGACAGGGCCGCCGCCGACGACAATAACTTTGAATGATTTAGGTGCCATTGAGTTGGCCTGTATTTCAGGGTAAGAGATCAACGGGTATGAAAGGCAAAAATGTGTAGATGAATATACACCACAAGAAACGATGCTTGTAACTCGGACAGGACTTTATAGTTTTCTTCACTTCCTAAATATACTTTTATAGACCCACAGGGCAAACCTTGGAACGGAAGATATCCGGGTTGTTCAGCGGAAGCACCTGTAGTTAGCCTACCTGTATCCCCTAGCGCAACCTCATGCTCCGCTGAGTCATCCATTCGTGCTGCCTTTGATTGAGGCGATGCATCAGAATCGTCATCGTCATGAATATAGGGGCCCGATGATCGGACTTCTTTTTGCAGCTAAGCCTTATGATTGGACCTTAGAAACCGGCCACTTCGGAAGCGGAGATTTCGGGAGGGGTCTCTGTTCCGTCCCAGTGGGACAAATTTTGGGGACTGTCAAGCCCCGTTAATTTGGAAGGACTGTCGGAGAACAAATCCTTCGAAACTAATGAGGGTCTCTATATTAACAAGGGACCTTAGCACTCCCGGCTATGCATACGATTTTTTTGCATTAATTGATCGAATTAGAGGGTTTCAAAACTGAATCCTAGCTCCGAAAAGATTGAAAAAAACCCCCCTGGCAAAATTCTTCACGGTATCAAGGTTAACAAAAAAGTGGGGTCGATTTCGAAGGGGCTGCCAAAGACCCATCCACTTGGGTGCATAAGTGCATAACTTTTTCTGCAACTCTCTATCTACACCGTCTCCTTAGTGTTGGGTAAAAACATGAATTAAACGCGGCAGGAAGAGTTATGCACTAATGCATTAAAGTTGGTGGCATCTTTGGTTTGTACCGAGCACCCCCATTTAGAAACACAACATGTGTACGGAGTAAAGTAAACTCCTTTTGGTGTGGCATTGTAAGTACTAAAACCAATACAATTTGTAAGGGCCAGTCCAACTTATAATAACAGCTAGTTAAATATTGAGCTTATCCCTTCTACGCGTCATTGATCACCTAAATTGCACAAAATTAGATGATCGGTATTTATTCAGAGTACCAAATTCATCAGGAAATATATTTACAGATCTACTGACCGGCTTCAAAGTGAATGGGTCCTGCCATGCACACCGTTGTGCGGGAAGGGTTGGTTCCATCGTTGGGCCAGATGCCAGATGCCATTAGCTATTCTATTTCAGTGACCATTTCTGCCTAGGAAATGCTCTTCTCCGAATGACGGTTGTCAAAAAGACAATCTATGTGGAGAAGAAGTGAGATACGCCGGCCACTACTGCGAGCGTTTACACATTGGACTACAAGATAATTACCAAGTCAATTCATGGAATTGACTTCATTGCAGTGGTATATATATCTATAGGGTCACCCGCTTTGATATCACATTATCGTAATATAATAAATTCTTCAGCTAACGTTCCATTATCCGAGTAAGGGGACTTTAACGAAGAGCCTCGCTCCGAGTCAAAAATCTATACTCCTTCTAGACCGTTCGATAGTCTACGCTAAATGCTATTTTAGTGGGATTGGAAATTTCCACATTTAAAGGGCACAAGAAGAACAAGACTGGTCTTTAGGTCACATGTCACATGTCAGGAGGCTAATTACTTTTGGACTAGAGCTTCTATTACGGAGTAGACTCAATCGTACAACAATTCTACAAGGTTCGCGCGGGTGGCTCTTTTCCCGGTGAATTACTATATTCTTAATTTTAGGTCTAGGATAAATTAAGTAAATCCCATCTTTGGCGGTGTGACGGATAAATAGCCGTACAACTTGGCGAGGAGCAGAATCTCGGAGAATGCCGTAAATGCGGGTGCACTCGGAAGCACAAGTGGGGTTATGAATTGGTAACTTGGTATGACAACCATCAGGGTTGTCGTCTGAGTTGTCACAGCGGTCTTTTTGGTAGAACGTTGGTTAAAAAAGAACGTCCCATCGGTTGATCTAGTTAATACGGCAATGTGCCAGGCCCTTACCCTTTACAGGCGGAAGAACAGGAAGAACAAGTTCGACACCTGAACTTGGGGAACCATTCAAGAAGACGTATTAAGTAGCTACAGTGAAGTCACACACAATAAGCTGTGAAAAGACCCCATGTTGATTTCTCACAAGAGGTACTGGGGAAACATAATATTACACTTCAAATGCTGGTCAATTTTTCGTGAATTGGTGATTTTACCGTCTGCCACGGTAGAAGAACTTGCCCCCTTTTTGAAATTTGTCCCTTGATCAGATTGCCGTATGAAGAGAGAGGGCATCACGCTGTATTGAAACGCGATAGCACTTCCTCAAGGCATATATTCGTCAACCCTCAAAAAGGATCGACCAAAGGCAATTTATTCTTCCTTCGTCATTTTCCAACGGCATTGCACCATTCAACATCCTCCAAGACCTTGGCCTGTTGAAGCGGGTAGTTCATCTTCTTTTCAACAAGATTTTCATTTCTGTACGGAGTGGTATCCCGAAGTTCCTCCCATGCTCCCGAGATCCCCCAGTGTCCCCGAAGTTCTTCCAGTGTCTCCGAAGTTCTTCCAATGCTCCCGAGGTCCTCCCAATGCGCGACTTCATCCTTCAGACTCCATCTGCTCTTGCAATTGCTTACAGAGGAAGTTTTTCACATCCAAGAAGCCACGTGAGAGAAAATTAATTGAGCAACATAGCATTCTGAGTCCACCGACCATCTAATGATAGGGAAAACTTTTCTTTGTCCTAGCATCTTCGACTCTTCTTCAGCTAAAAGAGGTATAATCATATCAAGGCAATTGAGAGAGGTGATCGTTGGGCCTAAAGGGCTTGCAGATCTTAAAATACCCCTCTCCATCATCTGTCAACCACAAAGGAGCCACCAGGGCGCGCCGAGCAGAACAGCTGCGCCGGCCCCGCACAACGCAGTGCACCCATTCCCGATCTACTACATCGACGATAGTGAGACCCTTAAAACTTTAATGATCATATTGGCCAGCTCAAGATCATTGCAAAAAAGATCAATGGGGCAATTGTCGAATTTTGTAGAGATCATCTCCGGAATTGAATAATCCAAAAACTTGAACGATTTATACCGTGGTAAGGCTTCTGTTTGTCTTTATGATTAATCTAGGCCGAGCGCAGGTGGTTGATACGGACAATTTGATCGAATAAAGTGGTTCAGTTTGTATATCGATGTTGCCTGACCTCATTTTCCACCACCTGCAGGGTGCAGTCAGAGTTCAAGGCATGTAAGTACTGTATAAAGGGGATGGAATGAACAGTACAGTAAATGCTTAACAGGGTCGACTCATTACTCTTTTAATTTTAATATTACTTTTTTCCCGCAGCTAGCAATATCTCGTCATATCTCATCACCTGCCCAAAGTTGAATGACATCTGACCAGAACTTTTGATGGAGAGCGGTATCATTTCATTCGCCACTCAGTCCACGATATCTAATAAACGAGAAAAAAACATTATGTTCGATAGGCCAGAGCGTTGTGAGCTAGGCTACTCTGTATGTGATTATAGTAAGCTGATGCTATCTCTTTATTCACAAAGGTCTTTCTATGTAAGTTTCTGCGGAATATAGGATTAATCCGAAGGCACAAGCAGGGAAATGTAACTTGTTTTATTCAAAATCACGAAAGACTAGAGTTCCTCTCTATTCTTGAGGGGCCAACAACCGATTTTAGCATTTAGTGCGAGAAAGAAACCTCGTTGTTCTCTGCCATCCGGATGCCCACCGCTGTAGCCTCGTCCAAATCCTCAACTAGTAGACCGACCATTTCATTATCGAGACTAATTCTAGACTCATATTCACCATCCCTATTCACAAAAAAAATCTGACTACACAGCATCTTAGTGAACACATTCCAGTTGCGCACCTTCATGTCCTCCTGTCCCTCCTTGAAGCGCTCTCCAACGGAATCCTGCGAGATAGTCCAGTCCGCATCTGTAGACTTGGTCACACGCTTGACACTCTCAAACATATCGCTCCGAGTCAATCGGAAGCTCGAAACATACGTAGAACAGTTCTTGAACCGGGAAAGGGTAGGGGACTTGTCGTTCTCATCCTGGGGGAGTTCTTTCAAACTCAGCCATTTTGCAATAGCCCGACCACACTGCGGCCAAGTGCTTGTGTTTATAGGCACATCGCTATCATCAAAGAGAGCGAAAGTGCGTTTGGCGAAATCGAAGCCAAAGTGACCTGGGCCGTCGCCCAGGCTGAGCTCGTACCATAAGTTACAATCGAGGAATAAGTAAGTTTTAGAGATGCTAGAGATCTACGATGAATGTAGATGTAACTGGAAATCTCTTGATGCGTTGAGAGAGAGAGAAACTATCTACATGCTAAGACTGAGACTAAGTACTGGGAGCAAACAGTGGTGGTCACATGACCTTCCAACAGGTTCAC